CCAATATCAGCAATATTGAAGTTATTGCTTTCCCATGTTACATGTAATTAAATTACAAATAAAAAATATAACTTTCAATTCACACTTTTTTTTTTGGTTTTTTTATAAAAGAAAAAATAACGTTGCTACTTGTAACATTCAATTTATAAGTTTTATCTGGGGTTTATAATACATGGTACGAGGGGGACTATTGATGTTGCTGTTGCTGTTGTTGCTGTTGTGCCGCGGCTACGGCAGCTGCAGCTGCAGCCTGTTGTTGAGCTTGCTGTTGAAGCCTTGCAACATGCTGCTGCTGTTGAGCGGCTTGGACTTGTTGAAGTCGGGCTTGCTGAGCAGCAATTAGAGCGGCAGCCGTCGTATTAACATTGGTGGTAGGAACCGCACCTTGTTGTGGAGATGCAATATTCTGCCCGACCCCATTCGCCATCATTTGTCCTGCTTGTTGGGGGTTAGAAGCAGCTGCCGCTACTGCTGCTGCTGCAGCTTGCGTCGCTTGGTTTCTAAGTTGCATTTGCTGCAAGTATCGTTGAAGCTGTGCTTGTTGAGCCTGTCCCAGTTGTGGTAGAGGGTATCCCATTTGAGCCAACTGAGCTGCAACCGATAGTGTGTTGGTAGCTGCGGCGGACTGCATTCCGATCTGAGGGGACTGCGTCTGCGCTTGTGCTTGCGCTTGTTGTACAGGTGAGGATTGTTGTTGTGCATTATCTAATGAAAAGGAGACAAGGGATTAGATATCAGTTTGGACTTTCAATATTTTCATTGAATAGAATCCTTCATACTTGGAAACTGCTGTAATGGTGCTGATGCAGGAGGTCGGGCGGCGGCAGCAGCAGCTAGTAGCATTTGTCGTTGTCGCATCAATTGCAGCTGAGCATTCGGGGGGAATTGATTTATCTGCTGTATATTGTTGGCATTTGGTATATTGGCAACGGGGGCTGCTGGTCGCTGACTTCCAGGTGAAGTAGGTGCCATAGGTCGTGCGACTTGGGCTGCTGCAGGTGGTCGTGGCTGACCTGGTAATTGTGGATGTGGCATTGGAATGGCTCCTGGATGGCTGGCACGCTGTATAGTCTATTGCAAAATGACCATTAGTCAATAAAATTGCAGAATTGATGAGTGGAACTAGGCATTCCTTTACTTACATGTGTTCTTTGAGCAGCAAGACCATATGCAGCAGACAATTGCCTGGATTCAAGCAAAGCCTGTGCAAGCGATCTATCACGTTGAGCTTTTGCCATGCTCAATTCCATCGGGGTAGCCAGTCGTTGACCATTTAACCCAACACCATGCGTTTCTATCGTTGATCTCGGAGGTGGTGCCGATGCTGTAGACGCTGTGTTAGTTCACAATGACAAGATAATATAGCAAATATCCAATGGCAATTTCTTACAATTAGGTTTCTGTGCTTGCTCCCGTTTGACTTGGGTCTTTTTAATAGCTTCGAAAATATTATACTGTCGTTGACGCTTCTTGGGTCCATCTAATTTCACAATGGACACTCGCTTTGCGTTGTCTCGCTTCATCTTGATAGCATAGGCTGGGAATGATAATAGTAAGATAAGTGCCTACACGCAGATGGCTTGTAAACAAAAAAAACAAAAAAAAACAAAAACTTACCAGCATTGATTTGACCAGATAGAGACGTGAGGTTATTCTGTCGCCATCGTTCATGACATTCATAAGGTGTTCGCTGCTCACCAGTGATCGGTCGCCGTATGGAATTGAACGCATCACATATAAGTGACCAATTAAATGAATATTGTACAATGAGGGTGATAAGGCAAACATCGTCATCGTCCGACCAAGTTGCTGAATGTCTGTTGATGGCTGGATTTGGCGGTTGTGGAGTCGGCGGCTGGGTGGCAGGTGTATCCTTGACTTTGCGTAATGCAAACAATGCTAAAGAAGACAGCAGCAAATGAAAGCTTAGTAAGACGATAAGTAAAATATATGAAAATAAGCATCGATCTCTTACGGGAAAGATATTGAGCAGTGTCGTATTTGTCATGCTTTGGAAGTTGTGGAACTTCCTCTTGATCGGCGTCCACTTGCATGAAAGCTTCTTCTGCTGTTCGCTTACGAGTAGGTGGCAACTTCTTCTTAATCACTGTTTTCTGTGATATGAACTTGGTGATAGGTACGACTCTTCCGTATTCCAATTCATCAATGTAAGCATCGGCGTCGTTTGGTTGAGGAGCTTCATATAATGGCAGCTCTGGGAATAAGGTAGTAAGGTCCATGTCAACCAGTGCATCAATAGGTAGAACGAATATAGGATTGTCAATATCAAGGTTCAGTATAGAAGTTTTAAACTCATTCCACAAGTTCGGTGATGGCGGTGGTGGCATAGCCGAAGTCGTTGTAGGCGTATCACTCTCCTTCACCGCTAACAATGAATCGGCCTTGTCAGTAAGGTCTTCTGTTTTCAGTGCTTCGAGAAGCGTAACATCTGCTGATCCCTCGATTTTAGGCTCATCTGTCTCCATAGTATCTATCACTTGGCGTTCGTCAATTGGAATATGTGGGCGTGCCTATAGAAAGATGTCATGAGTTCCCTTACTGTTATACTAGAAGGAAATAGAACTAGATGCGAAGAGCTTACCTTGACACAAACAGATTGCTTATCATCGGCCCAATGCCATTCCATGACAGCTCTGGATATCATATATGCCGTTGCTATCTTCCACTTGCGCTCCTCTTTGAAATCCGTTCGCATCCATTTCTATAAGGGAAAATCATCAGCCTCCTAATCACAAAAAGCTACACAAAATTTGACATAACTAACCATCTCATCAATAAGTGAATCCCAATGAGTTTTGGTGCGCGCAACAGCACGGTGCCTTTTGTGCTGTTTCATACTCCACAATCCGTTCTGTTTTGACTCTTCGATTTTTTGGATAGCTCTTGATGCCTTCAATTCATCTCTGCCAACCTGTTATGAAAGAACATTCAACACAATGCTGGCAAGTTTCTATTACACAATCATTTGATACAGTACCTTCCAATCCTGCGTCATCAGAACTTTTCGCGCAGTTTGTAATGACTTGTAAAGTGGTTGAGCATTGACCTTCAAATGATATGCATATAACTCTAGCCCATTGCCTTGGTTGGTGCTCTGATTTGGTAATTTGATACCATTGTATGTTTGGATAGGATACGGGTTATACAGGTCAGCCTTTCGAGATGCTGGTGTTTTCGTTCGCTTTGCTACGGATTTTTCCCCTGACAGAGATATTATTGGTATCTTGCCGTTGTCGGTGGACATGTAATCAGACGAAGGATACACTCCGATAGATTTCTGGTAAAAATAAAAAGCACATGGTAAATTCTGGCTGAAAGCTCTCCATGCTAGGTAGATGTTAAACATGACATACCTCGGCAGCTGAGAGAATTTCGTCTACACTTCTGTGTCGTATAGCTCCGCTGACTCCTCTTGTAACCATACGTTCGGGTGGTGGCAGAACTCGCTTCGTAAGTCGCTTATCAGACTTTGGATCGTCCAGGTACGTAGGCGAAAGAATATCAGCATTTGCTGTGTCGGATGCGTTGTCTAATTCTTGTAGGATGCTCTCGAAAGAGGTTGGTCTTTTGGAAACGCACAAACATGTCAGCTCATAACTCTATATTTCGCGATAAAACGCGTCAAATACTCTACCTCAACTTGTGCTCGTCAAGGTATTCGTTTAGCTTGGCGATATTGTCGGCAGACACGTCGAAGTTTTCGATATATTCGATGTAACGTTCTTGATTCTCTGTCATCAAAAACAACTGCTTCAACATTTCTAGCCTCTGAGCCGCTAAATGCCTAAGATGAAAAGTTTAGAATCTACTCTATGATAGTGGGGGCATACAAATGGCCTTCTGAATTTTTTTTAGCTTACTGTAAGTCTCGTTTTCGGATATCTTCAGCCTTTGTCCGAAGAGCTTGAACTTCAGCATCCTACATTGAAATAAATTTACGGCCCAATTAATAAAACCCCGTATGAGCTTAATACCGATAAAATGTGCTGTCGCTTACAATGTGTTCATCTTCCATGATTGCATTTGTTGTAGAATCCATAGGATTGGGCGCTGGTATATCCATCAATTCTGGACCGTTTTCCATTTTTGTTAATTGTCAAATCCAGGATCAAGTGCTTGTCATCAATTGCTGGACCAGCCAGATGCTGAAAATACAATGTATACTAGTGAACGATGTCGTTGAGCTTTTCGGTGTTGGCTCAGAGTTATGAATCTCCCAAAATGCGAGAATAACAACTGTTAGAAGGCTCAGGTCGGACAATAAAAAATCTTCTATGACGCAGCCTTCATCACCCATAGTGCGGCCAAAATTTCAGTTGTTTTATGAATTTTTATCATGTAATTACATCGCTGCTTTTAAGCTGCACCTGATAAAGCGCACATCAGTTCATTGTTTAAAAAAAAAGTACTGGCATGACAAACGTCTCAAGGTTGATGAATTTGGCAATGGAAAATTTTATCATCTGCCGTCTAAACTGAATTTTTTTGCTTTTATAATCCTAAATCTTCTACTTCCTCCTTTTCGGTGTCTTTGTACAAAGTCTGGAGCGCCTTGACATACTTTGGTAGCGTAGGCAGGTCCCTTATCTTGACGCGCATCATATCAAAGCTGATTCCAACCTGATTATGAGCGTCTGTAAATACTGGAATCTTCGGATAGCGTTGGCTAAAATGAGTGAGAAGCGTATACTTGGCGTTCATTCTAAATCAAACGCACAATGCATTAGATACAATAAAAAGATACGGGCATAAAGCAGACAAATAACCAAAAAAAACTCACTCTTGCCCTATTTGAACCGCTTCTTTCGTCGTGCTATGTCGCTTGGCAAGGGCTTCCTCAACCATGTCGTCTTCTAAGGTAGCTTCATGGAGCAGAACTGTAGCGTCCTTGCCAACCTCGACAAGTTTCGGGCATGGTCGAGTATCACCAGAGTAGACAAGCTTCCAGCCTGAGTTGTGCTTCAGCGATACACCATATGCCCACCGACAGTGAATTACATGTACTGTCTTTAATGATTCTAAGCCTAGCGCACCCTGCATGTTTTCCAGTCTAATACTATCGTCAACATCATATCGAGTGGCAAGTAGAAACATCATAATATATTCGTTGGCTTACCTTTGCTTTGCTCTTGGTTCGACTTCTTTATCGTATAGTACATCCTCGTTGTTGATAAAGATTATGTTCTTGATCCCAAAATCTTGAACGTCGCTATATTCTTCCAACCATAGCTTGAATGCCCATGGAGACACGACATACATTTTTTGATCATTACCTCGGTTCAGCTGAAGGAAGAGTTAAGTTTAAATCAATGAATTTTACTGGCATAAACTTTTTGGGCAACACATACCTCAGACCACTTCGCCAATATATGAACAACGCCAAGATGATGATCCGCATGCAAGTGAGAAACAAAGATAGCCTTCAAGTTATTGACAGCCTTGTCGATGCCGTCTCGTCCCATAATCCTTAGCATCTGCCCGTATGTATTTTCGCCAGCGTCCAATAAGATCGACCCACTATCTGGAATCTCCACTAATGTTGCACTCACTACGTCAAAAGACGATATAGTTAGATTTAAATGACTAAAAAATTTGGCTTTACAAGTCAACCTACCATTTCTGTACTTGGAAGGCACAGAGCTACCGGTTCCTAGAGTGGTGATTTCTACATTTGCTCCAGGAGCATCATCTGCGCTATCTACGTCCATGATAGCTTGCTTGGCCTCGTTGGCGTCAGCCAGATATTCTGTTAAGCCTTCCACAGCTTGATTTGCTTCGCTATTAGGGTCGATATGGTCAAAAAGCTTGTTTTGCAACTTTTGCAACTTGGGCTTTGGCTCTAAATCAAACTGTAACAAATTCTCCATTGGATGAGAAAGTTTTGGAAGAGCAGGTACTGTATACACATTAGAGCCTGAAATTTCGCGTACAGTCATCCAACATTACTTACTCTCAGTGAGATCTTTTTCAGGCGAATTGGAGTACCAAGGAATTGGGAACATCTCATTGTTGAGCCTTGATAATTTCAATTGACTCAATGCATGGCTGTCGAACAACACTGGATGTGAATTGTATTCTTGATTACCGATGATATGCTGTGTGCGTGAAAAAAAAAACCTTAAGTTTCAGATGTGTACTGAATTACTTTTCCGTTCTGAACTGAAAACCTTACCTGAACATTTGAGGGAAATGTATTCATCCACTCTTGATACTGCTGATTCTCTAATACGTCTTTACCCAACATATGGACAATGACAGAAAGTCTGCTACCATTTACTGCGCCTTGATGCTCCGAAAAGAGGCTAGAAGAAGTCAGTGATCGGATGTATTCAGGGGAAGGACAATCCACGACGATGAAAACCTTTACGAAAATAATTAGCATTAACCCTCACTGGATGTGTCCTTGTAGCTAGCGTCCTCTCTCTATAACTTACATGACCAGGTATTGGTGGGTCGCAAACTCGATCTGGAGTGACCACTGTACCATCATCTAAAGTAATGCTTTCACCACGATGCAGCTTTCCGTACATTGGGCCAGGTTTTATGCCTAATGCAACCGCAGCAGCCTTGTTAAATTTTCCCTTCACTTCTGGTCCACGGCAAATATATGATATAGCAGCTGGTATGGGCTTGGTGCTAGGTAGCCTTCGATTCATATACCGCGTTCGGTTTGCATTTTGCTGTTGTTGCACAGTAGGCTTTTTTCGAGGAGGTTGGACATCCTCGCCTATTTCTTGAACAATTGCTTGAGATTCGTCTGATGCCGGTTGATAGACTTTCGCGTTAGCAGCGTTCGCTAAGTCTTCACTCTGCTTTTGTTCCTGGAGTATATAGCCAGCTCCTTTTTTTCTCAGATGATCGTTATTTCCTGGCGATGAAGGTACGAACATTTTTGTCAAAACTTTCTTTCTGTACTTTTGTTGCGCTCGTGGTGACAATTGTTGCAAATCCGAATCACTTTCGTCACTTGAGGAGCCAGATTTTGACAAAGCTCTTTTTCTCTGAGAGGGCTCTTGATTCTTTAAGACGGAATCCTTATCTTCAAGCTCGGGCACATACGAGGTTGGATATGCAATGACGGGTACAACTCTCAGATTTTCGTCCTGAAACAAGTCGCTATCATGTTGGAATTCATGTGTCTCCACAGACATGCTAGTGCTGTTCATAAGAATTGCTATTAATAAATTTGCTCGTTTGCAAGTATTGATAAGTCAATCGGTCTCTTACCGATACACAAAATGTCGCGTTGAGACCATAAAATGTGTCAAATTTTTAGGTCCATGCAACGAAATATTTTTGATGCCCCCATCCGCTAGAGTGAGCAGCATACCTGCGATTGCAAATATGAGCGGCTTATACTTGCTATATACCCTCATGTACACAAACTTACCAGGAAGACCACCAACACAATCCCAATCGACTCTTGATAAAAATATATTTTTCATTTTGGCGAGTTTGAGCTTGTTTTCGACGCATAGTCGCTGAGTACCTTCGCCACAGTTAAACATGTATCGTTGATTATCATAGTGTAATATCAATGAAGGTGCTCGTTCCTTATTGACACCTCCAATGACCTGTAGATAGGCTTTCATGCCTCTGTGTTGCTGGCAGTGAAACTTTGAGCCGAATGGCTTGAATTGGAGTGGTAGTGGAGAGGTGACAAGGAGTTTGGAACAAGTGTTCGAGATCAGACCAAATCGTCTATAGAATATGCTGCTGGTCGGTTTAATTAGCACAATTGGCATAGATCATGGACAATTCAGGTTGATTGCCCAGTTGTGCAGACGTCTCAGTACTTGTAGGTGAAAGCTTTATGAAAAAAAGTTTGCGCTGCTTGAATCAAAATTTTAGCAAGTGGCCGAAAAGGGGTGTCGCAGTATGAAGGACGAAGTTTGACTCACAGAATCACCCACTTGTTGTAACAGACGAAATGGGTCTTATTTTGATAGAACGATGGAAAAAATTTAAGGCTCGAAAATAAAATAAGAGGAATGAAATCAGAAAAGATCTCTTTATAAGTCTCGCTGCAAGATGGTTCATACATTGTAACTTCTAATATACAAGGGGTTCAACCTCAAGACGATGAAATAACACAAAGTACGATACAATTGCCTATATCAATTAAAAAATTTGTAGCCTGTCGGATTCTGTTGGGCAGTAAGTCGTCGCCGCCATGTTAAAGGTAAGTGTGGATGGCTTTTGACTTTGAGGTACAAACATCATATTCCTTTAAACAATATCGATAAAATGCTTTCATGCAACAAAATACGATAGCCTATTCTTACCATATCATTTTCGCTAACCATTCGTGTGCCATTAGGGCTGGATGAAAACAATCTGTGGAATAATAATCGTTTTGAGCAATAAGCAATGCCAAGTGCATTATGTTTCCACCGTACACTTACCTATATTACTGATAGCTTCGATGGGAAAGGACATAATATTGACAGGAAGAGGCTGGTAAGCTACCCCAAAAGTTGGAAAATTTTGAGCTGCATATGTCGAATAGACGCTTTTAAGTGCTTGATTGTAAAATTCAACGTTGGCTGCCATGGCCGTTTGGTTTGCCATACTATGGGCGCAAGGGCATTCATAATCATGGACCACGAAGGCGTTATTTTGAAAAGGTTTGCAGTAGCTTGAGTTCATGGTCAATTGATAGATATCCTCAACATGTATAAGGCCGACTGCATAAAAAATTGTTTAGTAAACAACTTATATTGCAGGTTGGAATCTCGGATTGGAAAACGATTCTTGCTTAAATTGACGAAGACGTTGCTCATACTAGATCGAAATCTTTCCAGCGCTGCAAGAATGTTTTGTCCATACTCCGTTGGCGATCGATAGCCTCCCTCGCAAATGGCACAAAGGTCATTAGATCCAATAAAAACATTAAGCATTTTCCAACCACTTTGATTTAATCCAGCATATTGTTGCACAGTAGGTATGAGATAATCCAATTCGTGATCCAAATCAGAACTGTGAGCTCCAGATTGTGCAGCGTTGAAGTAATCATTGGCACTTCAGGCAGCAATTCACTTTGATCAGCTCTTACTGTTTTTATCTTCATACATGAGGAGAACTACTCACTGGTATTGAAAATCGGGACAAAAGCTTTCTGTTGATGATTAAAGGCGGCATAAGTCCTTGGCTGGTTGCATATAAGTTCTAACCCCAACTTACGGAAGCATAATGTGATAAGGTTTGTACCGACCGAGGGACCTACAAGGTTGGTGGAGTAATAGCGTACCATATTTGCTACCGTGGTAGCATTGGGATCCTAAAGAGATAAAGGGTAAAGTCAAGCAAAATTAAATGTGGTAACGACTGAGTTCCTGATACCTACACCACCAATTGAAAAACTTGAACCTCTATATTCTTGTAAGCTGTTATCACTAAGAAACTGACCCTGTATGCCGCCAATGCCAAAGCCAGCAGACACGCTATGAAGCATGAATGACGTGTTAAGAAACGCGAATAGTGCAGTGAGAAGCATGCTTGGTCCAACCTGTCACCCAAAGCCATAATCATGGTAAAGTCATCTGGACGCAAGTCATACGCTCCAAGCGGAGGATTCGTTCTCTTTGCCAGTTGCGGACAAAGCGAGATGTTGGCAACTTGCAGCCCTAGCGTGCATGGAACAACAACAATTAAAAAGAACAAAAGCATGCTTCAACCCACATATAATGTCATAAAGGGTGGTTTAAGAATTGAAAAAATAAATCTTTTTTTAATTATGGCTAATAGTAAGCGAAAAAGGAGGGGTCGCAGTCAAGATATTGAACATGCGACAGATATCATTACATTTTAAAAATACAATTAAAAGAGTACAAGAAAAGAGGGCATAATTTACAATGAGGCATCTACACTGCTGTGTTCAGCGTTGAGATGCTCCAATTCTTCAACATCAATATCAAGCGGAAGAGTGGCGTTCAAGAGAGTAGCAATGATGGCAGCAATGCAGAATCCAGTACTATTACACAAAAATGTTAGCTGTCGAGTATCTGCATTATATCACATCATTATGACAAGAATATATGCATACCTGACAATAACTTGGATGGAATCCAAGAAACCTCGCAATGCAAGGTTACTTCCAGAGTAAGTCAAGACATAGTTAAACCAATCAGGAACCAGGTTGACGCCAAGGCCGATGGTCATAGCAGCGGACACAATGAAACGCTCGCGACGGGTCCACTTCAAGTAGCTGAGAATACGAATACCAGCAACGGCAACAGTGCTGAAAAGGAAAGTGGTCATACCACCAAGTACAGCATCTGGAACAGCCAAGAAGACACCAGCGAACTTTCCAAAGATACCCATGAGGAACAAGAAAAGACAGCACCAATATCCAGCAGCACGATTAGCACATCTTGTGAGAGCAATGACACCGTTGTTTTGAGCGAAAGTGACGAGAGGAGTAGAGGTGGCGCAGGCGGCGATCAAAGAGTTGATGCCATCGACCAAGATACCGCCCTTGATTCTCTTCTCAAACTCAGGTCCTTCAACAGCGACACGTGATGCGTCGCAGGATGCGGTAATGTCACCAACAGCTTCCACAACAGATACAAGATAGACAATCAGCATAGGAATAACGGCAGGGCCATAAACAGAAATAGGGAAAGTCTTGACCCAAAGGAAAGTAATGACAGGTGCACTATCGATCTTTGAGTGGTCAATGTATCCAGTGGCAGCGGCGACAATGATACCGATGACAAAACCAACAACCACTTGAATGTTCTTGAGGAAAGGAGATCCGAAATATTCAATGAGGATAATAGAAACGTATACCAAGAATCCCAAACCAATCCAGCGCGGGTCTCCCCAAGGAGCAGCATTGGGGGCACCAAGTTCGGAGCAGACGCTGAAGAAACCACTGTCAGGACGAGCAACACAAGGACCAGCACCACCACCCCAGCTCTGGAAGCCAGAAGTGACTAGAGAAAGACCAATGAGGAAGACAGTGGTACCAGTGACAATAGGAGGGAACATCTTCTTCAAAGTCTTGGGAGGCAAGAACGAGAGAGCCATTGGCAACAATGAACATATCATGGAGGTACCCAATAGAGCGCCATAGCCGGCTGGACAAGCAAGATTGGTAACTGTTCCGTCTGCAGCGGTAGAGGTAGGGCAATAACCGGTTTTGTACATATTCTGCAGGTGCAGTCACGTTAATGATAAGCTGAACTAAGCGAGAGGAGGCTGCCCCCCCCCAAAGAAAAAATTTTCCACGAAAGATGTTACTTACGGCGAAAACAGATTGGGCAAGAGGGATAATAGTAAAAGTAGTTCCAACAACACTCAGTAAACCAGTACCAAGTTGGAATCCTCGGTATCGAAAAGCAGTGATTTGAATGGCTGAACCAATAGCAGTGACAATCAAAGCAGAACTGATCATGTACTGCTGATAGTCTTCAGGCAAATTCAAGTTACCAGTACCTTGGCCACTAAGAATCAAGGAGGGCTATAGAAAACAACGCAGCGTTAACACGGGCCCCTGTATGAGCATGGACATTGCGCAGAGCACTCACTGTAACAACACCGCTGACCATAGCAAGACAATGCTGGAAGCCCAAAAAGATGGCCAACAAGATTGGGAGATTTGTATTCAGGCCAAAAAATGGAGGGGTGTTGGTTCTTTTTGTAAGAAATGGGATTCTGGGCATGCAAAGAAATCCATAGTCATAATCGCCTAGCCAACCATCCTTGGTGGTGACAGAGTGCTTTAGAGATTGGAGTCTTTCGCTCATAGTCTTGCGTTCATATGTTGGTGTGTTTTCAACATATTCGGTTTGGACCATATCTTTGGTCTCCTGATGACTCTCTATAGGTGCTTCCATACTGATGCGAGTAGTTGCTTCTGTAGAACAAAACCACAGAGGCGTAATATTTATACTGGATGAAAGTGGTGCTGATAAGATGAACGCCTATCTTCGATTTCCTTTTGCGGTGTTGAACCTATAGGTGCGATAGAAAACCTCCTCCACAATTTTTAAAGTTTACCCTCAAATGATTGGTTGATTAATCTTTTTCGGACAATGTAGTATCAACGAGCTGGTAAACAGCCTATGCTTTCCGATATGTATAGCCTTACCGACACGTTTTATACCAGTATCAAATCATGCCGTTTATATAAACATAAGCTAATATACAGGAGTCCTGGACTCTATAAATTTCACCTCATCCTTTACAGTGCGTCAACGGGCTTGGAGCGTTTAGAAAGCACTATGCGATATTGATAAATGTGACAAGCAAAAACGCGATATCGTAACACACACCACATGTCAGCAAGAGATAATGATTAAATTGCTGACTGCGAACCTTCCATCAAGAAAGGCTCGTTGTGTGAATTGTATCACAGTGCACCATGGAAAGAAAGATAAACGCAAGACATGAAAGTTGTAAGTTTAGCTGATACAATACATCTATCCCAGGCTATGATAATCTGTCATCGTCGAAATCTGTTTATGATATGTTTAATGTTGTATTGCTTCGGGCTGTGAAAGCCACGTTAAGAGCCAAGTTCCGGGTCCGTAGGGGCATGGAAGAATTGCACTTTTAACAAATGTAAAAGATCCAGAGGAAAGGGAAATTAGATGGTAATTCAAATATTGGCCCACTTGTCATTGCATTCAGCCGAACAAAGCCGAAGCAAAAGTCGAGGTGCTGTATGATGAAAATGTGATCTCTTCCTAAAATCCTTTTGTAGACAACCTTACCAACGGCTTTTCTCTTTCTCACATCTTTTTCCCTCTCACCGCCAAGCTTTAAGAAAAATATCTTGCAGCTATCCGATTTCCCCGACTTCAACAAAACAAACCAGTGTAGTGACCTATGCTATCGGCACTTCTTGCTCTAGCACTCCCCGTGGTAACCGCCTTTATAACTCCGGATGCGATATGGGGAAATAGTAAGTACCACCCCCGTTGGCATATCTTGGGTACTTTATAAACTGTGTGTAACGTCTAAAAATTTATACAACAGATTGTGTCCGAGCCAATAGAGGTATCTATTGTTTTGGAGGTTTGCAACCAGGCCCAACCATTTCCACGAAGATGTATCATTTAGACATCTCAACTTCCTGGGATTCTACCGCACCACCATGGTCAGATTTGTCGGATTCCAATTCCAGCACAACGGTCCCAGCGATAAATTCAGCATTTGCCGGAGCTTCTACCTTATCAGACCACAGTAACATTTTAGTAAACGGTGGATCGACTGCTCCAGACCTGACCGCTGTTTCCAGTAGTACAGCTCAATTCGACACCAGAACGAACACATGGTCTGTGCCAGTCATTTCAGATCGGTCGCTGAAACAATCGTATGTCAATTTTTTCTCTGTTTAGTATTGGTGTGTGGTAAAATCTACAATGCATTTAAAATAACCTTTCGTAGACGATATTATCACTCGCTTTTGTCAGATGGTCAAGGTAGAATTTGGATATGGGGAGGGCGAGAGTAAGTTTTGTCGAGTACATCAATGGACGAAGACGAAAATAAGTGAGACTGAGCTTTCTGACGCTTATTGTTCACTTTTAGCACCGAACAGTACTACAACACTTGGGCTGTAATGGATACCACAGTAAGAGCGGTGGTTAAATGTAGATAAGGCCATATCAGCATTATTAATATACACCTTGACATTGCAGACTTGGAGCATAAGCTACCCAGAAATACCAAACGCACCTGGTCCTAGAATACAGCATACTGCAACTATGGTTCCTGATGGTAAAATTATCATCATAGGCGGTTTAACTTATTCTCGCAATGTAACGGACCCGCTGGGTGGGCAAATACTAAATCCTGTTTCAATGGCCGACCTACTTCTATTTGATATGGCCACCGCAAAATGGACAAATCTAACTGCCGGTGGAAATGTGCCCGCTCCTAGACGGGAGCATACTTCAGTATTGAGTAAATAATTACTACCACATTATTCTATGCGGCCGAATTTGTCATACTAAGCTTTGTTGCCTTCGTAGGTCGTGATTCTTCTTCAATAATTGTATTCGGAGGCGGGGATCCAAGTAAGTCTTCTTTCGCTACATGTCCGACAATTTGTGTCAAATAGCCAACATACAGTCTATTATAGGATTTAATAATGTTAATATGAACGATGTTTTTGTTCTCAACTTGACATCTTTACTGTGGAGCTCGCCATCAACCTCAAATGAACCACCTCCTCCAAGAAAGTCCCACCAAGGTACCGTATTTCATCTTGTGTTTTAAATGTCAGGTATGGATAGGGCTTTACTAAAGGAGAACGTGTCTTACACGAATATGTCTATCAGCTATTCTGGTCAAAGATTCAATGCTCATCATGTTCGGAAACAACGGTGAAGACAGCGCATACAATGATGTTCACATTATGGATACATCAACTTGGAGTTGGAAAACCCAGTATGATATAAACGATGATGAGCCAAAGGATACTGAGAGTATGGGCTCATCGGCTGGAGCCAACAATCAACATGTAATGTCTTTACAGGCTGAATTAGCCACCAAAGCTTTATTCGGCTCGATCATCTTGGCCAGTGCCTTAGCGGTAAGTGTAAATAGCAGTCTATACATGCTGAATTCATCCGCTGACATACACATACATAGATAATTGGTTTAATTTGTTTGATCGGTAACATCATATCTTATCATCGAACAAAAAGCCGTCAACGAAAGTCCGAAGCATTTGACAATGTTCTTTCTGAAAACTACCTACAAGATATTCGAGAACTTATCCGAATGGGAACTTTACATTCTCAGCTGCACTCGTCTATGACCCCACAAAAGCCAGACCTTGAGGATGACATTAGTTCTCAAAAACCAAACGAGCAAGACTCACTTCCCTAGATCCAATTTTGAATTGTATTCAAATTCATGTAAATTAAAATCCCCCCAGCAGCAATGTCACAATAATACAAGTCTATTAAAATGCCAACAACAAAAAGAATAAAACATGAGAATGAGTTGAAAATCAAAGCATCAAGCTAGATGTCTAATAGTAGAAGAGTAGAGAGAGAGAGAGAGAGAGAGAGAGAGAGAGAGAGAAACTAAAACGATATGAATTGACCAGAAGCCTATCGGCATGATATAGTTCGGAACTGGGGTATACAGTCAGTGACATTCTTTTCTGTTCTTAGTTAATGTTGCTATCTCAAAGCCAGAATGGCTTATGGGCGCGATCATATGGGACCAACTCTTCGTCAAAAATCTCTATAAACTAAGACAAGGAAGACAGCCACTGTTACCAAGGTTGATCGATCCGCTAATCCAATCGAAAATTGCAATTACCTCCAAGTCTGCCAACACTTTTGTATCCGCAAATCTTCGATACTCATCAAATATAGAAGTTTTTGACCATCTCTGTATCTTGCGTAAACATCCAACGAGACAACCAATGCGATGCTGAAAAAGAGCCATTAGAACATCACCGGGAATATGAACAAAACGAATAACTCTAACCCACCTTCCCTTTCAAACAATGGATCAAAACTAAAAATCGACGTATGAGCATTTGTATGCAAAGTGTTTTCAGAACCAGCGTACTATGAAGATGCTTACCAGGATGACTTCGCTCGTCTAAAAGTTTCACAAGCGCATGATTGATATCTTCTGTGCTGATTTCCTGGAATGGCTCTTTGTTTCCTTCTGTTCTGTAGTGGAAAGTTTGGATGCCTTCTTCTCGCATGAACTGTTCCATATCCGGTGTCAAATCCTCCATTGCAAAGTACCTAAATAGCCATAAGTATAAGTAAGCGACAAGCCGAAATTATTTTCATGATTGTGTTGCTTATTGCAATTCTCCAACAGTTCTGACTATGTTTGGAGACATCTTGCCAAAGAAACTTACATAACAGTCTTGAGACCTAGTTTTCGTAAGAATGGGAAGTTTTGCCGATTGGGATGCCCAGATCTGTATACTCCTGGAGACACCATGGCGAAGTTCAGCGGTGGAACCAAAGGCATGTTTGGTTGTGTGCGTAATGGTTGGTCTTGATTGGATGTGTTCTTGTCATTCACCATGGTACTGCTGGGTAAAAGGGCATATACCTGACAGCGGTCACAGTCAGCGCAAGTCTCAAACTTCCAGCCGTCAATTTGCTTATAAAAATTAAAGACGCCGCAGTCCTGTTCGTTCGTTTTCAATCTCTTACCACGAACCATTGCTATGACTTCAAGTGGTCCTTCTGCCGCTTCTCAAAAAAAGCGAAAGTTGAGTGGTGAGAGTCCTTTGAATTGTTAGATTATTGTAGTACCTGCAGCCATTTCATGCTCAATAAAAATACGATACACAGATGCCGAAAGCTCAGACGAAGACAGCGATGTTCAGCTTGACTTGAATTTGCAAAACAAGCTTTACGGTATGAAGCCTATGCCACTTTGTTAACATTTTATATATTTATCATTCTCATGCTTTTGTTGCTCATATCCGTCCATGAAAAAAATCATTAGTTCCTCGTCATGCAAACTTGGATCCGTCAAGCTTGAATAGCACGCACCATGGTATCGGTATTGAGGGCCAAAAGGACTTTGTATCTCATATCTTTGGAAACGAGGATTATACTTGGCTACCTTTGAAAAATGACCATAAATCTCGCCCACTTTGGATATCTCCAGAGAATGGGCACATCATTCTCGAAGGCTTCTCTCCGATTGCAGAGCAAGCCCAAGACTTTTTAGTTGCCATCAGTGAACCCGTTAGCAGGTGTGTGTTTGAGAATATAAGGTATAGCAAGGTTGTAACTTATTGACAAATCCGATCCTCTCATCTGCAGACCGGCTCATATTCATGAGTACAAGTTGACACCATACTCATTGTATGCCGCTGTTTCAGTTGGACTCGAAACCGAAGATATCATCGAAGTGTTGAATCGACTTTCAAAGGTTCCAGTCCCCGAATCAATCACAAAGTTCATACGGCAGTGTACGCTTTCTTACGGAAAAGTGAAGCTTGTTTTGAAACACAATCGATACTATGTCGAATCGGCTCATCCAGAGACGCTACAAATGTTGTTGAAAGATTCAGTAATAGGTGCAGGACGCGTATACAGAGATGAGAACGATCAAATTACTACCGAGCAAAACTCTGCGCTTACGGTCAGCAGTAAACCTACCGGCAAAGATTTGACGATTCCCGGTATACAAAAAGGAAAAGATACCAAACCTGATGGACTCAACGAAAAGCTTACGGCTGAGGAGCAAAAGAAGGAAGATGAAAAGCTATTCGGTGCTGTAGTTGCAATTGATAAAGAGGACGAAGACGATGACGACGAAGCAGAACAGGTGCATGCATTCGAGATTCAGGCAGACCATGTCGAGGTAAGTTATGAGGCATTTCCCGTGAATGATCAATCGGAATGACTAAGTGTAATGTGGTTCAACAGAACATAAAAAAGAGATGTAACGAAATCGATTACCCAATGCTAGAGGAATATGATTTCAGAAACGACACTGTCAATCCTAATCTCGAAATTGATCTCAAACCAATCACTGTTATTCGACCATACCAAGAAAAGAGTTTGTCCAAGATGTTTGGTAACGGGTAAGACATTTCAAGGGTATATCCAGACTTGCCCATGTGTGTACTGTGTCTAACGAACCTCACCCTCTAGCCGTGCCCGTTCTGGAATTATTGTGCTGCCTTGCGGTGCTGGTAAGACACTGGTTGGCATTACGGCCGCCTGTACCATCAAGAAAAGCTGTCTTGTCCTCTGTACATCTTCGTAAGTACTGTATTGCGCAACCTAATGAATACTGTGGTGTAGTTATTCATTCAACAAATTTTAGGGTGTCTGTCATGCAATGGAAACAGCAATTTTTGCAATGGAGTAATATCAAAGAAAACCAGATTGCTGTTTTCACTTCGGATCAAAAGGAACGCTTTTCAGGCGATGCTGGCATCGTCATTTCGACTTATTCCATGGTAGCTAACAAGCGGAAGAGATCATACGACGCGCAAAAGATGATGGACTTTTTGGAATCAAGAGAGTGGGGCTTCCTTCTTTTAGACGAAGTCCATGTCGTTCCAGCGAATATGTTTAGAACGGTAGTGACTACAATTGCTGCGCATGCAAAGCTTGGTTTGACTGGTAAGAAATTCTTTTGACTGTGAAAGCTTAGACTTTAAAACTTGTCGTTCATCACTCAAACTTTTTGGGTTCCTAGCTACACTTGTCAGAGAGGATGAGAAGATTGATGATCTGAACTTTTTGATTGGCCCCAAGTTGTACGAGGCAAACTGGATGGACCTTGCTAGTAAAGGACATATTGCAAATGTGCAGGTAAGTACCATGCCAGGTGCAGTACATAAGATTTTATAGCTAAACAATTCGCAACCATAGTGTGCTGAGGTTTGGTGTCCAATGACTCCAGAGTTCTATGCTGAATATTTGCTCGAGAATACCCGCAAAAGAACATTGCTCTATGTCATGAACCCCAGAAAGTTCCAGGCGTGTCAATATTTGATCCGATATCACGAGGAAAGAGGCGACAAGATCATTGTCTTTTCAGATAATGTTCATGCTCTTGTAGTATGTATCATGTTGATCATGACATAACTGCTCAACGTCTTTACAAATTGACACATTTCTGCTTTAAATAGGAATATGCCAAAAAGCTGCAGAAACCTTACATTTATGGTGGTACAGGCCAACAGGAGCGAATGCGCATTCTTCAAAATTTCCAGTATAACCCTATTGTCAATACCATTTTTTTGTCTAAGGTAAGTTTATTGTAAAGGTACCGCAGTCGCATGATGTGTTTGCTTACGCAACGCATTCAAGGTTGGAGATACTTCCATTGATCTGCCTGAAGCCACGTGCTTGATCCAAATTTCGTCTCATTATGGCTCTCGAAGACAAGAAGCCCAGCGATTAGGTAAGTACAGTTGCTGCGCGAGCGTCATTGAAGTCCCGTTCTTCTAATCACCTCATTAGGACGCATCCTTCGCGCGAAGAGAAGGAACGACGAAGGCTTTAATGCGTTCTTTTATTCACTTGTCTCAAAAGATACGCAAGAAATGTATTACTCAACTAAACGACAACAGTTCTTGATCGATCAAGGCTACGCATTCAAAGTTATTACCAACTTGGAAGGCATCGACAGTGACCCGACCCTTGTGTTTAAAACTAAGAATGAGCAGTTGGATCTTTTGAAAAGCGTACTGCTTACTAATGAGGTACGTTGCCACATACAAAGAATAGCAGCCAACTGACACACAGCTAACCCCTTCTCCGATTTAGGCGGACCTGAAAGATGAGGATCTTCATGAAATGGATGACGTTGGCCGCATCACCGACCGCAAAGTTGCAGCTAAGAATCGTCTACCTGGATTAGTCAGACGAACTATGACTACTTCTAAATCATTGGCCGGTGGCGATAACATGGCATACATGGAGTATTCTCGTAGCTCTGGTGGACAGTTTGCGAAGAATCCTAGAGGTAACCCAGGTGCTAGTAAAGAGCATCATAGCTTATTCAAGAAACATTTGAAGCGGAAATAGAATCGTGCGTGATTGGAAGGATCGTGGTTTGGAAGATTTAGAGTTTGTAAGCTTCCCGGCTTCTACCAGTTCCAATTGTCTGCTTTGGGTTTATCCAGCATTTTCCCGCCCATCTCCATAGTCGATGTTTAACCTAGCATACTAACCAGAGAGCATCTCAATATGTGATATGTCGTTCATCAACAATAAAATTTACACCATTGTATAGAAATGCAATATAAAAGCTCGGTCCATGAAAAAAAAACTTAACCGTCAGTCTCAAATAGGAACTTGACGTTTTTAACAGTCACGTATCCGGAGTTTTGGTACCCAACTACAAATATGCCTTATTTTCCAAAGCTGAAAACTACACTTTACCTTCTCTTTCAGCTACAACTAAGAAGGAATCATTATGGCTGCACAAAAGATCAACGTTGGTGTTATTGGATTTGGTAAGTACCCTATCTTCGAGTGACTCACTTTCCTGAGTACGATGTATCTGACCGCATCATTAGGTATGTCCTCCAAGACTTTCCACTGCCCATTGATCGTCTCGTCACCACACCTTGTTCTTCACTCGATCGTTTCAAGCAACGACTCCTGCACAAAGGTTTACCCACAAGCAAAGCATGTTGCCACCACTGCTGACCTCTTTGCTTCCAAGGACGTCCAGCTTGTCGTCATCACAACCCCCAACGAACTTCACTTCCCACTGGCCAAGCAAGCCATGGAAGCCGGAAAGAACGTTGTTGTCGAGAAGCCATTCACAGTTACATCTCAAGAAGCTGCTGAGTTGGTTGAAATCTCAAAGCGCACTGGTTTGGTGTGCAGTATTTACCAAAACCGACGATGGGACGGAGACTTGTTGACGGCCAAGAAGATTATTGAGAACGGACAGCTTGGTCGTTTGGTTGAGTTCGAGAGTCACTTTGACCGCTTCCGTAACTTTGTCAAGGCTGGATGGCGCGAACAGGATGTTCCCGGAAGTGGTATGCTTTATGATCTCGGCGCACATTTGATCGATCAAGGTAAGCAAGCATAAACATGCTGGGGGGCGGCAATTTAAGTGACTGGTTTTGGGATGGTAGTAGAGTATGTGAGAGAATTTAGACTCATCCTTATTTTTTCCATAGCTCTCCATCTCTTTGGCAAGCCATACTCTGTCTATGGCGTAGTTGAAAACCAACGTCAATTGAAAGACTCTAGCATCGACGATGACTTTACTATCATCTTCCGTTATAAGACTGGATTGAAGGTCCTTTTGCGTTCCAGCATGCTTGCACGCCAAACCCCCGTCCTTCGATTCTCTCTACGTGGTATGGATGGAAGCTATATCAAGCACTACCTTGACCCTCAAGAAGATCAATTGAAGTCTGGTCAAACTCCCAAGAATGCTGGGTTCGGTGTGGAGCCAGAGAGCCAATGGGGTACAATCAACACCGAAGTCAACGGAATTCACGTTGTTGGTAAGGTTGAGACCTTGTCTGGAAAGTACTTGGATTTCTACAACAATGTTGCAGAAACCATTTTGAAGGGCGACCTCAGCCACTTGGCTGTCAAGCCTGAACAAGGTTACGACACCATCCGCATGATTGAAGTCATTCGCCAGAGCAGCGACGAGGGTGGCAAGACCATTGTATTGTAAATTAGAAGATAAAAAAAAATGTCAAATAAACATATTGCTTCATTGCTCATGCATTATCTTGCTTGTCAGGGGAAGGCTTGTGTCATGGATGGAAAGAACATCAACTTGGAATCGATGATGAATTATTTGGATATTAGGCTGTTGAAAATGCAGTACTCTTTTATCTCTATTTTTCCCAAATACAGTGCCGACCGATCCACGTTAGTTTCAGCCCAGGCAACCCAGAGTACTTATTACGAATATTTTTTTATTTTATTTATGGCTTTAAATGTGCACAATTGATTCTTTACATTGGATGCTAATATTGTGTTCCAATTTTTTTTTTTTTTTTATTAAAAAACTCCAGTATATTACAAAGTATGTTTATGTTGATGTAAATACACCTGCATGCCATGATAGATTGCATCATTTGTAATGTATATAATTCAATAATATTTAGAGTATCCCAAAACTTCGCTTTCCATATGCTGTATCAACAAAATGAGACTTCACCTACGTCTCAAACGGTTGATTTCATTCCCTGCATAGAAACTGAGAATGTATTCCGGACCGTTGCAACAATGTAGGGATGGAAACGTCAACATTTCGTGCATTGTTTGATTACAAGGGCATACCCTGTCTTCTCCGACGATAGTGCTAATATCATACCTTGCACAGTTTCCTTACTTGGCGCTAATGTTTTCATAGGAAAACAAGCTGTCCTTAGACTGCAAAAATGTCAAAAATGTATCAACCAAACAAATTTCCCATTGAGCAGAAATCGACTTGCTTTGCCGCTTTAAAGACCTATAATATGTTTTTTATTAAATCGAAAATTGGGTAGAATGGTGTCATTGCCCTCGTTTAGAGTTGTGAAAGATTGGATGCCCGCGAGGTCAACCAATATTGTGTGATGGTCATGGGAACACACAGGGCCAATCAGGTCGAAAGTATAAAAAATATAAAATTGCTATTGAGAAGGGGTTACTGTTCGTTCTTTATTTTTTCATTCCATGCCAGATGAAACAACCCCAATCTTGCATCACGTCCGTAGGCGTACCACGGGTAACACTGATTACGACTCTCTGAATGACTCGGGCCGACCTTCCCGTCAAGATTCTCGGGTGTTACAATCAAGACGATCTTCATTCCACTTCATGAAGAGACGGACAGGAGCTTATGACGAAGACTCTCAAGGCCTTATCAACGAGAACACTGGTATTAGAGTGTGGTATGAAAATTACTCCAGTATAGGTAAGTAATGTTGTGGATAGCAAGCAATTTAACCAGTTCACCAATCGCATGCCGATAACTTGCTCATGTTTTGATATACCTGTTTCAGATTGGATCCACGATCACATTAAGGAAAAGTTGCGGCTGCGAAAGCTGAGATCACTGCGTGGCGTTAGGGGCTATATGAAAAATATGTTTGACGGTGCACAAGCTTGGATTCTAGTGACCATCATTGGACTGGTTGTAGCCGTCATGGCCTGGCTCATCGACATCATTCAAGAACTTTTGACGGATTGGAAAGATGGTTTTTGTGTTGAAACCTGGCGCTATAATCACAAATTTTGCTGCTGGGGTAAAGAAGGTAGGACTCCCTAGATGCTAATTAGTATTTGCATGTTTATTGTCTGCTGATATTTATTGTCTTCCGCAACCACCAGAGTATGAAGCATGTCCAGCTTGGCAATCTTGGGCTGATATATTGGATGCGCAATCACATGAACGTCGATACTATGCAGCTATGGGCATGTATCTATTGTTTGGGGTAATAATTTTTGCTGATCATATTCTTCCAGTCTTGTGAAGTCTTATTAACATGTCCTCTTAGCTTGTTTTTTGTGGTGCAGCTGCTCTCTTGGTCAAATACTCCGCTGAACGTGTGACTTCCCGTGTGCCTGCAGTTGCACCTACACACCGCTCATTCTCTCGTACTTCCTCGACGCTTTTACCACCACATGAAAACTTCGATCATGAAAACACTGCCGCCAAGTCGCAAGCATCACCCTTGATCATTACCAAAACAAAAATGGCCTATTATTGTGCCGGATCTGGTATTCCTGAAGTCAAGGTCATTCTAGGTGGTTTCGTCATCAAAGGATTTTTGGGTATAAAGACCTTATTTGTCAAGAGCGTTGGTCTGGTAGGTCTTATGATAGATTGGTCATTGAACATCAAATGCGGTCTTTATTTTTCAAGCCTAACACACAATGACGATGTATAGATTTTGTCAACGTCGTCTGGTCTCAACTGTGGTAAAGAAGGGCCATTCGTCCATATCGGATGCTGTGTAGGAAATATTGCGTGCAGATTGTTCAACAAGTTCAACAAAAATGAGGGCAAACGTAGAGAGATACTATCAGCATCCGCTGCTGCGGGTGTATCAGTAGCATTTGGCGCTCCCATTGGTGGCGTATTGTTCAGTCTGGAAGAAGTGAGCTACTACTTTCCCATCAAAACTATGATCCGTAGCTATTTCTGTGCTCTAGTGGCTGCTATGTTTTTGAAGGTACGTGAGAGACCATGCAAACCCCCTCCTTTATCTCATACTCATATACCTTGCCAATCCATACACAGATTCTAAACCCATTCGGCACTGGAAAGATTGTAATGTTCCAAGTTCGATATGACAAGGAATATCATATCTTTGAGTTGTTCGGATTTGTTCTATGTGGTATTTTTGGTGTAAGTTTACATATCCATTTTATTCTCTTGCTTGTCCAATCAGCATCACTTATCCGTCTTTAGGGTTTGATGGGCGCTTTGTTTTCATACTGCAACATTCGCTATCAACGACTCCGCAAGACTACGATTATAGGAAAATACCCAGTCTTAGAAGCTCTTGGCATCATGGCTATGACCGTTCTCGTCAGCTTTTGGAGCCCTTACGCTCGCATGTCTTTGACCGAATTCGTCACTAATCTGTTTTCCGAGTGTCTGCCCAAAGATGATAACGAAGGACTGTGTGCGTAAGTAGTATTTACACTTTTTCTGCTGTGTAATGATTTCACATCTACTGGTCATTGACAATGGTCTATAGAAAAACGGCAAGCGAAATTCCACCCTTAGTGTTCCTCCTTTTGTCAACGCTGGTCATCAAGTTGTTCCTGAGCATAATTACGTTCGGTATTCGCGTTCCAGGAGGTGTCTTTTTACCGTCTTTGGCTATTGGAGCCATCTTTGGCCGTGCCATCGGTTTGGTGATGCAATATTTGACACTGGAGTACCACGACAATTGGATCTTTGCAGCTTGCCCAGCGGATTTTGAAACTCATGGGCGTTGTGTTATACCCGGCGTTTATGCTATGGTTGGAGCCGCCGCTAGTCTGGCAGGCGTTACTAGGACCACTGTCTCCTTGGTGGTCATTATGTTCGAGTTGACCCATTCTCTAACCTACGCTGTGCCAATTATGGCAGCAGTGATGATTGCCAAGTGGGTGGCAGATGCTTTCTTCCCCAGCGGTATATACGACCTTGTCATTGATCTGCAAGAATACCCATACTTAGAATCAAAGCGAGAATATATTCACAAAAGCGGCGTGTCAGAATTGACTGAATACCTGGAAACCATTGATATCGAGAAACCATCTACAGTGAATGACTTGCGCAAGGCAACAGAAAGACTCGAAGCCCTTGGCTATGCAGAAGACGGCGGCTTTCCTATTGTTACAGAGGAGTGTACTCTGGTTGGATATATTGCATGCAGTGAACTTCTTCACGCTATTGATGTCGTCACCAAGCGTACACCGGACGGTGGCGAAGGCAATATTAAATGCAATTTCAAGAGGACGACTGCCGACGAGTTTTCATCTACTCCAATGACATTGAGCACCAGTGGAAGTGCCATTTTCACTGAAAATGGAACCGAGCTGCAGAAACTTGGTGACTTTTCACAATATGTCGATCAGGTTGGTGCCATGTTTCAAGTTTATTTTCCTATATGGTGATTTCATTGTGGTCTATGATTGCTAAAAAAAAATACGTTTCTGTAATCCACAGGCGCCACTAACCGTTAATCAACATGCTTCGGTCGAACTTGTCATGGAGTTGTTCATCAAGCTTGGTGTTCGCTATGTTTGCGTAACCAATCCATCTGGAAAATATCTAGGAATTATACACAAGAGAAGGCTACTTGCTTACCTGAAAGAACTTGAGGAAGAAGAGAGTGATGAAGATGATTAAATAGATAGACTCAATTCGAAGAGAATTTGTACAGAACCCATCATTATTTTTCCATTGTATAATTTTCACAACAAGAGAGAAAAGCAATAAAATAAAAGCATAAAAATAATGAGAGTAACGGGGTGTTAAGGTCGTACGCAGTTGCGCGGTAAAGTTGATATTCACGGCCGGGCCTACTTGTAGTCTGATCTTTTGTGACACTCTGCTTCTCCACACTCTTTTGCTCTACCTCCAATATTATGGCATCCACAATCGTCAACTCAAATCCTCCAAAGTGGATCGTTGGCTGGTTCTTTATTTCAAGCTTGGTGGTGTTTTGGGTAAATGACTCAACCGAGCTTATTAAGGAATGCTGATCTCGTACATTCTTGATTAACCTCCCGACTTCTAGGATGCTGGTTACTGTCTTTTGAGGTAATGCGATGGCTTGCGGCCGTTCCATGCCGATCACTCCTATTAACCACTTGTATATCATTCAGACCCCTCAGTATGGCAGGTGGAAAGTACAATTGGATTTGGCGTCCTTATAATCTGTATGCTACTGTAAGTGGGGCATATTGTTTCAGGTACTAGGTTGTTTGCCCTCCTAGCGAAAATTTAAGAAATGTTCCACCTTTCCCTATACTAGGTCGATTACTTCTATGGACCTGAGGCAATTGCAGCAAACGATGGTTTTACAAGTGCTCAGTCCGTCATGAATGTTGTGGAGAACATCGTCAACCTCACCTATGTCTATCTCGCCACCAACCCCAAGATCAATGTTGGCTTTGCTAACTTGGTCGGATTCAGCGGTGCCGTTATGACTCTCTCAAAGACCATTCTGTACTGGCTCAACGATCATTGCTCTGGCTGGGCTCATACAAAGCACAACGATCTCCAAACTTTTATCACACTTTGGGTGGTAAGTTGACGTTGTGGGCCTAGTTTTGGATTGCGTGTACTTACGAATACTGCTTTAACCCCTTTCAGATCCCTAACGGTGTGTGGATTGTTGTTCCCGCCATCATTACTGTTGTCCTTGGAACCGACTTGGTTAAGCGTATGGGTGGTGTTTCGGTAGCTAGTACAAAGAAAGTTCAGTAAAAGTAATAAATAGCATGCTCTCAAGAGCCTGGCGGTTTAATTTTACTTAAAAACGGAGAAAAGGAAAGAAAATATTTTCCGTAATATTTAGTTGGCCCTGAGGCAGCCAGTGTGGCACAGGTCAGAAGGTGGGCAACACTCGATCGGGAAAATAGGAGTTCTGTATGGGTATTATAGTTTTAGAACTACGAAGTGGGGTGGGCACTTCGGCTGGACCGCAGAGGCAGACTTTTGACAAGACCCAATAAAACAGTAAAAGTACCAAAATGGTATGCAGGCGTGTTCCCAGCATGCACTGTTTGGGATAGATTTGCCTTTCCACATTAGCTGAATTGCGGAACTGGGGAAAACACTATTTTGTCTCCGGAATATTTGAGTTAATAAGTCTCCGTACTCACAGACACCGTCACAAGCACTGCCTGGAAGCGGGGATAATAGCGAAATTTGACATCAGGTATAAATATCGGCTGGCTTCTCGTTCGTCTAAAGAACTACTCCATCTTTCAAAGCTTCTCCTCGTAAAACACATCAAATATGGTTCCAAAAGACATCACCATCACTTCCTATGAAGTCCGTGACATTCGCTTCCCCACCTCCAAAAGTCTCGATGGTTCTGATGCCATGAACAAGGATCCTGATTACTCTGCCGCCTACGTTACTTTCTATACCGACTCTGACCTTATTGGCAGTGGTATGACCTTTACCAATGGACGTGGTAACGAAGTCTGCACAGTCGCTATTGAGGCTCTTGCTCCCAAGTTCGTTGGCAAGCGTCTTAGCGAACTCACAGCCAACATGGCCGATACCCACCGCATCTGCACTGGAGACTCCCAACTTCGATGGATCGGTCCTGAGAAGGGTGCCATTCACCTTGCTACTGCCGCTGTCATCAACGCTATCTGGGATCTATGGGCTAAGGCTGCTGGCAAGCCCGTTTGGAAGCTTGTCGCTGATATGACTCCCGAAGAGTTCATTCGTTGCATCGATTTCCGTTACATCACTGATGCTCTCACTCCCGAACAAGCCTTGGACATTCTCAAGGCCAATGAAGCTACCAAGCATGAGCGTGAAGCTGAGATGCTTGAGAAGGGTTACCCTGCTTACACCACTTCCGCTGGTTGGCTCGGTAAGTTATTGACTATTCGATGTGTAAAATGTTTTACCCCCGCCGTGTGTGAATACATAAACTGACTTTACCCCATTTGGCTTATAGGTTATTCAGATGATAAAGTCCGCCGCTTGGTAAGAGAAGCCAAGGCAGAAGGTTTCACTATCTTCAAGCAGAAGGTTGGCTCTGACAAGGCTTCTGATGTTCGACGTGCAGCTCTTCTTCGTGAGGAAATTGGCGAGGATGGTGTATTGATGATGGATGCCAACCAGGTTTGGGATGTGCAAGAGGCTATCGATTGGATGCAAGATCTTCTTCCTTTCAATCCTCTCTTCATTGAGGAGCCCACTTCTCCCGATGATGTCCTCGGCCATGCTGCTATCCGTAAGGCTTTGTACCCTCGCACCCGTGTTGCAACTGGTGAACACATTCAAAACAGAATCATCTTCAAGCAACTCTTCCAAGCTGAGGCTATCGATTTCTGCCAGATCGACTCTTGCCGTGTCGCTGGTGTCAATGAGATCCTTGCTATCCTTTTGATGGCTAAGAAGTTCAATATCCCTGTTTGCCCACACGCTGGCGGTGTTGGTCTCTGTGAATACGTCCAACATCTTTCCCTCATTGACTATATCTGCGTCTCTGGTACTACCGAAGGTCGTGTCCTTGAATATGTTGACCATCTTCACGAACACTTCTTGGACCCTGTCGTCATGAAGAACGGAAGATACACCGCTCCCCGTGCTCCAGGCTACAGCATTACCATGAAGAAGCAATCCATTGAGGACTATACCTTCCCTACTGGCAAGATTCACCAGTCATAAAGACCCCCCTCCACCTCCATCTCATTTTTTCAAGCCAATCATGTGCAATCATATATTTCGCATAGATTCGAATTTTCATAAAGGCCATCTATTTCGTCTTTCTCTAACTTCTAAATAGCTCAAATAACGCCTACGGCTCGTTGGTTTTATTTTTTCTCTACCACTTTGTACAATTGCCTTGATAATAAAAAAGCCATGAACGTAATTCTTTATAGAGCGTATGGGATGCGGTCTTCTTATTGGTGTGATTACCCAATGTGAACTTTATTTTTTATGATGTTGGGACATTTCGCGGGCCGATACCCCACACTCCCTTCATGGCCAAAGCCGAATACATAATATAAGCGAAATATCGCAAAGTGAGGTCTATTTTATATATCTATTAGTTGATGCTTAAGCTTAGCCATATTCATTAACCTTCTGAATTCTCCAGAGTTCTTGCAAATTTGATAGAACTTTGAATCTTTGTTGCGCAATAGTTCATACGGGCTATGACGTGAAGAGAGAAGAAATCGGTTAAGCTGAAAGCGCAGAAACTCAGATCATTATTAGACCAACTTTTCCTTACTTTGCAAACTCAACCACTTGACCTTGATCCAGGACAAGAATACGATCGTATTCAACTACTGTCAATAAACGATGAGCAATGCATAAAATCGTACAATCTTTGAATTCTTGGGCTATAGTGCGCTGGATCTTTTCGTCGGTTCTAAAGTCGACGCTGGCAGTAGCTTCATCCATAACTAGAATACGACGTCGTTGTAGCAAAGCTCTAGCAAGACACAATAGTTGTCGCTGACCTTGCGAGAAGTTGAGTCCTCCTTGACTCACTATGAAAGAATGTCATTCATCGTTGACGTTTTTAAAGGATTTACTTTTTTCAAATAGTGAGGGAAATGTCTTACCAGGAGTATCCAAATCGTAAAACACATTGACGTTACCATTAGAGGTACTTTCTGTTTCCGCTTCGTTCTCACCCGCCAACAAATGAACTCGTTTTAATGCAAGGAATATATCAGCATCTTGAAAAGTGTTGAAAGGATCCAAGTTACTCCTCAGTGTGCCAGTAAACAGAGTAGGATCTTGGGGAATGATACTCATGCTGCTGCGTAAATCGGTAGTTCCAATTTTCGTTATATCAATACCATCAACCAAGATGCTGCCTTGACAAGCCTCAATAAATCGAAAAAGCGATAATGCAACGGTTGACTTTCCACTTCCTGTTCGGCCGACAATGCCAACCTTTTCCTTAGGTTTGACTTTGAAGGACACACCGCGAAGGACTGTCTCCAAATCTGGTGCGTACTTCACATGCAAATCCTTGAATTCGATGATTCCTTGTTCGGGCCACTGTAGTCAATACGTGATGATGAGTGTATGTACATGTGCGCAAGTGTATACCTCAGATACTTACAGTTGAGAGTGGACGAGGCTGGACTACTGCAGGTGGGTCCTGATCAAGTTCAGTGTATTCTACAACTCTTTCAACTGAGTTGAAGCTTAACTGAATAGACGTAGTCCTCCTGATGAGATCAAAAACCTATTGGAAGGTAGATTTAGCCAGTACAATAGATCGTTTCATACAAGGGCTAGTACAGTTACCTGTCCAGTAAATGTGAGAGAATAGCTCATGCAAATAGCAGCAGTCGCTGCTGACAACTGGTCTGGCCACCACAGACACATTAGCGCAATGATACAGGTAATCAAAGTGGAAATGAAGGAGAGTATGCTCGTTATCCAGCGATTAAGGACATAAACGTTGTAACAAGGTCGGAGATTGTTATCAACTAGATGTATCATCTTTGCCATGAACAGTTTGGTTCTACCAAATGCGCGAATTGTGGATACTCCCGCAATGGTCTATCTTGATGTTGAGTATGAGGGGATTCAAACGTATCAAATATATAGGAAAGTGGTGTCTCACCTCTGTAAAGTGGGTAAACATTGGTGATCGATTTATAGACTCCAAGCGTCGGTACTGCAATCCTGAATTCATAAAGAGCTTTCCAATGTATATGTAAAAGACAAGGCAGGCAGCAAAGGGAGCAATGAGCCATGGTATTATGGCTCCAATGAACATGAAAACGGTGATAACGTTTATCAATGCCACGAAAAACTCGACAGTATAGTTGCAGAGGGTCGAATCGATGGTTTCCATGTCTTTAGCGAATCGGTTGAGGATACGACCAACGGGAGTAGTGTCTAAGGAGCATAGTTAGGTACTCATTTCTCTCTTCAAAACACTATAATTTGACGATCCTGACTCACCAAAAAACCGCAGAGGGGCCCGCAGTACGCATTCAAGCATTTCAGCAAAGAGCAAACGCCCCGCTCGAAGTGCACCGACATACACCAAAGCAAATCTTAAGACGCTGAAAGTCAGTTGAGCGAACATTAGGATAGCATAAACTTGGATATAGTATATGACACCATCACTTGAAGGTTGTAGACCATCTAGTGTCTTTGCCTGGCCAAGGTTATCCGTCCACTTCTTTATCCATAGGGATCCAGCAATGTTGAACCCGCGAGCCGAAAGAAACATCAAGCCAAAAATGAGCCAATAAAGCACACCTCCTAGCGCTACACAATACTTCCAGAAAAGTCTCATCTTGACATATCCTTGAGCACGCCGTTCAGCTTCAACCAGAACTTTAGGTCGCTTGACGTTCGGTTTCAAGTCATGAGGGACTGGGGAAATTGTTTCCAAGTTCGATCCAGGGGTAGTCAATGAATCGAGCTCCTCTAAGTCAGGTTCTATCTTTTCGACAGCAACCTCTTCATGATTTAGAATGTATTGGAAGTTTTCGCTGTGTTCCAGTTCCGCTGGGTCACCCCACATCTTGATGTCTCCTTTTTCAACCCAAACAACGTTGGAGGCACCACTGAAGCACAAACGGACGTGATGAGTAATCAAAATCCTTGTTCTTTCGGAAAGTAGTGGTCCCATAATGCAATTTTCATATAAATGTTTTGCCGTATATGCTGAACGCACAGACCAAAATTAGCAAAAAAAAAAAAAGGCAAATCCGTCTCCAAACAACGTACCATCGACAGCACTCAGTACATCATCCATTAGAACATGTTTAGCTCTTGAATATACAGCTCTTGCCAGTGCTACCCTCGCCTTTTGTCCACCAGATAGCGTAATGCCTTTTTCACCTATTTCGGTTTGGTCACCGTCAGGATATTGCGCAAGATCTTGCACTAGAGCACAAGCTTCTATCACTGAATGGTAGCGCTGGTCATTGTGAGGAAGTCCGAATAGAATGTTTTCCATTATACTTGCATTTTGGAGCCAAGCTATTAGAGGCAAGGATGTTATAATATTCCAATCCATATTATTTGAGATTGTCGACCAGACTTACGGTTCTGGGAAACATATGCAATACTGTCCTCGACAATCCAGTTTGCATCCGATAGAGTAGAATCCATATCTACTGGATCAACATCGTCAGATAAAGGAGTTCGCGGACAGTACAATTTACCATTAGGAATGTAAGCCTCTCCAAGTAGTCCCATCATTAACAGCGTCTTTCCTGCGCCTGTGGAGCCACAAATAATTGAGAGCTTGCCGATTGGGAAGTCCACCGTGATATTTTGCATAACAAAAGATTTATCAGTGCTGGAAGGTGAGCTTGCTCGAAAGTCTTCATTCTCATCCTGGATATCAGTCCATGACACCGTAGCGTTTTCCATCCCTATGCGAATAGGTCCATTGGTATCTGACTCATCCACGGTCTCCAGTTCATCTCCATCCAAGTATACATCCACTCTGTCCAAGCTATTTGGTTTTTAACGTTAGCAAGTGGGAGCAAATTAAATGCTGCTGAAAGGAAAGGCATGTCAACTGCTTTAGAGAAGATATATATACCTTACGAGGACTTGCATGGCGTCCGACATACAATGTGGAAGAACGTTCAGAGCAACTCTCAATTCTTCAAATACCAAAAGTGCCGTGAATGCAGTAGCAGCTGTCAATTCGTTTCCAGCAATGATAGTATAAGACCATAGCGATATTACGGAAACAAATATTGGGGTACTAGTATGCCGGGAGAAAGTCAAACCACAAAAGAAAAAGTGAAGTCGGTTGACCGTATCGTCTATGTTATACTTACCCTTGCCAGATAATGTTGAAAACCATCCTAGCAACAGCTATCCTCCAAAGCTGGTTGAGTTCATCTGATCTCTGTGACATGATTCTTTCACCCCAACGACTCTCCCTAAAATGGAGTTAGTTGAATGACGATCCTTCACTTGACTATAATTACAGGTATTGCATTTATGTACCATGCAAAAAATTTTACTTGTCGGATTCCCTGAATGATTTCAGTCGTCGTTCCTATGCGGCGATCCCTTGTTTGCATGAGGTCTTTTTGGGACGAAGAGAGCTTGATAGCCGCAAAATGGTTTAATGGCAGAGCGAAGACTAAGATGAGTAATCCAAGAAAGCAGGATTTGCCCAAAAGCTGGTACAGAAGTGCAATGGCCACACTGAGTTCCACAGGAGACCGAACAAATTCATATGCGATACCACCAAAATTCGCAATTCTAATCGTATCTGTAGACATCAAATTAACGATGCTCCCTACAGAATTAGTATTTTTCTTTTCCGCTGGATCATTATTTGAATCTTTGTCAGTGTTGCTAGAACCGCCAAGTGAAGTATCTTTGGGTGGCGCTGTTATATCACGTCGCTTCAATGCTTTGAAATACAACTCCACAAAGAGGGATCCTCTTGAGCCAATGTCGTACAACATTCCTGGTCATACGAACTAAGTTAGTGTTTTTAAAATGAAAATGGTGATAAAATGCGATTTTACAACCATTGTGGTAAATTCGCATATCAAACCATTGGTGTGTTATCGATATGACAAAGAGTAGCGTAATGTAACCATAGCCAGTTGCCATGGCCACTTGATCTCTTTCTGTTTGGCCTTTCTCCATGTTCGTGAGTAGCACTAGTATACGATTCATAATGTAAGGAGCGGCATATCGTAAGACCGAAGCCACAGTGGTAGCTATCATTTGAACAAGAATTGTTCGCCAATTGAGTAATAGGAGCCTGTTCATGATTTTCATTCCTCTGGACTTCTTCATATTTTGAAACAGTACGTGAGCTCGATGACTTGACTGTAGTGTTGGAAGATCACTATCTTCCAGCTGTCGGCCGATTTGAGCTTGCTTAATGATTGAATATGTCCACAGATATGTTACTTTTCCGAACACAGAGTTTGTTTCGCTTAATTGTATTGGTCTTCCATCCTTATCAATCTTTGAAGGTCCCTGACGAGTGGTGGCAGTTACAAAAAGAAGATCAAAATTGAGCATCCATATGATAAATAAAGCTACAAGCTCATGCGTAGGAGTTCCGTTAGGCAAGATCAACATTCTTCCTAGCGTGTACGAAAGCCCTAACCACGCTGTAAAATAAAAGACACACAGGTGGACGTTGAGTACCCATCCCCATTTATCAGGCAGACGATGGTACCAGCAGAGCACGGCCAGCACCAGAGCATACATCCATCCAAGAACCAAACAGGCTTCCAGGACCAATACTCCAATCAATTCATTGGAGGTATTTTCGCCCAGATTTTGATAAAAAGTAAGAACTGCATAAAATCTCCAAGCTGTAATGATCAGAGTTGCAGGGATCAAACGTTTCTGACGCTCTGTATCAGAAAATGCTTGGTAGGGATCGTCTCTATCCTTTGTTCCGTCATCTTCTACACCTTGTGTTCTGCACTGGATCACTTTTTGCATAGTAAGCGTCATTGCACTTCCTGCTAGCACGGTGCCAGTGAGGACAGCGTTCCAAAACAAGTCAGTCATGGTAGAAGATCAGGAAGAAGGATAGTTCTGCGTCTTTTGTCTGTTCCTGTAAGCTTTCAATGTTGCAACGTGTCGCCCCTGTGGCACAGTCTGACTGCGCAACATTTTTGCTGTGCTTAGTTCTGAAATTGGTAATTTCATTTTTTTCGCTTCTTCAGATCTTTGTATTCTATCACAAGTGCCAGCAGATCCGAAGTATTTGAATGGTTCAATAAAGGCGTCCACTCTTTCTGTCGTGTCAAAGTCTGGTTTGTCGCACGCCTTCAAAGCTCCACGTCTGCTTTGCAATTTACAGCAATGAGAAATCCTAACTGTTACAACTCTTATGGATCGCCAGAAACAAGGACATACACGTTACCACTACCTGATCTCACAATCCTGTAAAGTGCAAAAACACTTGTCGTCCTATGCTTTTATTTGTATTGTTTACAATGGGAGTTGTCTATTTTCATACATCAACTAATTGATGCTTCTTCTTTGCTAATGCAACCAGCTTATCGAATTCACCAGAGTTCTTGCACATCTTGTAGAAGGCAGAATTAGGATCGGTGATCAATTCATATGGGCTTTGAAGAGATGAAATGGTGCTCAGGGTTAGTGATTTATCCTCACATATTAATCAGTGTTATCCAAAATTTTGCTTACCTGGCAAATTCTTCAATTTTGCCGTGGTCCAAGACCAAGATTCGGTCATATTCAACAACGGTCAGTAATCGATGAGCAATACATAAAATAGTACAATCAGCGAACTCGGTAGCGATAGTATGTTGAATAGCTTCATCGGTCTTGAAATCCACACTAGCAGTAGCTTCATCCATAAAGACAATTCGGCAGCGTTTTAATAATGCACGAGCAAGGCACAACAGTTGGCGCTGGCCCTGAGAGAAATTCTTTCCGCCTTCGCTGACTATTGATGACGAATGAGTATATGTGTGCACCACAAAAAGCCAGCCATTCAAAACCATTACTTACCAGGGCTGTCAAGGTTGCGGAAGACATTTGCGTTCAGGTTGCTCTCTTCGTCCTGCAATGCTTCCTCATCGTCAGAAGCAGGCAGGAGATGGACTCTTCTCAAAGACTCGAATATCTCGCGATCTTCAAACTGATCAAAGGGATCCAAGTTGGATCTCAAAGTACCAGAGAACAAAGTGGGATCTTGAGGAATGATAGTGAGGTTGCTTCGAAGATCTTCTGTACCGATTTTGGAGATATCAATGCCATCGATGGAAATAGAACCTTGAGAAGCTTCAACGAAGCGGAAGAATGACAGGGCAAGGGTTGATTTGCCACTTCCAGTTCTTCCAACCACACCAATCTTCTCGCGAGGGTTGATGTTGAAACTAATTCCATGCAGGACAGGGTCAAGATCAGCAGCATATCTGATTTGCAAGTCCTTCACCTCAATTTGACCTTCATGTGGCCACTGTTGATAGGATGATGATGCTCCAAGTTAATCATAAGAAGATATCCCATCCATGTACTTTAAGATAAACTTACACTAGCTGGTGGTCGGGGTTCAACGATAGCAGGAGCTTCTTGATCCATTTCCATGAATTCTACGATACGTTCGACAGCATTGAAGCTAAGTTCCAACGATGTGTATCGTCTGACGGCCCAGAACATCTATAGCGAAACATACGTGAGTAAGGAATTTCGTGGCAAGCCTATAAAATGGGTTGACAAAACTTACTTGATCAGTGAAGTTCAAAGTGAAACTAAGACAAAGTCCAGCGAGGGAAGCATCAACGTAATCCAAATTGAGGATGATGACAAGGGCAGTCATAGCATTGATAATTGAACCCAAGACGTTGAATCGAACACTGACCCATCGATTGACAACCCACACGTTATTGTATGGTCTAGAATTGATATCAGATAACTTGACCATTCTCTGCAAGAACTGTTTACTATTTCCAAAAGCACGAATAGTGGTTGCTCCAACAATAGTCTGTGGCATTGTTAGTATAGGTAAGTAGTGTTGCTTCACGAGTTATGTTGCATACCTCAGTAAAGTGTGTGAAGATAGGGGAACGAGTGACGGATTCCATACGCTTGAACTCTCTTGAGGCGTTGACAAACAGCTTGCCAATCAAGATATAAACAACCGAGATGGCGAGCATGGGCAAGGCGAAGACTGGGAGATAATAGGAGATCAACATGACGATGGAGAGAGCAGTCAAACTTTGTTGCAGGAACCAAGCAAAGTCGTTAGGGATAGATGAGTCAATGGTTTCAAAGTCCTTTGAGAAACGGTTGAGGATTCTTCCAACAGGAGTGGTGTCTGCATGTAGATCGGTCAGAAAAAAACTTCTGGGAATTCGAATGCTAAATGTCAACTTACCAAAGAAACGAAGAGGAGCCCTGAAGACACGTCGGAGGAGCTCGACGTACAAGACTTTACTTGCACGTAGTGAACCCCAGTAGACAAGGCCAAAACGTAAACCGCTGAAGACAATCTGCAAACTGGTAATCAAAATATAGATACCGAGGTAGTAATCGAGACTGTGCTGTGGTTGGGCAAGACGGGAAAATGTGTTGTATGCCATATCTTGGGTGCTATACGCAAATGCTCTAGCGCTATTACTGAGGTCATGGAAGCCAAAGGGTGACATATTCAAAGCAGAAACTGCGTCCGATACATTTCCATCAGGAAGTTGTTCAGCAGCGTATGATTGGGTCCATTCCTTGACCCACCATGCTTCGCCAATCACTAAACCGCGAAGGAAAATGAAGGCAAAGAAAACGCCGAGCCAGTAGAAGATGCTGCCGGCAGAACTGAAGTAAAGGCTATAAAGTCGAAGCTTGACCATACCAGTTGCACGGGTTTCCTCTTCAACAAGGGCTTTAGGCTTTTTCTTATTGAGATCAGCGTTTTCGTCTACTTCCTCATCGACAATCTCCTCCACAGTCTCAGTCGCCGCTGCAGATGTTTCTCCTAATGCTTCTTCTTTATGGTCTTTCTCCTCTTCTTCAAAGACTTGATTTAATTCACCAGTTTGTCTCAAATGGGCAGGGTCACCCGATAGCTGAATGACACCTCCCTTGATGAAGATGAGTTGAGAAGCACCAGTAGCGCACAATCGAACATAGTGGGTGATCAAAACGCGAGTACGGGTTCTCATCAACGGTCCAGTCAAGCAGTTATCGTACAAATGGCGAGCAGTGTGAGCTATGTTGGCAGTGAACCATAAGTAAAGGAAGCAGTAGCGTACCATCAATCAACGTCATGACTTACCATCAACGGCACTCAAAACGTCATCCATGAAGACATTCTTGGCCCGAGAGTAGACAGCTCTGGCAAGGGCAACACGAGCTTTCTGGCCACCAGAAAGAGTGATACCCTTTTCACCAATTTCAGTTTCATCACCATCTTCCAAGACACTAAGATCCTTTTCAAGAGCGCACGCTTTCAATACAGCAAAGTATCTCTTCTTGTTGAAGGGAAGGCCAAAAATAATGTTGTCACGAATACTGGCATTTTGCAACCAAGCTGATCGTTGTGCAATTGGATTAGAAAGCCTGTCTGACCATGGTATCGATGAAACCAACTAAATGCTTACCAGTTTGAGAAACAAAAGCAACAGAGTGTTCTAATATCCAATCTTCGTCGGGAATCTCAATATCTCCATTGCCTGCTTCATCTACATCATCAGCAATAGGCTGTCGAGGACAGAAAACTTGGCCATTCAAAACAGTCGTTTCTCCAAGAAGACTGAGCATCAACAGAGTCTTTCCTGCACCGGTAGAACCGCAAATGATACTGAGTTTACCATTAGGGAAATCGATAGACACGTCTTTTAAGATAAATCCTTCGCTGTTCTTGGCCGTGGTAGACGAAGCAGAAGAGCCAGCGCCATTCTGTGCATCCGACACTGATTCAACATTGTTAGACGGCCAAGTGATAGTGGCATTGCTCAATCCAACCTGGGCTGGTTGTGAGACGTCAATGGGTGGAGGCTGTTCAACTTCTGGTTCATCCAAGTAAGTTTGTACACGCTTGATACTATATCAAACAGAATATCATGAGTTGTCAGGGTCCCTTTGATTTGTGACTGGTATATCGGCATGTTACCTGATAAAGAACTGGAGACATTCGATGAAACACTCTGGCAAGACGTTTAGAGCAAATCTAAGCTCGGCAAAGACGGCAATGGCAGTAAATGCTGTGGCGGCCGTGAGTTCATTTCCTTGCAATTTAGTGTAAGACCAGAAAGAAATGATGGTAACCAACAGCGGCGATCTATCAAGAGTTCTGTATGAGAGCCGGCACCAAAAAAAGTGATATTCGCAGTCTATATGTACTATTTACCCTTGCCAAAGAAGATTGAAGCCAACTTCAAGTAAAAAGGTAGTCTTCAGCTGCTTAAGTTCCATGTTACGTCTAGCAAGAATTTTCTCTTCCCAATTCTTCTCCCTGTGATACAAATATGAGCGCCGTTGCATTGGAGAAAAATAAAGATTGACTAAAAGGATTGAGCGCTCACCATGCAAAAAATTTGATCTGTCTGACACCTTGCAAAATCTCATTCATCAAAGCGATACGCTTATCTCTAGTTTCCATGAGCTTATCTTGGGTAGCAGAGAAGACCTTGGCATTGAAGTGGTTCAAGGGAAGTGTAATGACCATGACCATTAAACCCAACAAGGATGAGACACCAAGCAGAACATACAAGAAATAGATACCAATTGCAAGCTCAACAGGGGCTTCCAAAAAGGTAAACCACCAAGTGAAAAATTCAGAGATTCTGTTAGAGTCAGTGGACATCAGGTTGACAATGGTGCCGGTGGAAGAACTGACGTCCTCCTTCTTATCGTCTTCTTTTTTATCATCCTGTTTGGCGTCTTCGCCTTCGCCGCTACTGGCTAAATCTTCACCAGTTGCACTGGCGATTTCACGACGACGGAGAGTCTTTGCATAGATTTCAATATTTACCATAGCCTTAGTGCGCACCTGAATAGAAGACGCACCTGGAAAAAATGAAATAAACCATCAGCCGACATTGCGTTGAAAAATGCATCAAAAATCCACATTTTCTTACCCCAATACCACGTTTGGGCAGTGGTTAAGCCAATAAGGAGGGATAGGATAAAGAGTAGGAAAACGTAGTAGTAACCTTGTGAGACGCGACTGGAATCATGTTCGGCATGGTCATTCTTGATGTCTGTAATTAAAACCAATAGCTGATTCATAGCAAATGGAGGTGCATAGAAAAGCGCTGCGCCAATCATGGCAGTGGACACTTGTACAGTAAGACCAGCGACGTTGGCTTTGACTAGTCGCGGGAAAAGTCTTTCTCCACGATTCTTCTTGAAGGCATAGAATAAATTACGTCCACGGTAGGTTGCAGGCAAGATAGGAAGATCATCAAGTTCTAATTGGTTTCTGTTGTAGGTCATACTGATCAAAGGCGAGACCCACGAGAAGAAGATGAAGCCGAAGCATGAAGATACGGTGACAGGAGAAACAGGTTTGCCTTCCTCATCCACAAAGGGTGCACCTCTTGGAGTGGTTCCAGTTACAAACAATAAGTCCCAAGAGATGAAGAGCCACGCGAAAAGATACAAGCTGTATGACAGCGGTTGTTCGGACATGCTGTAGATAGCGGAAACTACTTTGTAAGCAGCATCTCCGAAAGCGGCCAAATAGAAAATACACAAATGGACATTGAGAACCCATCCCCAGGTATCTGGCAAACGGTACCGACTGCACATGATGGTCAGTGATAGGGCATATAACCATGAAACCAATTGGAAGATGGCAGCCAAAACATTGAATAAGAATGGGTTAGGTTCTTCAGCAGTATTTTTAAAGTCTTGGACAGACAAGATCAGTTGATATACAGCCAAAGCGGTCAGAATAATGGTTCCGGGCACCAGTCTCTTTTGCCGTTCATCGTCGGAAAATTGCGATTCATCTCTACGTTTATCTGATTTGAAGATTTGTCCATACTCAATGGAGGCCTTGCTATGGCTAATAGCTCTTTGAATGGACAGAACTAAAGCGCTGATGACAGCAACTGCTGCAACAACAATTGCTGACCAGAACAGGCTTGGTATCGGCATTAACGATACGGGAAGGTGGAATTGGTCGTCGTTTCACGTATGCAAAAAAAAAGTTCGAAAAGTTGAACGATAAGCTTTTTGAATGAACCGCAGCTTGAACAGTCACAATGACCGCAGTAATTTGACGTGCTGCGGTCTCCATTTACCCAAAAAATCAATATCAGATATTTTTGGACAGGAGTGTCGCACAAGGAAGTGTATCATTGTTTGCATATCGTGCAAGGCGTTGATCCATAGGCTTACATATAGCATGCCGTCATACTTGGAAAGTTCAACTACTCAAGCGAAATACGCGATTATCGAGACAAAGTCCAGAAGCAAGTATGACAGTGGATCAAATTTTTATTGACGACGTCGCTTTCGCATTAATTTCAAAACACCCTCCCCAGGTATGGAACCATCTTTTTACTCTGCCTGTATACTTAAAGATTCGGATATTCTGAAGCGGTTTTGAGGATTGCGAAGTTGCTAAATCAGCCTGTTATTGGTGCATGTCCATTGATTTGGTACGTCCATTTGTAGCTACCGTGTTGGCAAGAGCGGCCACACCGTTGTTGCCATTCACCCCGCACCGAGCCTGTTCAAACCGGGTACTGCCAAACTTGACATGTGATACATGCGTTGATCCTTTCTTGAGAAAGGATGATGTCGGTTTGTCTAATTTGAAACATTAGCGGGCAGAAAGCATTTTGTTTGGTGAAGAGACTGATGGAACAATGACGCTAAAATGGTACAGAAAGCGGCTCAATAATCATGCTATCGAATGGCCGTTTTGAGGGAATAAAGGGTTTGTTCTTCTTGTCATCGCAAAACGAAGCATCGCTAAGTAGATTCAGAAGTATAGCGGCCGTTAACGTTGCTTAAACTGCATACGCGACATTTTTTTATGGTTTTATCTTGCGGACATCATTTTGGCAAAAGGTGTACAAGCGTGATTACTTTATTGGGGTAAGAAAAACATGTTTAAAAGGTTGTGTTAGATAGCTGTCTACTTTCTGGATTTTCGAACTTTAACGACATTAAGGCCTTGAAGTGATTCTGTGGTACTAGAAGAGCTGGAGCTATGGGAGCCAGGGTCGTCATCCATGTTGTCCAAAAGACTGCGGCGCGTATCATCCTCCTCCTGTCCTGTTGTTGATTTATGACAAACTATGCATCGTCCCCAAATAGAGCTATTCCTTTCCTTGACTGATCGTCTGACAAAGATACCATCTTTGCCAGCAGCGATGGCCACACCAGCAAACAGCAACCACCAAATGATGGAGTTTTGGACCAGCGTTGGCCAGACTCCGCCATAGAAACTTCCTAACGCCAGTACCTCCGACACTCGCCATAACCACATTATGACAACGAGGGCTTTGAACCACGCTCGTTCATTCAGGGTTCGAATACGACTTGTTCCGCTGCAGTGGAGATCAGCACTATCAGTGGCGCGCCATATCCAGACCACAACAAAAGCGGCTAATCCAAACGGAACTTCGAATAAAGCAAACATCCATGTATCAGCCAGTGGTACCCATTCGTCTGAAAGTCGGATGCCAAAAAGGTAAAAGAGGCCATATCGGTCTTCAGATTTCTGAGCCACTGGAATGAACTCCCCTTTGAACCACGGCAAGGAGATGAGCATCAAGGTGTAAATGAGGGTGCCAGCCCACACAATGGGCATATTGCGAGGCATATCAATACAGCGAAGAGTCCAGAGCCAGACATGATAGCGAGTACGGTTCGCCAATGTATGTGGCTCCTTTGATAATGTATGAATGCGCTTCAAAATGGGATCGCGAGCCGCCGTGTACCTGGGTGATCCAATGGGTGTATAATCACTATAAAGCTTGGGTATGAGCAGAATAGCAAGAATAGAGCCTATAACCAAGATACAGCATCGCTTGAGCTGATTTTCTAATTAGGATGGATCATACCAAAATTGGGGGGTCGAAAGTGATACAAGACATGTTCTTACCGAGAGTGACAACTTGGTCCAGATGATCCATTCTCCAGGCCCCCCATTGATATCAATTCTAGCACCATTGACTTTGAAAACGCTCTCATCCACCCCTTGCCGTCCAGCACTGTCGGTCACCGTAATTCGAAGGGTATGTTCTTCCATGTCATTAAAGCTTTGTGGGTCCCATTCACTGATCCACAACGGTGTATAGCCTTGGCCAATACCATTTGCGTCGCCTACACCTTTGTATTGAGCTGGGTAGGGGTGTTGTATGCCGTCTATTGTGATTTCAACGCGAAGTGAATCAGGATCTTGCTCTTGAGTAAAGACCAAAAACCGAAGGGCTTCGCTCTGGGCAATACGTGCTACCGGCTCCTTGTATTGAAGGATCCATTTGGCTTCCTTTGGATTGGTGATCAAAACCACAGGAGGCATGTCAATGGATTCCGGTAGGATAGATTCCCCGTCAATAGCCTTGGGTATATGCGGGGCCGTAAATGGGATTTGAGGTAAGGGTAAGTTGACATCGACGAAGGAAATAAGATCGTGGTCTACGGCGACGATTCTATAGGAAGCATGGTCTTTCATGTCTCCTAGTTCTAGTTCTAACGAATGTGTCTTGGGGTCATAACCTTTGAGAGAATCTCCAAGACCTACCATGCGAGCATAAATGTGAGTGATACCGGAAGCCTATGAACTCGCATCATGTGATAAGGACTTACCTCCTAGTAATTTGTGCAGATGGCCACAGAAATACACAGAAAATTGGTTGGCGAGATCAGTATATGTGTATCCATCATCCGAGGTACCGAAGGCCACGGTGGTGGTAGGATAATGTGCGAACTAAATGTTAAAAGCATATGCGCAATTGTAAGCGTTGGTCATTCGTGTTTGTAGAGTAGGGCAGATTAGTAACTTACCACCATGGTGTGATTATAGGGTTCCTTATCTTCGGATCCTATAATACTATCGGCGAGACGATTCATTCCTGATGAGGGCATATAGCCAAAGAAATTAAACGGTCTGGACGGACCGCGTTTTGGGCTAAAGGACCCAATTGTTATTCTCTATCTGCTGTATTGTTTGTAATGGGTGACCTCCTTACCATGCATCAAAAGCAACAAATTTGTACTTTCCAGTTCCCTTTGAAATTTCCCATTCGTAAACACCTTGGCCATCCTCCAATCTTCTGCTGCTGACTGCATAGTCCTTGTACATGTTGGCAGCATCGTACCATCCGGGAACGTCGAAACAATCATGGTTACCACGAAGATCATACCATCCATCCACTACGCCAGCTTCACTAAGTGCCTTCTCGTACACCCTCCATTCCGCTAGGTGTTGTGACGACGTTATTCGGCGGGCATCTTTTGCATCTGTCAGGTCACCGGTTACGACGACAAATTCAGGGCTAGCCAATAAATTTTGTCAATTCAAACCATCGTGGTGCTGAAAAAAAAAAAAAAAAAAGATGGCACATGAATCCATCACACCCTACCTGATGGTTGGAAGAGCCGACTTGAGAAAATGCAAGAAGTGAATAGTGTATCCTTTTGACTGGAATTGTGATATGTGCAGGTCTGATAACTGTCAAAATCATTGTATTAGCCTAGTTATCGGCGTCCACAGAGCACGCCGTAAAGTGGGGGTCAGGATTAAAAGTAGTACCTGTACAAAATAAAAGATGTTGTCGGGCTCTGTGCCAATGACCACATTGCCGTCGCTCATCGTCCACCGATTGGGGCCTTCTACATGTCGAGGTGATTCGTGCACGGAAGTGCCTTGAAGGTCCGCTGTAGCCCATTTATCGAGGTAAATGGCTCGCAATGTGCAAAGTAAAGTGGCAATTAGAGCTATCCAGGATGGCAAGCTGAAAAGCATTGTGAAAGAAAAAGAGCTCAGTCAAGAACGACAGGGAAAGGGGATCTTTATTATGATGGGGTTTGTTGAACAGTTATTTTTTTTTTATACGTTATTTGCAAACTTGACAACAGCACCTATTCCGACAGCCAATCATCAACTTGCTCTATGGGGTCGTTTTCGGCTGCAACCAAGTTCTCTTCTTCATCTACAGTGGTGTCTATGCTGATATCCTCCAACCTATCTTCGATGTTATCGCCTTCAACAGTGATGACAGTCTCCTCGCTTGATTGCTCCGTGTTTGTTGATGCGTGGGCCCGGGTCGGATTTCGCGAGATAGCTCCAACTTGTTCCGGAGTTAGCTCCTTGTTCCAAACTTGGATACGCCGCCACCACCCTGCAAGACTATGCTTCGTCTCCCATGCGTCTTGATATTTGCTATCTTCCGGTTCAGGCGAGCCAAACCAAAGTCCTCGTAGCACATCCTTGGGATGATTGGCGTCACTGACCGGTCTCCATCGGGTATTACTCATCAGCACGTATCCATCTTGATACACGACAAGTCGGCCTTCTTTGACATTAATGGTTAAAGTATAGTGGTGTTCTAGGCCATCGCTCACTTCGATAGGAGATGGGTCAACGTTTAAATAACTGCGGATAGCTTCGTCTTTGGAGGAATGATAATCGGTCGGTATGGTGCGCACGCCTAAGCCAAGGTCTTCGGAGAGATTAGGAATAATGCCGTTCAATATGTATACTCCATTATGTGTCATGTCGAGCACGGTTGTTTGAGTTTGAACGTAGACTTTATACAAATCACTTTGGACCATCAATGCCGTTCCAGATCGTTTCCGATATCCTTTTGGAACCGTCATCCACCAGGATACTGTCAAATTATCCAATGTCATTTCCGCAGGCAATGGGAGAAAAATGTAGCTGTCTTTTCCATTGAGATAAAGCATGGTCTCGCCATTGTCAGGAGTGGCTTTGAATTCGGCGTTGCGTGCCAAACCATTCAAGTGGTTGCCAGAAACATCATCCAATCTTTGAGGGTTTGTCACGGGAAGCTTGCTTGAGGGTGGCATCACAGGCCAATCGCCAGCTGATAAAAAATTTTCATTTGCAATTCATTAGCCCTAACCGTTACACAATGCTAATCATAACCATCTCTATACATACCCTGACCATTCTCGCCAACTGGGTAAGGGTGAATGTCGCAAGCGCCAGGTCTTGCCTCTACTTGATTGGGTAGATACTTTCTTAACATACAATTAATGCTCGTGTCAACTTCTTGAATGACTTGGGGTGTAATGTCTTTGGTTAAGTGCTTGTTGGCAGCTGAATCCCAAAGGTGCACACCTAGATTGTTCGCAAAACCGTAACTTTTCTCCAAGTACAATTGTCGTAAGCCATCTTTATCCCAAAGTGGCCAAAAGAAAGCGTCGTATTCCAGCTGTCGAATCTCATCAGAAAAATTGGCAGCTAAAAGGCGAGGTAACAGAACGCTGTGGTGATTCCATCTTCTCTGGTCAAAATGCTTGTAAGTCTCATACCAGCGCTGCAAAAAGGGTGCATTGGCACGCGATAGAATGACAGCATTGCATAGGCCAGACCAACCACCTGGTTTTTTTTTTTTTTTCAAAAAAAAAAAGGAAAAAATAAGATTATAATTAAGTTTGTTTGTCTGTTTGCGTTTCATTTAGTATATGAAATAGAGGTACTAAACTTACCAACTCCTTCATGGCCCATGGCAAATTCTTCGTCCAAAAGATGGTCCAAGCTCTTCATCATGATGACATCCAAATCTAGGTATATGCCACCAAACTCCTTCAAAGCGTCTAATCGAACAACATCTGCACGATGTGCGTAATGGTCGACACGGTTGCCGAATACTTTGGTTGGAATATCCACTTGTCGAAGTGTCAGATGGGGTCGGATAAGCTCAAACCATTCGCCGGTGGGCAGATAGTGATAGTGGAATAAAATTTTTTCTGGTTTGATGACTTCTTGTGCAGATTTGATGGAGAGGTATTGTATTAGGTCTAGTTCTGGGTTGCGGTCTTTCATACCGTATACAAAATGAACAATCTTTGGTATCTTGGTTTGTGTCATTGGTTCAAGTTTGGCTTGTAAAGCTGTGATAATTTCTGGTGGGACATCTTGCTCCACAGGTACAGTGTCTGATATATCTTGATTAGATGAAACTACCTTCTCAGGCGTAGTGGTATTAGGGATGTCTATTATGGCTTCTACCATCAAGTATAACTGATGTAATAATAACATGCACACAAATGCAATAAAGCACATTCGAATTATAGCGCGCCTTTTCATCGTGCTTTCGTTGCCATTTCTTGCTGGTTTTCTATATCGGTATTGAGGAAGTCGTTGTTGCTGTTTTCCTTGTCGTATTGGATTGAAATTAGAAGGCATTGTGTTATATTAGCATTAGTTGCTGCCAAGACGGGCAAAAGGGCAAAAAATCCTGATCTAAAATTACGGATGATTGGTGTGACGGGCTTTGACTATTGACGTCAATGATGCGACTTTCCAAACACAGCTTAGGATCCAGTGCTGCAATTGTGTCAACAGGGGCAACCCAAAAAAAATCATAGAGACGTTAGCGACTGCCTTTCTTTGTCATGAAGAAGTGCTTCCAGGTCAGATAGAAGACACAGTAGTGAACTGGAAGTGACTTCATCTAGACGTCTCCGCCGCAAAATCATTCGCCATCTGCTAGTTGTCGACGTTTGCCGTTTACATGAACATGACAACGAATAAAATCTGACTTCCCTTAAACGAAAAAGGAGATCCGGAAACACTCTCGAAAGCTCAAGTTAACTTTACTTATGATGGGGTATGAATTTACGTAGGGTGAGTAACCACTAGCTATCTGTCAAAGCTAAATCGTCGACGGTACGGATCAAGACTGCTGGTATTTGTATACTTCAAACGGTTTTAAACGGTTACAATGTTTTGCAGAAAATCAACCATATCATCCACACCCTGCGGTTCATTGATCCAGTGGCCTCCGTCCTCATATGCTTTCCATATGACGGTCATGCCCAAACAATTCAAGTCTTGATATAATTTTTTTCCATTGGACACTGGCACGATGGGATCGTCTAACGAGTGAGAAAGAAACACAGGGGTCGATAAGGCCGATTTTGATTTCCCGTACGGCTGTCCGCGAGCTGAGATATAAGAATCGCTGGATGTAGGCTTCAATATACTTCGAATTTCTTGCAGAGAGCCAGCAGTTGTTGTATTTTTTGTGATTGTTTCAATTTCTTCTTGAAATGGAAGCCATCCACAGAACCCAATAAACCCATTGAGCTGAATATCACAATGCATTAAAGCATGAATTGCCGTGGCACAACCTTGGCTTATACCTCCAAGGAAAATATGCTCTGGTGGAACGGAAGATGCTTCATCGCGAATGATATTGAGAATGAAAGCAACGCTTTCTGTCAAGCCAGCGACTTGTAACTCTTTCCGATTTTCTGGTTCTTCAACTGACCAAATGTCGAACCATTGCGCCATTTCCATCTCGAACCGAGTTGAATTTCGTTGCCCTGAATTTGGAAATACCCATTTGAAGTTGGGGAAGATCTCGCATAGTGTTCGTCTATCAGACGCTTGACTTTCGAAGAATTCTTCAGCGAATTCGGCGGCCGTGCTGTCGCGGCCATGTAATAAGATAACCGTATGTGTATGGTCTGCGAGGGGAAGCACAACGTAAGTCTTCTCAGTGTCGTCCATGGCTGAAGCAGTCTAAAAATCAAAACGAGACAACACGTACAAGTCAAACGTCTATTGGACTAAATTTTAGTCGTTAATAGAGAGAATTACTGTTGAAGTTATATATGTATAAAGTTATATTTTACCATACCGCATCCTACATATACACACTAATTGCTTGGTTTAAGCTATTGTCCGGAAGGGAGCTGTAGCTTTCACTGCGGTGTCTTTCATAAGACACGTCCAATTTGTGCCTTAAATGACTTATAATTGCGGTAAATGACAATTTTAAATTTTTTATTTACCACTTGCCTTGTTCCTTCAACTAATCTACAAGCCGTTAGCTCCTGTCGATGCCGAGATCAAACGATTCGATTTCAACATCGGCATCATCCGGATCCTTTACTCGATTTGAGTATCAGGTTGCTGGGCACGATCGCCTCTTACAACACCCGGCGTCTGATATCATGGTGGTCAAACCTTGCAATCAAACGGAACAAAGGTTTTATCAGGATTCCCAGCAACATCCCGAGTTTCTTCAATGGATACCAGAATGCTATGGCAGCCTTCATATTGCGACTGAGATAGAACGACAAACCATTGCAGAAGCTCAAGACATTGCAGACGGCGTCAAATCCATTTCACTTAATGAGCCAACCGAATCTTTCAACCCTGCCGAGTTAGATGATATCCTTTTTACTACTTGAAATGTTATTGCTTGCTTGTGCACATGGTATGATAGTAGCACGAATGACTTGATTCCTTTGCACACCATATATGTATAGAGAACTTGTTGTATGGATTTACACAACCATGTGTTATGGATATCAAGCTAGGCACACAATTGTATGGTCCTGATGCTACACCGTCAAAGCGAGCAAAAATGATTAAAAAAGCCAATGAGACGACTTCTGGCAAGCTGGGGATAAAGATATGCGGCATGCAAGTACGTAATTCATTTCAATTCCATCACTTTTAGCTGAAGCGCACAAGCTGACTGCCCATCATTCATATTCCACAGATGTTTGATGCATCTACAAATCAGCACATAGTGCACTCAAAGACATATATCAAGCAAATTACCGAATCAAGTTTACTGAACGCCTTTATGTCGTTCTTTTTTCCACACAGCGAAGTCGGGCACGCCATAGTCGAAGGTCGTGAGCGATTACATCTTCCATTAGAAGGAAGTCGAATTCCAGCAGCAAAAATGCGATGGATCATACGAAGTTTGATTGAAGACATTGAAGAAATTCTGGAAACTGTGGCGAACTGTCCGAATGTACGCATGTACGGAGCATCCCTCCTTATTGTTTACGAAGGCGATCAGAGTGCATTTTTAAATGGATGGGAGAAAATGTTGGAGGAAGATCGGCTGCAAGAAGAACGAGCATCACAACAGGCAAAGGATAACCAAGCTGCAGATGATGACTCTGAGAATGAAGAGGACGAAGATGAGCAACCGGCCAAGTTGTATTCCATTAGACTTATAGACTTTGCACATTCATTTTGGGAGGGAGACGAGGTTACTGAACAAGATGCTGGTCTACTTCTTGGATTGACGAATGCTTCAAACATTCTTCGATCTGTTTTGGCGACTCAAAAAGAAGGGAACGTGTAGATAATAATTGTTGTATACCTTTGTTTTTATTTTCTTTCATTACCTGCTTGAACTTTCAAAGCTGACAAATTCAGGCATCTACATAATATTGTTTGTACTTATACTGTTTTATTAGAATAAATTTTACGTCAAGTGTATATTTAATTTGGTCAAATGGATGACGAAGTTAGTTCAGCGATTCTATAGTCTCGTTACAATCTTGTTCCAAATCAAACCTACCCGAAGTATCCAAGGGTGGGATAGCGGTAACTATCCCGGCGGGTTAGACGACCTTACAGGTATAGTAGCTTGAGAGCCTACAAGAGCAATTTATGTTACTGGTCAATGAATTTAGCGTTGCAACTTTCTCTACCATGACTTACTTATACGGCCGTCTTCTTTGTACAACCCTGGATACTTCGGAGGAACTTGGGACTTGGGAGACTTGGGAGGACTTTGGGAGGACTTGAGAAACGGTGACAGAGTTGGAGGCCATGAAGAGTTTGGGAAATTGATAGCAGAGATTTGTAATGGATACTCTTGAGGAGGTGCAGCTTGATGTCCAGCTTCTAAACTTGTTACTCTCACCAAATCTCGGGCGTGAGAATGCATGATTTCCCATTGCATCCCTTAACGAGTCCATAGCCGTTACGCCGCCCGTTCCTAATCAATCAAGGTGGTGGTTTTACGATAAAGGGGTGGTTTTTTTTTTTTCAAAAGACCTTCCTCAAAAAGGGTTGAGATGGTAAACTGTCATTCTAAACATGGTTTGTTGTCAACGAATATCCACTCGTAAAATGAATATTCGCATCAAACGACTCTTGGTTATGCAATCTAATTTCCTTGATCAGATGCTGACTTTACGTTTAGTATTTCTATTACCTTATAACTTACTATCGTTGATGTGTCGCCGTAAAAGATCTCCCCTTTGACATCTTCGGTACTTTAATTTGTGCAGCGCTTTCTTGGTGAAATTGGGATCTGTACGCCTGTAGTTACACCAAGGTTACTGTCCCTAAGACCCAATTGGTGTTGAAGCAGAGCACTTACTTTCATGTGCTCTCTCCTTTATGACATGGTGATATTCGCCAAAAGATGCCTGAAAATTGCTATATTCCATTACCGAACTTTAGCGTTTCACTCGTGGTAGATGTCAGTATTTGGCTGCTCCTGCTTTGTTCTTTGTGATAACGAGTATCGTTTCGCCGCCCAATATCCAAATTTGTTTATGCTCCGTTAATGAGGCTGGGTATCACCTACTTACCGTATGTCATTCATCGCATGGTCAGAGTTATTGACAATATAAACAACGTTGATCGGATTACTACGGCTAGAATATACAGTTGTGTTACATGTATAAATCAATACCTTACGGATCCAACGTGGTACTCAACAAATTAGCAGACAATCAGACTTTTTTATTTCATGAATGAAAGAATGAGAACCAAGGGAATTGCTGTCTAGAATTGAATGTTACGTCGAATTGTGCTCGAGAGTTTTACATAGAGTTATTTGCGAATTTCCGTTTTGAGGTTAAGGGAAGTCCCACACTTTTGTTCTCACTTTGGATGAATGCATTGATTGGAATATTCAGCAAAAGTGGATATATCATCTGTAGAACTTTTAGGTGGGTGAAGCCGTTTCTGTGGATAGCGTGTGGTCCGGTCCCACCATATCAATATCCATCAAAGTTCTCAACGGTACCAGAACGTCATCGTCATTTCCGCCTTTCCTCCTCGATATCCATCGGTTGATTTGGTTTTTCCATCATAGTCTCCTCATTTTGCATGGTGGACTCTGTAGAGGTAGAGTTATCAGCTTCACACAAGATCATGTTTTCGCCTTCAATAAATGCGATATTACTGTTTTCCATGTCATATGCTCACTATGTAAGGGCTCATAGTCCGTATATTCAATTTTCTATGAAAACCTGAATTCGCATTTAAGGCTACCTAGGCAAAATATAGCTAAAGTTTGCGTATACAAATCAAAGGATCTGCGCCAATTATTTTGAGAAAGACTGTATATACTGTATTGGCTTGTCTATACCTACATACAAAGGACGGAGCTGGAGGTGTATTACTCAAGTACATGCTCATTCACACCTGATATCATCTATGTTTCAGCAGTCTGGTTACCGTTATGAACAAAATAACCAGTGAGCCACTGGATAAATGTGTTATCTAAGTAGGAATTTTTGCGGTTTGGTTCTTCCCTTGGTGCTTCTTCCTTCGGTGCCTCATAACCGATAGGCTTTCCATTAATCGCTATCGAGTGCTCATAAATTTCGATAGCGGCAGGTAGATGTTCTCGCATATAGTCCACTCGCTCTGCGCTGGGAGGATGTGTTGACCCAAACCATGAGCTTAGAAGCCGTTCAACAAACTCTTTGACGGACAGGTTGAGGTCGTCATAGGCTCCTTGGCGTTGCTGTTGAGTCACTTCCGCCACTGATTGTTTTATCTCATCAGAGTTGAACTCGATTTTCTCCTTTGCAACTTGCCCAGCAATTGCCGAATCTGAATCACTCTGTTTATCTAACTCGGCCATCTGACATAACGACCAGTTACTATCAGTGTGATTCAATAAATGTATAAACGACAAAATAAACGAACCTTAGCCCAAACTGTCAATGCTGTTCTAGGATCATACCCTGCTTTAGCCATCAACATTAAGCCAACCAAGTCCGCCTAAAATCAGGTGATTAATGCACAATTTCCATGGCCTTAGTCAAGCCGAATTCCTTCTGAATCTCACCTCTTTCTCAAGTCCTCTATTATAGGTTGTTTCTGTTTCCATGGTGATAAAGCCTGATATCCATTCATTCAACTTTTGATTGACATAACTATAGCAGAAGTGAGTAGACAGCTCCCAGTATGACAGTCTATAGAGAACAGATACTTACGGTCCTAGACTTTCAGTAACAGTCCATAGGAGTCCTCTACTTATATCTCCAAGCATTAGCATAAAGCTGGCAATGCCGTGGGTCTCAACAAAGTGCCGCTGGATCGAATGCGCTATTTCATGTGACATGATTACCGCCATCATATCAGTGTCGAAACCAAGATAAGAAATCATCAAATCGTATACCAAAATCTTATTTCCAGCACACATAGCATTGAGAGTTGAACTGTCGCATATGATATTAACGTCATAGCTCTTGATTTTCGGATCCTGTGGATCATATTCTCGGACAGGATCCCTGATATCATCAACTGAAACTCGAGCAATATTATCAGCGATGTTCTGAAGCCACTGTACATATTCGTTTTCCTTGGGAGCTATCAATCCTGATTGCGATCCAAGAAGCTGATCCACTTCCAAAGTGACCACTTCCATTTCTTCTTCTTCACTAAGGTATACAAGACGCAGTCGGTCGGTGTTTGGAGCCTGCTCACATCAGAATTAGAAGATTGTAGCTTGTCTAGCCCTACTCAATTCTACTCAACTTACCTGATCCAGCCCCACAGTAAGTAAGAGAGCAATACCAATAAGGGGTACGCTAGCGAACACCTTGGTACTGAATTTGTATCGTCGAAAGATAGAGTGTGGTAGCAATGTGAGTGAGGTCTTGGACGAAAGAGACACAAAACTGACTAATTTTCCAGACTTCAGTAAGGCTAGTATAGCTGCTGGTATTGGGATAATTGGAACATTCCGTGGGCTTGTTGTATGGAAGTTTCTATAGTTTACAGTTGAGATTCGAGCTGATTTATTTGTGTTCCTGAGTGGGGTTGAAAGATGGAGAGAAAAGGGTCGATAAGCGGGATGGTAAGATAACGTTCTTATTGGAAACGTTCGTAGTGAGTTGCATGACTTGATAGCACTGGCAAATGATGTTGTCTTAAGCATAAGATTACTGATTTCTTGTACTATAAGCAATGCGGCAGTGTCGGCTTTTTTTTTTTTCTCTTTCTGAAGCAGCTCAGCAACCTTGGGAACAACCCGGGAAAGGATAAAAACTGATACCGATCCGAAATTTTGGGCAATTTCACAGTTCGCGTTGAAAACTTTCGCTTTTCTGGTGACCGCGACGTGTCGTCCTCATGCCTACTCGATCAAGTAATGCTCACGATCCAGCCACGAATGTGTTGGAAAAAATACGCAAAGCTTTACAACACACAGCATTGTCAACCGTTATAGCGCCGTCATATGGTAATTGCAACGCATCGCTAACATTCTCTCTAATGATCTTACTAACCTTTGTCTTTTTGTACCACAGCAACTAGTTGCATTCCGCCTTTAACCATTGAGAGAGAAGAAGCTGAAAAACAATTTGATACCAAGAAATATGACGAAATAAAGTCATTTCTCTTCAATGGATACCATGGGTCGACGCAATTGAGTAGTAGCCAACACCGACTACTAGAGCTTCGATCAAAGATTGAGGGAAAGGAGATATCAGCGTTGTACGTTCGTGCCATTTAAATTGGATGGAAGTTCTGCATAACTCTCTTATAACTTCTTATTTAGCTTGCAGCAAACCGATGTTATGTCATCGAAAAAGCAGAAAACGTCTAGTTCGTCTCAAAGGAAGAATCTCTTTGCTGATCGAAACCTGGATGTCACAGAAGCTGAAGATGGAAGTGACAACGTCATCGAAATCAAACAACCTAATGGATTCAAAAAATTAATTCACTCTGATCTTCAGATGGAGGAGCGGTCATACGATGATATTAATGCAGCTGGGCCGTCAGAAGCTGACGTAGAAATGGCTGATATTGATGCCGAAGATCAAGAAGAACCAGCCAAACTTATAGACGATGTGCCGGATCCTTGCCCATCGCCTTCTGCCATTGTCTCTAATAGGCCTGATGACACCCCTACCTTTTCAAAAGAATTAGACGAAGATATCAGTGCACAAGACGACTCAAAAATGGACTGCGTAATGATATCAGAAGAATGTGTTCATACACAGGAAATACCCAATGATGACACCAACACTGCTGCAACTCCAGTAGACAAAGACATGTCTTCTTTGAACAATAACAATGAGTTTATCTCCATCAATGCAAAAGAAACACTACATAGTGAGAAGAACTTGTCATTGGAGGACCATACCAGCCAACAACAGAAGAATGAAGTCAGCGAAGCGAAGTCGTTGGTCGCCCTTGAGACCGAAGAGGCGGATCCAACTCAGCCACCTGCCGGCTCGCATTATAAACCTATATCTCCTCCGGCCAGCAGCGTTCCAGCTGAGAATTCATTCACAACTCATGAGATTGTCGAAGTAGATACCATCGCTAATACGCTGAACGAGGACTCGACAGAAACAATGAAAGATAGTTTTCCAAAGGCTCCAACCACAATGGCCATGATGGACGAGAGCAATAATGAAGGTTTGGAAGAAAGCCATACTGATCATACTACTTCAAATGAGGTAGATCAGATTATCATATCTGAGCATGATGTGATAACCTGGAAGGATCAAGGACAAGGTATTATACCCATTTGATATGATACACATGCATGCAAGGGCTTCTTACTTATTGCTTCTGGTACACAGATGCCTTGAACTATCTGAACGACTTCATAAGCTTCCTTCAGAGGAAAGAAAACGAGCTAATGCAAGATTTACATCCTGACATTGCAATCTCTCTGAGTGATACAAATTCATCATTTGGAGATATCGCGTACTTCATACGCGAAGGCGACCAACTTTTGCTCTCGGTCGCCGCTACTAGAAAAATTTCCACACTAGTTCGAAGAGCAAATAAGCACAACCAGCTACCAAATGTCGAAGGCGAGGATTTAGGGTGGATACTAAAGAAACTCGAGAAGAATGTTCGTATCGGCTGGACGTCTTTACAAGCAGAAAATCATTCCAGCCAGGAACAAGTTCATTATAGACATATGGACGACTTGGACATTCCTAGCTTGGAGCACGCCATCAACTGCACCTTGTCTGTCTTTAGTATACTGACGTCAACCAAACTGGACAAGAAGGTAAGGAATAATACTTGATCTCGGATATCATCTTACAACACATAAAAAACCGCTCATACTTACATTGTCTACAGCTATATGCCGAAGAAGTTATTACATCATGTTTAGTTTTGACCAAGGCATTACTTACGGACATAGTTTCCCCTGCTTATGATAGCTGGAATAATGTCGATAACGATTTTGGTAAGTGAATACTCGGAATGTTATTTTTATAAGCCATAGAACCAACACTACGTTTCAGCTGGGACAGCTTCCAATGAACATTGCGAGTCTCATGATCATCACCGCCAAATGGTCGCAAAGTTTTCATTGCATTTGTCCGCAATATATCGCCAAATTTATCGCTTTATACAGCAAGAGGACCTGTCTGAGGATATGATTATTACCATCAGCTATATAAGCATACCCCCCTTCTTTTTTGACACGGAGAGCACGATTGAAAGTAGGATGTCGCTGTTGCAGGCGGAAACCGAGGACAACTTCATAGATGCCATCAAAGTTAGTGCAATGGATGTTCTGCACTCCGTCTTTAGCAAATACCCTAGGCACCGGAACTGGATTCTCGATGAAATTTTGGCTAATATCATTCATGTTTCGACCGATGGAGAGTTTAAAAATCGATACCGTACAGCGAGCGGAAAATCCATACATGCTATCAGTGCGCTTTTGTTACAGACTGTTCAATGCTGTACCGACACTGACCGATCCAATGAAAGAAGCTGGACGCAAAAATGGGAACTAAAGCACCAAAAGAGTAACGACAAATCAGCTAAACTGGAGGAGTCCTTCATAAACAAGGTATGCCACATCATAAGCTGCAACTACCTAAGAATTGGAGTACTGATCCCTAGCTTGGTTTTAGGTTCTCGCAACCAGCACATCAGGAATCGAAGCGTGCATACATATCTGCCACACACTATTACAACAATTATTGGACAAGTAAGTATAAAATGTAACTAGCCCTGCCAAACGTTCATCCATTTATTCATCATCACAACAGGAGCGTGAAAAAACCGTCTGAAGATCAGTCATCGGTGGAATACAGAAAGATTTTGGATATGATCATTATGGACTCCCTAAAAGTATTAGATGAACCGGAGTGGCCAGCAGCGGAAGCAATTGCTCGAGTGTTTTCGACGATTTTGGTACGTTACTTACTTAATAAGCTACATTTTTCGCAGTTTCCATTTCTGATATTGATTCCATTAGATTAATTATATTGATGCTGGGACGAAGGATGTTCAGAAGAGGAACATTGCGCTTGAGTACTTAGGAGTACTAGCAGGACATGTTTACAGTCATGCAACTGCCGAAGACGACGTTTACGAGCACTTTCCAACAAATCGCTCTGAGACCGACTTTCCTTTACTAGACGATGAGGTAAGCTAACTTTTAAATGAATAGAAAGCCCTTGACGATTGCTAATGCATTTCATAGATCAATACCAGCCACATTAAGCCAGATCGAAGTTTGGAAATTGCCCAGTATCATAAGATGATCATTGACTACTTGGAAAGTCGCGTTGAAACTGATACTATCTCTACGGTTAGTGTTCATATTTGGTCATTTATGTAGATGCTTCTGTGCCCTATTTCATAACGTACCAACTAATCATAACATACACCAGATGGCTATCCATTATTACTTTTGTCAGTGGGGATATGCTTTCGCCTCTTTGTGGAAAAAAATGAACAAAAAGTTGGACGAGAATGATGCAGATCATTCCCAAGGACGAGGAGAAACACAGAGTATGGTCTACCAACATACGAAGTTCATATGGGACCTATTGCTTGAAGAAAGGCGGACAGGAACTGTACTGGAGAAGAGGTATATAAAGAAATATCTGGAAATTGTAGGTATTTGACAATCTGAAGCTAACGGTGTTCTGAAAGTTTGCACGACATACAAGACATAAAGGCTGCCGTGAACACCTTATTGTTGGAGAGACCACTGTATCAAAGCTATCAAGCGATGCTGTCGCGGATTTTCTCATCGCTTGACATTGAATCAGTGTCAAGTAGAGCAGTAGCTTTACGTGCGCTGATTAATCTGTCATCAAAAAATGTTTCATTCATGGAAAAGGTATGTCTATAGAAATGTATACAAAGAAGCGTGTTGGAAATTCACAAAGGGCCCCCACAGCAACAAGTGAAAATGGCCATTATTAGGAGAATGCAGGACATATCTCCGTCAGTTCGTGATGCTGCAATACAACTAGCCGGAAACTACCTTGCATCACACCCTGAAGGAACTCAGAAGTATCTAACTGCTATCAGTGAACGAATAATGGTAATTTCTGGTTGTATTTTCGTCTTGGTCGGCTTAGGTGAATGCTAACAAAATTATTAGGATACAAGTATCAGTGTGCGTAAACGCGTAATGCGTATTCTGAAGAATGTTTATGTCAATACCAGCGATGTGATGATCTGGGTAGACATAGGAACTAGGATTATAGAGCGAGTGGCAGACGAAATAACAGCCGTTCGAGATACGGCAGTGAAGATCTCCATGGAAACAGTATTCCGGCCATGGGCTTCTTCTTACACGCGCCACCATAAAAACGGATATGCTGAATTCGAATACCTTCCACCAGATTTCAAGCAAGAGATTATTCAAAGATGCAATATTTTGTTGCAAATATTTTCCAGTCTGGATAAAGTGGGCTGCAGTTCCAGTGTTGAAACACTTCTTCTCTTGGTAAGTAGCTATAGAGTAACGTACTGAAATGGCTAAAACTAACACTTACCTCGGTAGATAATCGAAAACTTGGACGACAAAAATCGTGTAAATATCAACAACATGTTCAAGCTCATCATCGACTGCCTATTTTCAGAACTGCTTCTACTAGAGGATGCAGGTGACAATACATCCATAACCAACTGCATCGGCCTCATTCACTCGTTCGCCAGATCATCTCCACATCTCTTTACTCAAACCCTCATGACCATGTTAGAACCTTACCTGAAATCTAGTGAGACTAGCGACCACAGAGCATTATATCACGCAATCAAAATCTACGATACCGTCCTTCCTGCTATGAAACGACCAGATCCAATGTTCCTGGCCGACTCAGAACTTACCCTGACAAAGCTTTTGATCGGTTGCCCTGCTATGGTGAGTTCAATTACCCTAGACGTTGTTTCGCTATACCTTATGTCGTTACTAACTGAACAACACCTTGTTTGGTGACCCAGGTTTTGACAGCCGCTGTATCATGTCTGTCTACAATAGCTCACAAGCTGACCAAAAATTATGACAAGTTAGCAAGCATTATGTACAACTGTTTAGGTAAGCATCAACAATGGATTGAGTTTACCCGCCTGCGGCCACTGAGTATGTCTTTTATTAGGAAAACTCCGTCAAGACAAGAACAGTGTTATACAACTTCAGCCAATTACGGCGTCAACTCGCCTAATTCGTTTGTGCTTAATAGCTGGACTAATATGTCAGCACTGTAATTTTGATGCAAATGAGGCAATGGATAAATCTGGTCGACTGAAGGAACTGTGCCCGGTAAGTTCAATATCCATATCTAACGCGGCTATCATGTCAGCTAATCTTATCTGTCGTATAGGATGGTGTTGCTTCAGAGACATTCGAGTTACTCTATTTCTTTGCTGCTAACCGAGTAACGGGAGAGCACATCAACCAGCAAGTTTCCAACCAGATCAAGCTTGCAGCTCTACAGAGCTTAGGTTTGTCCTTTTCGTATGAGACTTACGTGTGATAATGTAAATTAATCTCACCAATTGATGGTAGGCTACTTGTACATTCAATACCCCAAATACATGGTGACGAAGAAAAGCACCACGATGATGGATGAAATGTTTGCCAGTCGGTTCCTCGATTACAAATCGCGAGTCATGCGAGTTTTCTTGGACTTCTTAATCGGTGAAGAAAAGCGCATTATCGATCGTGAAAGAGGTAAATATTGAACGGTCGCAGCTGTTTAACACCACAACTATAACCATTTAAATTATTCTTTGCAGAAACGAACAAGGAGCGTAAGGGTACGGATATGATTCAGTTGTTAGGAAACGCATCTGAGATGGCTGAATTAAGGTATGTGATATGAATAATCAGCGACACAGCCTTGAAGCGCCTTTTCATGACGACCCCTTTTTGTAGTGTTAGCAGCTCCTTGATGCAACGCTATCTCGAGAGAATACTTCAAACCGCTTTGGATCCCAATGTGCTATTGCGAAACTTGTCTTTCAAAGTCATCACACGAATAATACAGCAAGGGTTAGCGCACCCTGTGATTGTAAGTAGACATAACTAATGATGAACAGTTGGAAGTGATTATTGATTTTTTTTTATAGTGCATGCCTACCATAGTCGCTCTGGAAACTTGCCCTGATCAGACAATGCGGGATATTGCCTTTCAGCTTCACTTTCAGCTGAATCAGAGACACCAGACACTTCTCTACAGCAGAAATGTAGAATGCGTTCGAGCTGCCTATGACTATAACTGTCGGTTATCAGAAATAGCCTCAACTGTCAACGGTAACCACTTGATTCAAAGTAAGACCGCCGAATATAGTGTACTTTACTCATGATTGGTTCATAGGTCATTTGGGAGAAGAGTTTGATTATGAAGCTTTACTACAACCTATGTACTCGCAAATAAGAGAGAAGCGCAAGTTCCGAAATGACTTCTTGTTCGGTATCGTAAACCTCTTTGATCTTGAAGCACATCAAGAGAGTCAGCAAAGCACCGATATATACTTCTATCGCTTTATTGTACAAAATTTAGTCGGCCTGCGATTCAAAATCGTTGAAGAACCTCTCTCAGTGATTTACGCTATCAACAAAATTCTCTCCACGACAGCTATGAACCTTATGTCCAGTCTTAACCTAGCAATAGAAGTCGATGGCGAGGACGAACAAAGGGATCTTCAATCGGAGCGAAGTAAGAGACGTCGGCAGAGGAATGATACGAAGCGACAGCAAAAGGACGGCGATATGGAACTTGATGGGGACCTCTCTATCAAATATTCGGTAATAATTAGCATGCTACTTCAAGCCAAAAAGGTCCTCAAACAAGTATACAACCTGACCGAAGAGTGAGTAAGATCCATGAGAATCTAGGAGAAAGGCAAATGAGAATTGACATGTAACTTAGGAAATGCCAACAATACCACCCAGAGGATAACAACAGCTTCAAGGCTAAGGCTGCCGTCAGCCAACCTCCTATACCAACTTACAATAACCTACTATTGGAATTTCCGGTGTTTGATACCAACGAGAACGATGAGCGCACAGTGGATACTGCTTGTAAATATTTTTCAAAATTAATGATGGATGACACACTTGGCGCCGCTAGCTTAGAATATGACGAAGATCCCATTAGTCCCATACAATCTGATCAGGATGGGCCAGACGATATTTTCAATAATTTCAACACCAGGAAATTGACAGGCAAAATTTCATCAAAATGATAACCCCACTAAATCCAGTCAGAAACAAAATCAATAAAAGCTCAAAACATCATCAGTATCGGAAGCTTAGTCGATCGATGTTAATGGTGTTTGCTGCTCTCCAGATTGCAACCACATTAGCTGCCTTGAACCTGGTATTTCATTCAATGTATGCCAAGGACGGAACAGAATGAAGATGAAATGATTTCAGTAAATTAGCGACGGACAGCACTAAATATTCAAAAATGAAGCGGACTGATGCACTCTCACTGTCACTAGCAGAAGTTTTCATAGTGGCTTTGCGAAGTATAATTAATCAAAGTTGTTTGGGTGGCCAAACTTTCATTACATGGTGGAACTTGAAACATAAATAAGTTAAGAATGGGTCACTAAGAGGGTTTTCTAATCATTAAGAAACATAATACTCCACCTGACGCTAAAGGATACATGTTTGACATCGAACAACGTACATCAGCAGAATTGCTAGATCACAAAATGGTACACAATTGAAAGCGCGAGTATTATGATCTCCATGAATCTCGACAACAATATCATACATTGAAGCAATACCAGGAGCTGACACTATTTATCGCACGAACTATACGATGAAAAATCTTCCCGGTCAAAAGGAATCGTCTCATCGGATGCTAATAATGTATGGGAATGGACAGTAACAAATTCTCATAACCACCGTCCACTGAGAAGAGGGAAAGAAACAATGTGGTTTGATTGAATGGTTACTGGCGTATCAATTTTCTCAAGGTTTGGTACATTTCAAAAATTTGATTACTAGCTATGGAATCCGCTGACTTAATGACACTTCTCTTGCCGTAGTGCAGAAGTATCCGAATATAAACGTATCCTGCTATCAAAAGGTAACTGCTTTTAACAGCATAGCAAGGATGGATGAGAGGGTATACAAGTACTCATAATAGTTTAAGCAAGGAAAAGGGAAGAGGTAGCGGCTGAGACATCATTCCTGACATGGCAAACCCTTGTCATGATACGGACTGGTTCCTTCGACAAACAAAATACAGTGAGGTATAATGGAATCGAAAGCTTCGCTTCACCAGCAATAATTTTTGCAATCTTTTCGTTGGCGTAACTTGGCTCTCCTTCCTCTCTTTCCCCTCTCTCGCTCTGTAACTACATTGTTTGCGATCAATACCATGGATGAGACCATAAATGTCGATAACAAAAATAAACCGACAGACATATTCATTGTAGAGAGCATAAATGAAACCGGTTCAGAACAAAAAGAATCCATCTCAGCGAATAGTTTATACTATGATCAGAAAGAGGTCCAGAGCGGGTCCCTCGATCAAAGCTCCAATGACGAATATACTATTTCCAAAGTACCATCTATATTCATTTTCCAATGTCTTTATGCATTACGCGTTGTTCATCAAACATTTGATTTTCAGTTTCGAAAATGGTTCTATCTATCTATTGTTGCCATGCAAGGATTCCTGGGACCACTATCTAGCTCGATATATGTACGTTGCAGCCACAAAATATTAATTTCACCATACAACATTAACAAGATTCGATAGGTACCAGCAGTTCTGGAGGTTCGAAGTGATTTCAAAACCACTACTACTTTAGTCAATACCACTATCTCACTGTACATACTGGCGTTAGGAATTGCCGTAAGTTTTTGGATAACAAACAGGAGTAAAGTGGTGTAACTTACGCGTTTCCAGCCACTTGTGTGGGCACCGCTTTCAGAAAGACACGGAAGACGTATAATATACATTGCAGCAACAGTCATTTATGTCGCGTCGACTATAGGTTGTGCTTTATCTCCGAACATCTCTGTGTTCATCGCACTGCGAATTACTCAATCTGCAGGAGCAAGTGCTGCTCAAGCTGTCGGTGCAGGGTTAGTGAAGCCTATCCTTAAAAATTGATCCTTAGTGTTTAAGGGTATTCCTCCCTACTCACATATTTTTGATCACAAATGATTTAGGACAATCACTGACATCTTTTCTGCAAATGAACGAGGAAATGCCATGGGCCTTTTCTTCCTTGGTCCATTGATTGGACCTGTCCTTGGGCCACTCGTAGGCGGTTACATAAACCAGTGTAAGTGTGGGTGAATATTATCAGTATCCGGCTCTTTCGATCTTCTAAAATTATCGTTCATGGTTAGATTTTGGATGGAGAATGATATTTTGGGTCCTGACGGGTATGGGTGGACTTGTGCTCATACTCATCATTCTGTTTCTGCCAGAAACCTCTCTAAAGCATATCAAAGCACGTCAGAAAGATCAAGCCAATCCAACAGAAGATACCGTTGGCGCATTGACCTCCGAAACCACCCTAGCAACCCCAGAAAAGTCTAGCTCAGAGACACTGGATCCCTCATATGAAAAGTTCAGTGTCGGCTTGGTTCGACCTTTGAAGTTCCTAACGAAAACTGTCGTGATCCTATCTTCGTTGCCGTATGCCCTGGCTTTCGGCTTTATGTACTTCATTATATCCACCTTACCGCATCAACTGGAGTACAAGTACAATTTCAACACCGGCCAAATCGGCCTAGCTTACCTTGCTAACGGTATCGGAAACGCGATGGGAGCGGTCTTTGGAGGCCAGTACTCGGATTGGTTTGTTGCCCGACAGATACGAAAATCGTCTGACGGAAGGAAAATTCCAGAAATGCGTATTGGTGCTATGTGGATCGGCATTGTAATGATTCCAATTGGTGATCTGATCTATGGTTGGTGCCTTCAAAGCCGTACATCCGTTTGGCTGGTACTGTTCGGATTTTTCATAAGTAAGACTCAAATCTCCTCCGTATTTCCTCAATATTTACCTTGCGCTGTACATTGACCAATATTGAATTGCAGCTGGTTTGGGAGTTGGAATGGTGCAGACACCTAGTAACACATATCTTGTTGATGCGTATCAGAATTACTCGGCATCGGTTGTTAGTGCTTCAAATTTAATGAGATGCACTTGGGCTGCCTGCACCCCTCTTTTTGCACCCATGTTCATAGCTGCAGTGGGAAATGGTATCGCTCTGACTGTTGTAGCTATAGTAAGTGCACTTAGTGGAATCTGCGTATACGTTGTACAAGTACATGGAGAAGCTATGAGAGCAAAGGATCGCCGTCTGTAATACCACATCAAATACTCATACTAGAAATAAAATTCTCTAATAGATTTATTACCATGATCATGAAACATGAAATTAATGCTATACTAACATATTCTTTGATATGCTTCTATCGCCTCTGATCCAGATTTGATAGCCTCAAATAGCTTGACCATGGCTACAGGATCGTGTATAGAGATGACATCCTGTGATAGTTTATCGACTTTTTGTTTTAAGCCATCTAGTAAACTAGATCTTGCTGAAAGATACGAGCTTGTGTCATCGTTATTGATAGCAGCAGGTGGTTGAGGAGCATCTATCTGTGTATTTGGCTTCAGCATTTGAAGTTGACTCGAAAGGAAATTTGGATCTTCTAGGTCGTAATCAAAGTCACGTAGATTGACGTCTTGCATTATGGTCTACCGTGGTAGTTTAAGTTAGTATTATTGTATTAAAGTGATCATTGTATCCTTCTTCGGGTTGAATGTTCTATGCAGTCAACTTCTAGTGCAACCGTAGAAAATACCAACGTTGCCATTGTGCTCAGCCTCCGCCAGATCAACTGCAGAATCAATACTGATCTTCCTTCTTTTGCAAGTGCAGTTGAGGCACTTCAAATCGAATTCATTCCAAGCAAAAGACAATTGTAAATCAACAATCGATTGCGGGTTGAATCTATTGGTCCATCGCAGAAAATGAATGAAAAAAGAAGGAAAAACCCACCTTGGATGGCTTGGGAGCAGGAGGTTGTTCCACGTTTGCTTTAGGAGTATCACTTTCAATTTCCCGCTTTCGCACTGACTGAAGATAAGTGTTTTCATTCATATAGCTCCTCTCGCATATGACGCAAAAGAGACGTTGTTGCTGGTCTCGAACAAGGGGAACAGCATAGCAAGTGTCGCTTGGACAGATATCGTTGACCAACGTCCACTGCTGCAAAAGTTTTTGCCCTATCCGCTCAGATGCTAATTTTGACTGTTCTCTACGTTTTACAGCGACGGATCCATCGTGTTTACTACCCTCATTCACTCGTCGGATAAACTCATCAGCCTCGTCGTCTTCTTCGATATCAATCTGGTGAGCTGTATCATCCATGGATCTATCCAAAGGTTCGTTGGCTGTTGCCTGCTTAAATCCGCTTTGTTCAAAGTTGTCCTTTGGAGCAGATTTTCCGGGCAAGTTATGAACTACACAAATCTTTTGCTTTCCGTCTTTAGATCGTAACAATGGCGTTGGGCATTGCGGTTGAGGACACTGTTCATCTGTCAAGATCTGCAATAGAAGTAATGTGAGCATTCATAACTATAAATTCAATCAAATATAGATATTATTACCCATCCTTGTAGCATGTAAGTGCCAATATTTGCACTAGCCTCATCAAAGCGGTCAGAGTCCAGCATTCCAAAAGCACAGGGAGAAAGCAGTAACTGCTATTTTGTAAGTCCAAATTTTGGGCCATCATATGGCGGAGAGATTGAAAATCGTACACCGACAAAGTCAACATTGCACCATACTATTATTCCAGCTAGCAATAGCGTATCCTGCCATCATCGTTTTATCAATCGATATCTGGATTATATGTGGTCTTCGTTTCACTATATTCTCTCGACTCCCTCTCGTTACAGCTGACTGTCTGAAATTTCTCTTTAGTTGAAATCAAAACCAAAGCACAAATCGTCACTAAGTAAGCACAGTAAATAGTAGCGCTGTTGAAGTATGTGATAAAGATATGAAGCATGAAACAAACTTGCTTATATTTTACACCACGGACAGGTATGCATTGAGATACATACAGCCCAATGAGGTTGGGAAAAGAATCATTTAAGAGTTTTTTGTTTGTTGACGAAAGAAATATTGTAAAGTTTAAGGTGGACTTGGGCAAAAAACCAACCGTCGGCAATCGTATAAATCAGGCTTCAGAAAACTCGACTGTTTCTGTAATGAATTACCTACGCCCAACGTACAACAACAGCAATATGCGGTACAAAATCATCTGTCCGGAACCCGTCAAGTTCTCCACTACCCGGATTCTGCCTGAGACCCGGTGGGCAACTTACAATAACTATTCCTCTGACTATAGTGAGGAAGCTGCAGCAAACTTACGCACACATAATTCAATGGATCCTGGAGACCCGTAAGTTCTTGTCATCTTGAACTGCTTTACGAGTACTGTTAAAAAACCCCATCTCATGAATTATACCAGGGACATGGAAGCTCAGGAAGAATTGATGATGATTGTAAAGTCTCCTAAATCGGCAACACCGGTGTCTGAACCTATTCAAAGAAGCCACTTTGTACCCATTAATAATGATCACAACGACTTGTGGACGTTACCGAACATGTGTGGCAGCTTTTCGGACAGAAGACGTAGATCACAAAGTGTAAACGATGGTTACTTGATATCTACATTTTAATGACTACTCGTCGTTATAATGATCAACTTTCCACACCATAATGTACATACAACTGTAAATATCTGATATGTGATATACTATTCATCATTTCAATACTGGAAGACCAGCTTTATCCTGATATCCGTGATTGGGAGGTCGCTCTGGAGGTAAAGTTCAAGCAAAGAGACTCTATTTTACCCAATTAATGGTCTCTGGTCAAGATGGCAATTTTTGACGTTTTCACGGTCAAATCGACTGTTCAAACAAATTTGAATGGAAATGATAAAATTCGCCGCTCGGTTATTGCCAGCATCATTGTCCAAATCCAGGAAAATAAACACAATAAAAAATTTGAGAAATTAGCGACAGTTACTAGTATATATATAATATTGCAAGTTGGCTAACTGAACGAACTGATTCTATCAGTGTAGAAACAATTTCATTACTTGGCTGCAGGTGTCTTCACAATACCAATAACCTCAAGATGACCCGGCAACTCATCATATATGCATTGATAATGCTAAAAATCGCCTTCGCTGATGTTGCAAGAGGACCAACACATATAATCAGACTTTCTGACGGTCGAAATGGAACAATAGGTATGCGGCTGCTGCTCTATAAATGCGTTGCTACAACTTCTGTTAATGAAATGTTCATTGATCCCAGGAGATAAGCTTATTTTGCAAGAATACCACCGATACCAAACCATGGTAAAAAATGGAGCATCCATTGCAGGAGCGGTAGATACTGCCTTGTTTAAAGATCCGACAAACCTTAGCAACATTTACATTGGTGAAGGATTTAGTGCCGTTACTGGAACATTTCCTCCATCATTTATCGAACATATTCTATTGCATGACGATGTAGAATATGTTGAGGTGAATGAAGTCTATAGAGCCACAAAAATGCCGCCCTTATACCGCCCGCCATCACGACGCAGCAAGATAGCACAGCATAATGCACCAAATTGGGGATTGGGACGAATTAGCAGGAATAAAAATGAAAACGCAAATGACTATTTGTATGAAAGTGCTGCAGGGTAAGAGCTTTTCTCCATTGCCAAGCATCAATTAACATAATCTAATACGGTTGATAACAAAAGAGATGGTGTTCAAGTCTTCATTATGGATACTGGCATAAATGTAGCGCATGATGACTTTAACGGTCGGGCTACAAGGGACGCCAATTTCGTGGATGAAGAATCAGAAGACGATTTAGGAGGACATGGGACGCATGTCGCTGGTATTATCGGAGGAACGACATTTGGTGTCTCCAAGAAAGTCCAGCTGAGGAGCATCAAAATACTTGACAAATATGGTGATGGAACAACTGTAAGACTACTTCATGGTAAGACATCCTTGTACATATTTATATATATAAAACTATGTTTGATCTGAACACGTCAAAAAGCTCTAGAATATGTTGGAAAGTTATCCAAAGGCAAAAAAAGCATCATCAACCTCTCTTTAAGTGGACCAAAATCGAAAATGATCAACGATGCCCTAAGTAGCACCTCCAATGACTATAACATTCCAATTTTTGTGTCTGCTGGCAATACAGCCGACGATGCCTGCAATTATTCACCATCAGATAACCCGGACGTATTTACTGTAGGCTCATCCGACCGCGATGATAGTGTTTCTAAGTTTTCTTCCACTGGCCAGTGCGTTCGTTTGTATGCTCCAGGAAAAGATATCAAAAGCGCTTGGTTAGGCTCCAAGGATGCTACCATGGTTTTGGATGGAACTAGTATGGCTAATCCTCATGTAGCTGGAATAGCGGCGATTTTAATGTCACAAAACACCTACAGTTCACCAAAAAAGCTTTATGATGCTATCACAAACATTGCCGTGAAAGGGCTGCTATCGTTCCCGAATGGCAGCGAAAAATCCAGTCGCAACTTACTTGCTCATACTTAGTACCTTTATGGCGAGCTTTCATTAGCAGTGCCTTTGTAGATATTAGTATTCTTGATAGCTTCCTCCAGAGCCCATTCCAACTAAAAAGACAGAGTAATGTGCATAAAATGGCGCTTACCACAAATACGTCTTTGACAGTATGTTGCATCGACCGACGCCGTTGTAGTATCAAATTTGTTTGATAAAAAGAAAAAATTGGCTTGAGAGGCATGGGACCAGACTTTTGATTGGTGGTAAATTTGTTGGTCGATGCACGCATTCGTTTTCTTTTCCCCTTTCAACCAACAGTACGACTTTGTTCGACATTGTATCGTGTGCAGCAGCCAAACTTTCTCGACATTGCTGCCAATGTATATCGGCTTGAAAAGCTACCTATTGCATTCACTTTTACCGCTCTGAATATGTTGGAGCAGCCGCTTGACAAGATTCCGTTCGTGTTGTTAGTCCGAGTAGTACTGCAAACTTTCACAATTCCCAAGGACCTGATTGATCAGTATGGTTTAATTGCTGGTCTACGAGAAGCTCTCGGCGTATGGGGTCAATCGTATGACCTGGGGAAATTTCTCAACGACATGCTGAGAAGAGTTAGAGAATCAACTCACGACGCGCTGGCACCTGAACTACATTGGTGGCGAGATTTGCAAGCTATAACAAAAGAAGACCTCACATTCACCTTGGGAAACGTGAAACAGGACGCAACTGAAGCTCCTGTAGGCGTTCGATTAGAACTTATAACGGAGTCGGTGAGGAATTATTCTTGATAGCAGCAGACAACTCTTCTAATTTACTAAATACACTGTTTTCCTTTCAAGTTACGGCAGGATATACCACTACGTTTCAATTTGCCCATAATACCCAATAGCGACACCACAGTTCTCGAAAAGCTTCATCAAAAGTATCAATCCGATCCAGCCATGGTTTTTCATAACGTTCGTACATTCGCTTTTTCAATTTTTCATTTTTATTCATTCATCTTTTAACCCCACCGCATTAGGACTCGTATACCTCCATTCAAACCATATGTGAAGGCGTCACCCAGTACTTTGCGCATGATTCCATTATCAAACCTAATGTCGACGATATATCCAATTTGCATAGTGTCATTGATCTAGCCAAAGGCTACTTACTTGCAAAGTCTGAGAAATGTCGTAACAGTCCCTCTAATCCAGATGATTCGATGGCAAGTGCAAATGCTATCAATGACAATTTAGAATCGATGAATGTAGAAAGCAATGGTGCCGAGCCTTGCGGAGAATATACATTATTGGCTGCTTTAATGTGCCTCAAGGACTCAAGGCGAAGCTCACGGCAACAATGGCGACTTTATGTGAAGGACTATAATGATGCCAATCAAGCGTGGAATGTGTACTATAACGATGGACACGGTGAAAAAGCAACATCGGTAATATTGAGGCTCATTGTGGTCTATTACTCTGAGGCTATAGAACTGTCATACTGAACTTCAATCTACCATAGATCGCTGGCGATCAAGCAATCCAAGATTTACGTGGGGTTTGCTCGCCGAACCCTCAACTGTCGACTAATGCAAGGAATACTATGCTATATGACACTGAAAGTTACAAGCCAGTGTACCTTGTATATGTCAATGCATATATTGTCTCTACACGACAAGAAGCGTTGATGTATATGGAGCAGGAGAGGCAAAACATCCTTGGCAAACGAAAAGTTATTACGGATGACGACTATGTCGACGACTACGACAATGAAGATATGGATGATGGAGACGTCTGTAAACACTGCCTTATTGGAATAGATGTCGAAGGAAACCGTCTGTTTATTTGTGATGCATGTAATCAATGTGTACACCAGCTCTGCGAGACGCCACCCATCCAAAACGACGAGATTGAAATTGATCCTTGGTTATGTCGCGAATGCACAGCTGCTGGGAGAAAACCTATCATGAATACAAGCGTTGACAAGGCAGAACTCCACAATCAAGTATGCGACGAGCCAGCACCCAAGAGGATCAACTTACAATAGGAGAGACTATGATTTCCCCGATACCACTTTTTTTTTCAAGCTGTTAGATATTGGTTAGGTAGATAATATCGCTGTACATGTTACAAACTTTGTAAGGTTGTCTCACCGACTACACCGCCTAATCATAATTGTCAATGTTTTTTTTGGTATTAGAAAAAGTGAAACTACACACTACGGCTAAATTTTTGACGGGCTGGACTATGAAAGTGAACTTCCGAGTGTCATTGTTCGGCGAGTTTGTGAAAAGTTTACAAGAAACATGTTTGCCAAACATGTCTTCAATTACTGTGGTACTTCTCTTTCGTCTTCTCTTCTGTATTGTTTATCAACCAATTTGTCGATCATGTCATGGTCGCTACCATTTAAAATTGCATATTCAATATGTGTATCTGTCATCTTTATACTCCCTGCTTTGGTTGGCTACGCCTTGCGCTTACGAGTGGTCAGCATGGGCTTCCTGGCACTGGGCGTCTATGGACTTGTTGTACTCATATTCATTGTTCTACAACTTATATTTGCAACCCTCAATCGCATACACGCTGTTCGATTTCGACGCAAAGAAAACAAAGTAGAACCTGAGAAAGGCCATGATTACCACAAAGTTGGACTAGCTGTGGTAGGTTACAGAGAATCGCCTGAACTCTTTTCTCAATGCTTGATGTCTATCAAGCAATTGGATTATCCACTTCCGCTCAAGATTGTTGTGGTCATTGATGGAGACGGTCAGGAAGACTACGAAATGGCACATGTATTCGAAAAAGAGTTCTCGGACAGCCCAGTCATTAGCATACCATACCTTTTATCTGAAGCGACCGAGGATGAAAAATTGGAATTCAAAAAGTTATGTGATACGGCGCCACAAGTTTCATGTTATTTACAACCCCATAGAGGAAAACGACATGCTATGTATACCGCCTTTCGATTTTTAATGGCCAGCGGCTCAGACGCCGTCATGACAACCGACTCGGATACAAAATTCGATTCAAGAGCAATTTTAGAGCTGGAAAGAGCATTACACTGGTATGGCAATGTGGGTGCTGCTGCCGGGGATGTCCGTATTTGGAACACGGGAAATTTACTGTCTTTTATGTCGTCTTTACGATACTGGATGGCGTTCAACATCGAAAGAGCCGCACAGTCTTTCAATCGATGTGTCACTTGTGTCTCTGGACCCATGGGGATGTACAAGGCCAGCGCTTTAGAAGAAGTCTTGGAAAAATGGATCAAGCAGCGTTTCCTAGGCATGGAGTGCACATATGGAGACGATAGGTCAGTGATCGGCGACTTTGTAGTAAATTCGGTCTCACTTTGATTATACTCAATCAATTTTCTATCTCTTTCCCAGACATTTGACAAATCGTGTACTGCTGAAGGGACATCAAGTAGTGTACACACATCTTGCCTTCTGTGACACTGAGACACCAGAAAACTTTTTGCGATGGTTCAAGCAGCAAACTAGATGGTCAAAAAGCTTTTATCGAGAACTACTATGGAATGCAAAGAGTATCCATAAACACAGCCCATGGATGGCAGCAGAGTTGTTCTACCAAGGACTCTACCCATTTATTCTCATGTTCTCGATTTTCTTCACTTTGTGGGCTCGGGTTCCTTTGGTCCTGGTGACCTGGCTTGCCAGCTTAGTAGGCATAGGTCTAATCAAGATGTTTTATGCACTTGTTGTCTCTCGCAACATAAGGTTCCTAGCATTCCCTCTCTACAGTTTGTACTACTTACTTGGTCTAGTTCCAGCCAAACTTTGGGCGCTGGTGTCGATGTGGGATGTTGGATGGGGCACAAGCGCTCGATCGGCCACGGAACTCAAACGAGAAACCCAGATATTCCTTAGGTTCAAGGAATTCCTCCCTATATTATTCTGGTGGTCCATTATGTTGGCAGGAGTCATATTTAACCTGACATTCTATTTCGTGCACCCTCCACTGTTGCCTAGTGACATCTCTCAACCAACCAGTATCGTATTTTACCCTAATCCAGCCATGATTGGAGTTGCAGGATATTAAAACAACTACAAAAAAATGTATACATGACATGACATCACAATAAACAAAAATGTACTTCAAAACTGATGAATTGAAATGATTAGCGCACACGTTTAATGATGTGGGAAGGCTCTACTTACAAGGCTCAATACACGGATGCGTTACAGCGGCAGGCAGTACATTATACTTAAAACCAGAGGTATGTGAAAAAACAAGTTTATGATCTAATATACTAACGATTTCCTGAATGACTACACAATTTACAACTATTTCTGTTATCCACCTGCATCAAAAACTGACTTATTCGAGATCGTCCAGCGGCTTCTTGACCATCAGACTCATGACTTTGGAGAATAGAATTAGTTAGAACAGATTATCACTATGAGGATGATGGAGCAAATTCTGCAAGCCTACCTTCAAACATAATATCGGCAGCAGCGATAGCCGTAACTTGGGCATTAGTGTCATAAGGAGTGGCTACTTCAACAATGTCAGCACCAACTAGCTTGATTCCTTCCAAACCACGGATAATACGTCGAAGTTCACGAGTGCTCCAACCTCCGGTCTAAAACATATTATTATTAGTCTCAGAACTTTACTTGTTAGCAGACCGTGGCGTATATTTACCTCGGGAGTACCGGTTGCTGGTGCAAAGGCAGGATCCAAGACATCAATATCAATGGACAAGTATACTGGGTTCTCACCAACAACTTCACGGATTCTCTCAATGATGCCAGCGGTACCGATGGTGTCAATATCTCTCTATTTTATGAGTGCAGGTGTGAGTAATCAATGTTCCAATTGTTCAAGAATGGCCATTTCAATCGGTCTACTTACGGCTTCAACGATATCAAATCCAGCATTACCATCATTCTATGAAATGAGAAAACATTGGTGAGTCAATCGAAGAATATGCTGTAGTCTAGTATGAAGTACTTACCTCGTAGTCACTTGGACCACTGAGAGTAGTTCTGATACCGGCGTGGATGGAAGTACCCTTCTTGATCAAGCCCTCTTGGGAAGCATGCCAGAAGTAGGTTCCGTGGTTGACTGCAGCTTGATCAGACTTAGCACCACCAAAAACTTTAGGCTTCCATGTATCCAAGTGAGAATCAAAGTGAATGACTGAGATTGGACCATAGGCAGAGTGAATGGAACGCAACAAAGGCAGTGTAATGGTATGATCGCCTCCAAGGGTAATCAGTCTAGGGAACTTTGAAGTGGCGGTTGCGGGCTTACGGTGGAGAAGCTCTTGGTGACCAAATTGAATTTGATCGATGGCAAACTTGTTATCATAAGGAGTAACGGCAATATCACCGCAATCGACAATCTTGGCCCAGTCGCTGAACGGGTTAACATCCATGGGAACGTTATAACCACCATACAAGTTCAAACGACGAGAACCGTCGCGAATACCAGCGGGTCCGAATCGAGCACCAGGGCTAATGCAAATAGTCAGCCTAAGTAAAAGCAATTTATATCATGTTTCTTCGAACCCTTACCGGTAGCTAGTTCCAGTATCGAAGGGAGCACCGATGAAAGCAATATCGAAGTCAGCGGTTCCATTGGCCCAGCATTGGGCAAAAGGTAAATGGGCAAAAGTGCCAATTCCAGAGAAAACAGCATCAGCGGTAACTTCCCCATCACCTTTGGGGCGCTCGGGTTCAGCTTTGACAATAGGTCTTTGGGCACGAAGTTCGTGATCACCGTAACTGACACCAGTTGCGGGGTATCCGAAGATGAGCTGGCTAGCAGCAGCGAGTAGAGAGAGTCCAAAGACAATTTTGATGGCCATTTTTTAATAGTTAATATGGTTGAATTCATGCAAATTGGTCTGTCTTTTATATCTATCTCGCTATTTGCGAATGATTTGATCTGTGGTAAACTTGTTATGTAATTTTTTGGCGGTTGAGGATCAATATCGGATGATCGGAGATCAAATCTCTATATTTTCTCGTAACAACATGGCCAAACAAAAACACCGCCAATATTTCTTACGTGAAATTTTCTGTCATTTTGCAAGTTCTGCCCACACTTTATAAGTACGCCGCACTGTTCTATGTAGTATAGAATTCTATCAACAAATTATCATTGAGGAGATTGAGGAATCTTGTAAGAAAAGCTCTTTGATTCGTGGCTGCCACAGGAAACCTCATTAAACTTACCTAATTACAATTTGTGTGTGGTCAATGGTTTGTGGCAAGGCAAGGAAAAAAAAGTGAACAGTCATCATAGTATATTTATTTATTTTTCACTTCCATTTTAACAAAACAGCTCCTTTCAACCTCCCTTTCCTAGGTCAGCAGAGAGACCAATAACTTAACAACAAATTGGACAACGCACGCTCCTAATTGACTATATAACATAAGATAAGTTAGGTAGCTGTAATGTAGCTGTAAAGTTAGCGATATCCACAGAAAATTGTATTGCAGCCGTTTTGGTCAAAGGGTATGAATAATTTGGGCATATTTTGCCTACCTTAACATCAAAGAATTCATCAGTCGCCTTGACCAAGTATCTCACATCAGATATGGTGGATCAAGCTGATTGGGTTCACTTTATAAATAGCTGAAATTATTGCGAGCACTCAGTTTTTAAAACAAGCAAGCATGAAACAATGCGCAACGACGAATGACAAGAAAGTACTCTACCATTGTTAAGTTTCTCTAGAGCAAATTATGAATGAAAATCGGACAGGCAAAAATCGTACTGAAACAGAGAGGCTGTTGTCTCTGACAGCAGCACGCAGCAATTAGCTCTCGAAAGTCAAGGTCATGAGGTAGATCCACTTCATAAGAATGGTTGAGTGACAATTTGCATTATTCGTATCCAATGGCTTACCTTATGTAGGTACTGGCATGAATAAATGGCCGATGTGAGTGATGTAATAATAAAGTTAGAGCACTTGAGTTAGCGACCGACGGATCTTGGTATCATTCGGGGTTGATGGACAACCTGATGTGTACAATTGGACATTAATATAAGCAGTGACCTTTCTTCGTGAAATTTTCATTGTTTCTCTATCTCTTCGTTGCTTAACCCCTGACCAGCGTTATGTCACTTGGCTATCAAAATGTCCATAGAACGTAGATGGTACATGATCAATGGCCATTAGCAGCCAAGTTAAAGTAGCAAGATCATAAACTGGAACCTTAACACTCACTCACGTGCAATCATGATAGTTGAAAATGGGTTTGTAAAACAAGACGCGTGATATGCGGCTCTGTCTTGCAATTCTCCGGTTGTTGAGGACATCAGACAGCCGAAGGAACAAGACAAGTTTCCTATTCCGGCTACTAAGTTTTCACCGTAAGATAAGACTACCCCAGTGTCTCTGAACTATAACATAATTCTATAGAGAAACAAAGGAATCACTTACGAAAAGTGATTTTGTCAGTAATTTAGAGTAAATTATGTCACTACATACATGTAAATCAGTGAACTTATAGAGATGACTAAAGCCTTACAAAGCCAGCTAAACAGCCCAACCCTGGGAAGCCTTTTCTGCTGATGTTACCAAATATACAAGTATAGATGCGGGTTCTCTATAGCGCTTTGAAGAGGTGCATGTCTATACCTTATGAGGAAGATAAGACGATAAACGTGAAGACCATCAAACCTGACGACGCTTCAAAGATGATACAGTTGTTAAACCTAAGAATGAAGGGGAAAATAAGGATTGGAATATTTTTGGCAGCTAGTAATAGATTCAATTCTTTTGTGTTATAAGTTGTAAGCCAATATGTTCTTTGGCATGGTTTGGATCATTCTGTGTTCGACAGGCTCAGTTTGACTCTCCGATGAACTAGCGCAACATAGAATGGATATTACAAACTACTTTGGAATTTTCGACTCCACAAACATGGGGTAATAGTTTATAATGCATTCTGATCTCTGAATATGAATAACAGCTATTATTCTACGAGCCGGTTCAACGGCTTTTTTAAGGTCAATTGTTCACCATTTTTACGACCGTGCACCGCCACCAAACGTTCGAACTTCCCTTGAAAAATACATCATACCCGCATTTGGAATAGGATGTCGGAAGAAATGGCTTGATAAAGGACCTGAACAAATATACTCATATTTTTGTTATGATTTCGGTAATTGCTGAGGTTGGTCAACAATTCGCTCATGAAATTGAAACCACTTTTGTCATACGAAATAATTCTGTAGCATGCCAAAGAGTACATCACCGTTTTGAGGTAAAGAATTGTGTATCATCCGGTGGCGCCTTTGCATTATTGCAGCATGTTATCATCAGAAAGTGCACCCATTTACATCAACGACTCCTGCGGTCTATCTACCGTAAACTAATTGTGACATATATTTCTCCGCTCCTTCTTACCGGAGTGCCCAAACTTTATCTGGAAAGTCATGGAGTAGTAGACTGTATAAATACAGGGACATGCCCTGAGTGTATGATGTAAGTAACTACCTTTGTCTCCCATGGTTCTCTTTAATCTGAAAGGCAACAGATTGTTGATTGCAATTAATGCAGTAGCTGGCTTGAGTATCTTCTTCTTTGGCGTAGGTATCTTTCCATATATGTTGTGCAGCATCCATGGCGAAGTCTCTAACAATGTATGCTTCCGTAGTATGACCAAGGTGTGATGAGCGACGTTAACATTGCCCCAGACTACCTTGCACTTATGGGGTTAGAGAACAACCCGGCCTTGCTTGGCGGTGTAGTTGCCGTATACTATGCTGGTTGTTTGATAGGGGCTTTGATAGGCGGATGGATCGGTGACCGGATCGGTCGTATTAGGACAGTGGTTGTAGGCAGCGCTATTGCTGTAATAGGAGCTGCACTCCAATGCTCGGCTCAGAATGTTGCATGGATGATCTGTGCTCGTATTATCACTGGAGTTGGAACTGGCCATTTGTAAGTATATGTCATGTATATTGACCTTCAATCATGACATCAACGATTTGCTAATATCGACTCACATTTAGGAACGCAATCGTTCCGGTTTGGAGCGCCGAAACGTCGCATCACAAGTCAAGAGGAATGTTTATCGCAATTGAATTTACTCTTAATATCTTTGGTGTCGTTATTGCCTACTGGTTAGGTTACGGCATGAGTTATACCGAAGGCGGTATTCGCTGGCGTTTCCCTCTAGGCTTCCAATTACTTCCCTTGGTTATCTTGATGGTTATCATAAACTGGTTCCCGGAGAGGTTTGTATATGCTTATGATGAACACACCCATCCTATAAACAGCCTTACTGAGCTTCATTATAATGCAGTCCTAGATGGCTATTACGCATGGGCCGTAAGGAGGAAGCACTTGAGATCCTAGCTGCTCTACGTGGCGACGGCGACCCCGATCATCCTGAAGTTCAACGAGAATATAATGATATTATCGAAGCTATTGAAATTGAGCATGAAGGCGAAATCGGATATCTTGACATGTTTAAAAAGGACCCTCTCAACATTGCTCGTCGTGTCCATCTCAGTGTCTGGCTTCAAATCATCCAAGAGCTCACTGGAATCGGAGTTGTCACCGTTTATGCTCCACAGTGCTTCCAAAAAGCTGGCTTCAGTTCCCAAACCTCGCAGCTGATTGCCGGTATTAACAACATCACTTACATGCTCAGTACTATAGTTGCCATTTTGACCCTGGATAGATTTGGAAGAAGGTTCTCACTCTTCTGGGGGGCGGCAGCCCAAGGTCTTTCTTTGGTTCTGCTGGCTGTTATGGTCCATCCCAGTATGTTGGCTCAGAACCATAGTGTAAGTTTGATATGCCCAACTTCCCACTCCTGATATCGGAATTCCTGACAATATTTTTAGGCGTTTGGTATAGCAGGAACTGTCTTCATCTTTTTATACACTGCTTTCTTTGGCATGACATGGTTGACTGTCCCTTGGCTCTACCCGGTCGAAATTTGTAAGTTAGACCGATAGTCTAATTACGTCGATCCCGCTAACCTTGACTAACAATTTTATTTTGTCCAGACCCATTGAAAGTTCGTGCAAAGGGCGGTGCTTGGAGTGTTGTTGGATGGTCAATAGGAAATGCTTTGGTTGCCGAAATCACTCCTCCTCTTCTTGCTGCTTGGGACAACTATACCTTCCTCTTCTTCGGTTTGATCAACTTTGCCGCTATTCCTATCGTGTGGGCATTATATCCAGGTATGTGCTACTGCACCAAATTGATGTCGTTTTCAATTTTTCTGTTGTTAACATAGCGGTTGATTTCAACAGAGACCGCCAATCGCACATTGGAAGAAATGGACATAGTTTTTGCTACAGAGACCCCGTTCGTTTGGAAGGCCGAAAAAGAACTTCGTGAGAACAAGACTGCTCTCATTGAGAAGGCAAAGGATGCTAAAGAAAGAGACCAAGAAAAGCATGGTAGAAGCGTGGGTGTTGAACCTGGAAGCACAACTGATGTCGAGAAGCAGAATGGCAATGGCTTGACTGATCACATAGAAAATGCATAGAATTGCACTCAACCAATCTAGAGACACCAGTCTAAAGCCACCCTTCTGTAATGCCTATTCCACTTTTGTATCATTACCATAGTCTAGATAAATATATTATAAATGTAATGATTTTACCACAAAGCACAATTGCTTTGCTTAAAACCGTCAGGACAACCACACAATCCGACCAAATCATACACCAGAAGAGGACCAAATGCTAAAAGCTTTGTCTATAACGATTGTTCTTTTTTAATATACAGGCAGCAATGAGAGTGCTTTAAGTTTAGAATTTGATTGCCTCTATGGGGACTTCACAATGACATCGATGTTGACTTGAGATTCACCACACTTGATGGAAACTTGGTGTTGGCCCAAAGACTTGATTTTTTCACTGAGAACCAAACGCTTATCCAGAGTAACCTCATACTCGCTAAGTTTCTCTGCGATATCTTCGCTGGTGACTGAACCGAAGGTTGCTGTGGTGTCCGGAATGACGGCACGGACAAATTCGAGTGGGCCGGGTAATGCAGCTAGTTCGGCAAACAACTTTCGTGCGGCGGTATCCTGTCGCTTAATCCCAATGGATGGATCGACCATCTGAACAGTCAAGGCTAAGTATTTAGATGTTGCTTTCTGGCGTTTTTCTGCACGTTGTCACTTCAGAAATTAACATACCTTTTGCACAACAGGTTCGGCCAAAACAGCATTTCTGTCCCGTGGTCCATTGAACTTATTGATATATGACGCCTGCTTGGATGGAAGCAGCACATTTCGCATTAAACCTGGTCGAACAGTTACAACCTCGTCTTTCAAGCCGAGTCCCTCTATATATGTGTTGAGCTTGACGTTGATAGATGCTTTTTTGTGTGCATTGCGCTGAAAACTTGTCAGAAATTTACCCATCTCAAAGCTAACATTCCAGACCATCAAATTACCTTGAATATGAGCGTAGGCTGGCGTGTAACAGCCTTGGTGACAAGTGAAGTAAATGACATGCTGGTTTGTCTTGTCAAGTGGGTTGAGGGACAAAACCTTTGATATTACAGCAAGCCACCGATAAATCACGAGATTTTGCAAGAATATTTATTTTTTAATTTTGTCATGGAAAAAATATAACTGAAATCCAACTGAAATTGGCCATGACCATAAATTAGCCTTACAAAACGCCTTCTAATATACATCATCTGGTTTTAGGCAGTAAAAGGATACGGTTTGGAAAAGTTTAGTATATACACAGATGGCGTAAATGTAAGATCCAGTAGTCCTTCATTAGATCAAGCGAACCTCTAAAAATATTCGATAAATTGAAACGGTGTGATTAAACGTTGACAATGATGAGTTTTCAGAAGAGTGTGACCGTGAAGGTAGCTGCCGAACCTTACTTCCCAGTGTTTGAATTTCTACCCATATACCATTTTTGAAATGCCTGCCGCAGTCAGTAAGTACATTCAACTATCCTGAACAAAGGGATGAGAAATAGCTCAATGACCTCACATATAGATCCAGTAATATTTCACTATACACTGATATACAGTTTAATTATTCTATTCAAGTTAATTTTCCCAGTTTTTCCAAGATATTCATCGCGAATGATCACTCGAACCGGCGTATAACTCTAAAGTGTCAACTAGCCAATGAGGGGGATATTACGCGTCGTCGGGATGTGAAATTTGGGGCAGATTGATCTCATTACGACGAGTCTTATTAATGCATCCAAAATATAAAAGACGTTGAAGTAACTGGCTAGTCATCCACATCTCTTGTTCTCATATTCAACTTCAATATCAAAAATGTCTCAGGCACTTACTAATATCCATCGTGAAATCGGAAAAACTGGTGTCAAGGTATCTGCTGTCGGTCTTGGATGCATGAGCTTGGTATGTATGAGAAACCCAGAGATCCTTTGAACTCGTAAGAAGCCATATCTTAAATGCTCATCACCTATTTCCATTCGATTTCAAACGAGATAGTCTCCTGGTGTTTACGGAAAAGTTGACGATAAAGAGAGCTTGCAACTTTTGAACAAGGCTGTTGAAATCGGCTGCAATTTCTGGGATACCGCAGGTACGTAAAAGCAGGCTCAAAGGTGTATTATGGCTGTTGACTTGATGCTAAAACTTGTTGATCTGCTGTAGATGTTTACGGAAAAGGTTATAGTGAAAGACTTATTTCACAAGTTCTGAAGGATCGTAGAAAGGATGTGTTTTTGGCAACTAAGTTTGGTATCGATTACTCTTCTGGAGACGTTAAAGCCACTGGTAGTCCAGAATATGTGGAGAAATGCTGTAATGAGTCACTTGAGCGACTGGGAACTGATTATATTGATCTTTATTACAACCATCGCATCGACAAAGACGTGTAAGTATTAAGGGGGACCAAAGCTTTGCACCTGTCGACTTTTATTAGAAACTCATCAATGTCCGATACCTTAGACCGATTGAAACTACAGTGGCTGCCATGGCAAAGTTGGTAAAAGAAGGAAAGGTCAAGTATCTTGGCTTGTCAGAGTGCTCGGCTGCAACCCTTCGACGAGCACATAAGGTTCACCCCATTACAGCTGTTCAGGTGGAATACAGGTAAATATATGTTTTAGTCATAATGCTCCTTCGAACTGCTGTGTTGTTAATGCTTCAAATGTTTAGTCCTTGGTGTCTGGATATTGAGAAAAACGACCTTCTAGCAACCTGCCGTGAGCTTGGCGTATCAGTTGTGGCATTCTCACCTATTGGCCGTGGATTTTTGTCCGGACAGATCAAGAGCTTTGATGAGTTTGATGCTGATGACAACAGAAGAAATCATCCAAGATTCCAAGGTGAAAACTTTGCAAAGAACATCGAACTGGTCGACAAAATCAAGGAGATTGCAGAAAAGAAGGGAGTCACATCGGCTCAGTTATGCTTAGCCTGGTTATTAGCACAAGGTACAGTCTCCTTTATATGTGAAGCGAAGCTTATAAGTTTCATACTGATGATGAACTTCCCTATAGGTCAAGACATTTTTGTCATTCCTGGAACTCGCAAAGAGAAATATCTGTTGGAGAACGTTGCGGCTGGATCAATTCAGCTTACTTCAGAGGAGATTGCTGAGGTTCGTCGTATCACTGAATCATTCAAGGTGTCCGGTGAACGCTATAATAGCACCTATATGAAGCTTTTGGATCAGCATCAACAATGAGATATCAAGCAAATGCAAACGCAAAAATGCAATCTATTTTGACAATAGAGACCTTTTATGTAGCATCATCCGATGTCAAATAAAGTATCAAGCGAAATAAAAAGTCTCCTTTTATTTTATTTATGGCTTTCAATTTATCATAGCTTTCGGTTCAAAACACCAAGCATTTGCCAAATGGTAATTTAGTCAGCACCGTCCAAGACATTCACAGACCGGTATGGGCGAGGTATCATTAGGAAAGTGGTAAAATGGATTATCAATAGCTTTTTTAACAGAATATAACATATAACCTCTCTTGTCGTATACACGGCCAATAGCTGTCACTTCGCACGATAGCTTTTTCTCCGGGCTCACTGATGCGGCCCGAAATAGTGACGCGTCGTCGGACTTACAAAGTCAGCTCTTACCTCGGTGTGATCCGAAATCTTATTTAAGAAGGCATGTTGTAGGGGGAAGAACAGATTTTTTTAACCACTTTACTCTTTGATTATGTCACAACCTCTATCTACCCCCTTACGCGAAATTGGAAAGACAGGTGTCAAAGTATCTGCTATTGGTTTGGGATGTATGAGCCTGGTATGTAAGACATCTAGTTGTATGCTGGATCCAGAAACAGGGTAATTGTCATCTCATTAACAATTATCCAAATGGTATAGGCTCCTGGTGTTTACGGAAAGGTTGACGATGAAAACAGTGTCCAACTTTTGAACAAGGCGCTTGACATCGGCTGCAATTTTTGGGACACTGCAAGTATGTGAAGACATTTATTACACAAATCAACGTTGTCGGAATAATGTTAACTGCTTGCCTTGCGGTAGATGTGTACGGAAACGGTCATAGCGAGAACATCATCTCAAAAGTTCTTAAGGACCGTAGAAAGGATGTGTTTTTAGCAACGAAATTTGGTATCGATTCTTCTTCAGGCGCTGCTGTTGCCAACGGAGACCCAGAATATTTGACTAAGTGCTGCCATGACTCGCTCGAGCGATTGGGAACCGACTATATTGATTTGTACTATTGCCACCGCATTGACAAAAACATGTAGGTTTAAATCCTTTCTTCCAAGCTCTTGCCATATGGAGAAAAAGGAACAACTAATATACATCGCATTAGACCAATTGAAACCACTGTGGCTGCTATGGCAAAGTTGGTAGAAGAAGGCAAGGTCAAGTACCTTGGTTTGTCAGAGTGCACGGCTACTACCCTTCGACGAGCGCATAAAGTTCACCCTATCACGGCTGTTCAGATGGAATATAGGTAAATGGCTGCAATAGTAACGAACGCTTTTCATGTACAGTACTTTAACATATCACCATAAGCCCATGGACTTTGGATATCGAAAGAAACAATCTTTTGGCAACATGCCGTGAACTTGGCGTGTCTGTTGTTGCCTTTTCACCACTAGGACGTGGATTTTTGTCTGGAGAGATCAAGAGCATGGATGATTTGGATGCTGACGACTCCCGTCGCAACAACCCTCGTTTTCAAAAGGAAAACTTCGAAAAGAATCTTGAATTGAGCGACAAAATCAAGGAAGTAGCGGATAAAAAGGGAGTCACATCGTCTCAACTCTGCTTGGCATGGCTTTTAGCACAAGGTATAGTGTCGATTATATCGGTTCAATGAGTTAACATGGCCTGATATTGATCTGAGACCATTGATCACTACAGGTGAAGACATTTTTGTTATTCCTGGAACTCGCAAGGAAAAGTATCTTTTGGACAACTATGGAGCTGGATCTCTTCAACTCACTTCAGAAGAAGTCTCTGCCATCAGAAATATTACGGAGTCTTTCAATGTAGCTGGGCCTCGCTATTTCGCTGCACAGATGTCGCTTTTGGATCGAGACGATTAAAAAGTGGATACAGGGCTGAGATATATGTTTTCACATTATCCTTACATGTGCTATCAAATATATATGTAAATTCTGCTTTAATAAGAGCAACGATATTATATTTCTACTGAATACCATGGTGTCTCATTGGTGTATAACGTTATTATGGGTATTATTGTTATCCCTGAAAGATGGTATCCGTGCGATGTGGGCGGTCGCCAAAAAGCGAAGAGGGCGATGTGACGTAAGCAAACCAGTCACACTGAAAAGAACCTGTGGCACAGCGATTCCACTTTTTGCAGAGATTCCAACCAAACATGTGGAAACCAACAGGTACGGATCAGCATCACAACGTATGGTTTACGATCAGATTCCCATTACTTATAAATGATTTAGGTACCAATGATATTCCATTGGGTCTCAAGAGAAGATTTGGCGATTCCGACGACGGCAGTGTTTCTCCACAAGCAAGAAACACAGGTGCATCCATGTCACCCTCTGGCGAGCGAGGACGTGATCCCACTCCAAAGAGTAAGCTTGGGATGATGAATGCATCATACTTTTGTGTTCAACCTTTACTTAACGCAACAATCTCGTTCATTCGTTCAGTGACCAACGGTAATTCCCCTTCAGAAAATGGTCAGCGTAAGCGAAGAAGTCGCTGGGGCGCCAGTGATACGAAAATCAATATTCCCGGGTTACCGACGGCTATCTCGTCGACAATGACCAAAGAGCAACGCGAACAATATTCTGGTGAGTGTCTCAATTTCGTGCTTTTATGTCTGCAATGTTTAGCTTTCTCACATTTTGGAGTATAGTGCATTTGCGTATCGAAGAAATTAATAGAAAGTTGAGGACTGGCGATATTGTACCGCACGAACGGGACAGGTATTTGGACGTTTTTTTTAATAGCATTTGTACGTCATATGAGTTCCTGACATGTTTTATGCACAGATCTCCATCACCAGAACCAGTTTATAACGCAGAGGGCAAGCGTGTTAATACCAGGGACGCACGCTATCGCAAAAAGCTGGAAGACGAGCGCCAGCACATTATTGAAGATGCCATTAAAAGGTATCCAGATTTCCGCCCACCGGCAGATTACAGAAAGGCGGCAAAGACAACCGACAAAGTATACATTCCAGCAAAGGAATTCCCTGAAATTAATTTTATTGGCCTTTTGATCGGACCTCGAGGTAACACACTGAAGAAGATGGAATCAGAATCCGGAGCAAAGATCAGTATTCGCGGCAGAGGTTCCGTAAAGGAAGGCAAAAGTCGTACTGATGCTGCTGCAAACGCCAATCAAGAAGAAGACCTTCACTGTCTCGTAACAGCGGATACTGAAGAAAAAGTGAAAATAGCAGTCAAGTTGATTGAAAAAGTCATTGAAACGGTAAGTTGATATGCATGATATGATGATCGTGATCCAATGTGATACAGAGGAGGCAGATAACTAACACTTTTCACCTTAGTCTGCGTCTGTGCCAGAAGGTCAAAACGAATTGAAACGATCACAACTACGTGAACTTGCTGCGCTCAACGGTACATTGCGCGATGATGAAAACCAAACATGTACCAACTGTGGTGGAGTTGGACATCGTCGATACGAATGCCCTGAACAACAAAACGTTACCAACAATCTCACGTGCAAAATTTGTGGTGGACAAGGACATATGGCTCGTGATTGTTTACAACGCAACAATCCAGAATTCATGCAAAAAGCACAGGAACGTGAAGAGCAACTGGATAGCGAGTACATGAACCTCATGGCCGAATTGGGTGAAAAAGTTACCGACGGAGAAGCCGGCGCTGGTGCCAAGGTATGTGTCATTCCAATGAAAAGTCATCTTCCTTACACTTTACTAATGGTCTAATTTTAATAGAGTGAACGTCCACCTTGGGCTGATCGGGCTGCGGCTAGTGCGGCTGCTGGACAGGCGGCACCTTGGCAGCAACGCTCAGCCAGTGGCGGCGGCGGCGGCGGCGGAGGCAACCCTTGGGATCGAAATAACAACGCCGCACCTCCTAGTGGTGGTAATGGAGAAGCACCTTGGGCAAGAAGTGGATCATATGGACCTCCCTCTGGTGCATCGCAATATGGACCAAATGGGTCATACGGTGGAGCTCCTCAACACTCTCCATCATCCTATGGACCTCCAGCAGGTGGATACTATGGCGGTGGCTATGGAGGATATCAAGGCTATGGTGGATACCCAGGCTATGAACAAGGCTACGATCAATCAGCACCGCCGCCGCCACCTGGTGATGCTCCCTGGCAACAGCATGCTCCACCACCACCTCCACCACCTTCTTCGCAATATGGAGCACCTCCTCCACCGCCTCCATCATCCGAGCCCGCACCACCGCCTGCCCCATCAGAGTCAGCACCACCACCGCCGCCTCCACCGCAATAAGTACTGGATGACAGTGCGTTACATTTCTAGTTTTTCCACCCCACAGTAATATCAATGGTTATAGCTTGAAGATTCATATCTGATAGTCTCGGAACTTGACTGGTGTGAATAAGTTTCTACTTTGTATGACAGACAAGCATTGGTAATAAAAAGTAGTTTGAGTCGATTTTCATCTTCCATGGTAATGTTATTTTACTGGCGTCGTTCCCGTCAATTGCAAAGTACGGCTTCATGAAGCCATATAGGCATCCACGGATTGTCTCAACTACTATAGCCATAGAATAGACCGATTCGTCTACATTTACCTTTTTTTGAACACAACACGACGCATTGTAAGAAAAAAAACGAAGTAATATTGAATTCACAGCAAATATTTTTTTAACATCAAGATCTATCCTCTATACACTGGTTTAAGCACTGTTAATACAAAATTCCTTTTGTGCCTGCGCAACTGCATCCTTAAAGTTTTCAACTTCGGCCCAGCAATCCAAAGGTCGGCTCTTGTTGTGTCTGTATGGTATGCCCAATTTATCAGTTCAAGGGATTCGAAGACACCTTGGTCTATCTAGACAGCATGACACTTTACCTGTAGCATTCAATAACAGCTTGTTGACTTTCCTTGATTTCGGCAGGCAACTTGCTTGAAGTTGATCTATGATGAAATGTGTTGAGTAACTTGCACGACATTGAGTATCGACACTATCATGACAACATACCTTTGAACACGCTTGATCATATCTTCAATATCGGCGCCAATGGCTACGGCATTGTGCTTGCTTTCCAAATTCTGCTTTGAAAGTTGTGCAGTGATACGGTTGTTGGCTTCTTCTTGCTGTTCCTTAATACGGTTCAGCTCCTCAGCAACACGTTCACGAACAACTCCTTCGACTTCATGTGGAAGAGGTGCTTTTCCGCTGTTGCCAACGGGCTTGGATCGCTATGGGATAATTAAACAAGAGTAAATGAATGGAGTGTTAATGGTGGTATATATCCTGTGTTCGATTGGGGCGGTACCGTACCTTTGCGCGAGATTCCAATGAATCTACCAAATTTTGCGAAAACTATATATTGTGGTGCCATGAAATTAGCTGCTGCGATTTTTCGATCGGGGAGAATTTCGTGATTCATAATAGCGACAGATAAGGTAGCTTCAAATTACCTGCAATGGAACGTTTTCATTGTAGAAAATAACTCCCTCAGGTCTGGATTGTTGGGCACCCATGTTGTCTATGTCGAATCCAGGCAGGCCTGAATTCCACACACAATACAGAATTCAGTCTTAGGGCATATGAAAACGTGACGTCACAAAAATTACAATGGCTCTCTGAATATCCCAGTTTTTTCCAACATGGCTTATTGGGGGGCACGGCTCACATGAGGACACAGAGCCTTTATGGGCCAGTAAAACTCCATGGCCGGCCACAACTCCATTGACGTATGTTGGAATCATTTGTATAGAGAGCATCTATTATATCTCTGTACAATTACTCATATTGGTGCCTCTCCTTAATGATGGAGACGAGAAATTACAATGTAAAAATAGACTTTTTATTCAGTCGCACAATCCACACGGACAAAGGATCGAGACTCGTATGATACCTGATTGTATTGAGTTTCTACAACATGGTGCCATCAAACCAAGTGTCAAGAATATCTGCGCACTTTTTCTGCACTTCAGAAGTCTATCGGAATATTAAGTGAGCCCAAACTATTAATTGCTCTGGCCAATGATTGGCTTCATGTTAAGGGAGGAACATCTTTTCAGCCGAATAAACCAACGAACCATCTTTTGAGACAAACAAATTGGTTTGCGGTCGATACCCCCGCCACGAACGAATATTCTCACTTGATTGGTCCGCCAGAGTTACACCAATCGTGACTTGCTGTTGTTCCGCTGGCCTATTTTAGCTTTGGTACCTTTTCCATCCTTGTTTTTTTTTCGCCTTGGTGTATCTTCTATCCTCTTAGATGTCCTTCCTTGCTCGCTTTGTGCGTCAAGCTCCCAACGCAGATGGCAAATCAGAAGTATTTGCATTTGCAAATCTATCTGGTAGCGAGCCATCTCATGTACAAAACTCCCCAACTAGCCAACGGCCGGACCGATTGCGCGAAAGCCCTGAACATTATCAACTCTGCAACAACAACCTCCCACCCCACAAGCTCGACAAAGTGAACCATCGCAACTCTCTTGTTAGGCGTTCTGATTCCGGCTATCAGTCAATGTGTGATGATATCAACGAAAACCAATGCGATACTCTCAGCCAGGAGCTGCAGTATATTGATGAAACCTATTACCCGTCCTTAAGGCTTTGGGACCAGGAAGCCACTGATATCAACTTTGATACTTTGGACACTGATACCATGAACGAGCAGCAGGAGATTGACGATCAGCAGAAGAAGTTCGGCTGGACCAAAGTATCTTTTCGAGATGTCGAAATCGAAGTATCTCGATACGGCGCTATTCAGCGCATTGGCGCTGTTGATAGGTCAATCGTTCGGCTTAGTCCCAATATCAGTTCTCTATGGCCCGCCCTCACCCAAATTCATCTGTAAGTGGATTAGTTTACTATTTTAGCTCACCGAAGTGTGACTTTTGGCTTCTTGTGTAAATAAGGAGAAGTCAGTTGGTACCACCCTGATACTCATTTTTATTTTTATGTTATGTTCATAGTTCAAATAACCTACTCGAAAAGCTACCCGCCTCATTGGCTTGTCTGCGAAACTTGACCAACTTGGAATTATCCGGCAACAGACTGACCGAGCTTCCTGATAACATTGGACGCCTAACCAGGCTAACTGTATTAAACGTCTCCAACAACATGATCACTCACCTTCCTGACTCAATGGGCTCTTTAAGGAAGCTGACCGTTCTGCTACTAAATGACAATCAGCTGTCTGACCTGCCAAAGAGCCTTGGTGATCTCAAGCTGCTGACCACTTTAGATATCAGTCGTAACCCGGTTAGGATCGTCCCTGCTGAACTTGCCCGCCTGCAATATTTGCGCTATATTCGAGTCGACGGTTGCCCCATGGTGTTGGAATATGCACCAGAACCAAAACACAGTCCTCCATCACTCCTTGAGTTAGCAGCTCGCACCATTGTACGAAACGACATCGAGGTTCCTAACCACGTACGGGACGACATCAAGGAATACGTTTCATCCGCAAATAAATGCACTCATTGCGGCGGACCTTTCTTCACGTCCTACGTGCAAAGAGTCAAACTTGTGGAAAAGGCTGACCAAACTATGATACCCATGGAGTATAACCTCTGTTCGGCCCACTGGAATGACGATAAAGGTAGAATCATGGCGATGTTTGCCTCCAGGCCAGCCACAAGCAAAAAGCCCGCCCACGTTTTGCGAGCTGAAAAGGCAACCAGATCTACCTCTTCTGAACAACAATTTGATTTGCGAAGCCCACGGCAGGGTAACCAACCCCGTCGACGAAACACCACTTCAGAAACCCTTCGTAGAACTCCCACCCCTCTCGCCTCTCCAATCCCCGCATCTCCCATTCCTTCAAGTATGATGAGCGATATAACCGATGTTCCCGAGCGAACAGCATCGCCTGCATCTATGATGTCAAATTCAGCAACCATCAGCATAAGCTCATTAGCTCGTAAGATGTATACTTCGTCACCTTCTTCAATGTCACAGATGGACACAGTGCTGTCAGCATCCTCATCTGGATCGTCCACGCCTGAAATTGCACCCGCGACTTTGCCCACCCGATGGAGGACTCAAAAAGTCCGTAACCGGAGCAATACGGGATTCTTGAGTCTGAGCAAGCTGCAACGAGCCACCTCATTCTCAAGCACCCCGTCTAGCCAAGGCATTGCCATCTAGCATATTTATGACTAAAGATACCATGTCAATATCACCAACCCCCTTTCATGAAATTATAGAACCCTTTTGTATCCGATATATTCTCATCCAAGTTATGTCACCCCCTTTCCTTCACCATAGCTTGATGCTGGCCCTGAATATAAAGATATTTATAAAGCGAATCATGAATGAAATGTAATTGGTGCTATGAATAGAGGGCGGAATATAGGCAAGCGCGTACGCGGCAATACGGCATGGAAAGAAAGTACCAACGAGTATCCGCGCATCAACTTACTTGGCGGCAAAAAATTTATTGTACAATTCCCAAATTTGGGGTTTACGGCGTTTGACTGTTAAAAAAACATTTGGGATTTAAATAATGCCTGTGGATTCCAACGTCTCCTCCGCATTTTTCACACTATTATCATGCAACCCTTTGAAGCCTTTAGGAAATGGAGGGGACAACGAGAACCGGAAACTACCATAGCCAATTATCCTCCATACCAGCATTTGGAACAACATTTTAGCGCTGCAGAAGTCGTCAAAGATATCATTCTGGGCCTATCTGGTGAGTGAACTCCTATGTAAACCTGCATGAATACATGCGTTGGGGGAAAACGGACTGTAGACTGAGTGCTTATGTTTTGTCAGATGGCTTAACGGTACCTTTCGCACTTGCTGCCGGTCTCAGTTCCCTTGGCAACTCAAAGTTGGTTATCTATGGTGGAGTAGCTGGTAAGTCTTTGTGTAATGTTTGGTGCATCCCACACACGAGACCAACCTCGAACGTACCAATTAAATGTCTGTGCCATTTACACAGAATTGGTGTCAGGAAGGTAATTAGATGGTCAAAAGCTTAGTCTAGGCGATGGTAAGCGACCGTTGTACTAACGTCCTGCATACTGTTATGTACGCCAGTATATCCATGGGACTTGGGTGAGTTCGAAAATATAGGGCTTCACATATCATTTGGTCACATTTTATTAACAATAGCTTTGTAGTGGATACCTCGCTGCTCGTTCAGAACTAGACCACTATGAAACAGAAAGATTGCGAGAGATGAAGGAGGTGGAAGAAGTTCCGGAGGATGAAGAGCAAGAGATTTTAGACATCATGGCACCATACGGGCTAGATCGTGACACAGTACAACCTATCATCGCGAAGCTTCGTGCAAATCCAGACAAGTTCGTCGACTTTATGATGCGGTTCGAGTTGAACCTGGAGGCACCCGACCCAAATCGCAGCTTGGTAAGGAGATGATGGACATGGGATGAAAAGGGAGAGTCGGAAAGTTGTCAAGTAAGAGCAGTATGCTAAAACGATGCAATTCAACTACAGATATCTGGGCTCACCATTGGTGGATCATATTTATTAGGCGGCTTAATCCCTTTGATCCCTTACTTCTTTCTTCAAAATGCATTCGAAGCTCTTTACATCTCCATCGGTGTTACGCTGACTACACTGATGATATTTGGCTACATCAAAAGCCTTCTTGTCAGTCCAAAATCAGCATTCAAAGGAGCTTTGCAAACCCTAGTCATAGGAGCCGTTGCAGCCGGTGCAAGCTTTGGAATTGTAAAGGCTATCCCGGAAGGCACCGCATAACATGTTAATCTATTCGTAATTGTAGCACCATTAATCTTTCAACTTGTAGTCGCTGCTCGCTGTACTGTACTTCATTTTGACTGTATAATAACAACAAATAACAATTTGCAGCCCACGGAGTATTGAAATTTATGGTGTTGAAATGGTATGCCTTGTTTGCTTCATTTTTTCTCGAGTCTATTATGGCCCTCAATCATCTGCTCAGCCCCTTACAATCCATCATATTCCTTCCCTTTTACATCTTTAACGTATGTCCTATCTTACATGATAGTGTTACGACCACTCTTTTACGACTATTTTGGAGTGCAAATACCAGACGTTCTGGTAGCAACACTTCTTAGATATGAAATGACGTATTTCATCTGTAACGATCCGAGGGAACGAATGAGTTATTTCAAACGTATGAGTTGAATGCAGGGTCAAATTAAGTACACATGATATATGTTCTGGTTTGCCGCCGACTCACGGTAAATATAAACTGAGGTGTTCCTCCAGGAGGGCCACCTGCAATAGCCTTCCTTTATTGATACACAGTTTGAAAATGTGGTTTTTGATGCGAATGCTTTTCATTTTCAAATAAAAATTGCGAAGGTAGCTTTAGGTGTCTTTTATGGAGAATGGAGGTTTATGCAGACAGCCCACAAAATGCTCTCCGTTAAGGAAATCCTTGGATTCCAACTGACTTTCAAACACGTTTTTGCACATGGAACGTCCATATCGACCGTCGCTGGTAGCACCATTGCATAGACACTAAACGCAAGAAGAACAAAAGATAGGCAATTTTTTTTAGCTTAAGTAGTCGAAATAGGTGGTGTTGAATGGAATTGTTACAACATACACGGCTACAGCTTGGAAGGTATGCTTTCTGTGGGGAAGCACATGATCGGAGAGCAGTCACTCCAGCATCAATAAAAAGTGTCTCACATTCACACCCTTCGCCTTTCTTCCTACGTTGTGAACCCTCTTTCAAAAAACTACATACTATGATCGGCCAACCTGCAGACTCCATGGTCGATGACGAATTGATACATGATATGATACCACCCCACATTCCAGTGGAAATGGCTGTGGCGCCAGAGCACAACCCATTGTCCCATCACCATATCGTCAAAGCGCCTCCAACTTCCACACAAGGAAAGCGACATCAACATACGTTGAGTCCGGAAAAACTAGGGGTTGTGGGCTATGTCAAGGATGTCGCCGGGTTTGTCACAGATTACGTACAAGACAGCCGAGAACGGCGACGAAAATCAAAGGATGCCGCCTCGCCTGAACAACGCTCTGGTATCACCGAGCCCCTCAGTCCAACGCAAGAAAGCAATAGGCAGCTTGAGAGACGGTCATCTACTCAAGAAACTACCGAAGACGAGGCGGTTCGACAACCGAAAAGTCCACTCGCTCATGCCGTTGGCCAATTATTTCCAGGTATTCATGCGTCTGATCAAGACCACGCATGTGTACATGCGGATGAGATACGATCAGAGATGATGCGAACTCAAGATACGTTTAGGGAAGGGGAGCGCGGTTTGGTACCGAAGTGACAGTCGGATGCAATACTGAGGTGATCGGCAATCAGGTTTTTCTGGGGTGACAATTTTTGATGTTCTCTCGGGTGTGAAACCCACCTATCAATATTCTATTGGAAAAATTTACAAGGAATAAAAAAAAAAAAATTGGAACGTAAAAATGCAGTAGATTTCCATCTATTACATAATAATCTATGATGGCTATGTCGTTGTTATTACACTTTGGAACTAGAAATTAATTTTTGTCATAGTATATGGAAGTCGCTTTGGAAGCCGTCTATTAAAGGTAATAGTCAATGACGATGAATTCCGGCTCTCTGGGTTTTTTAAAACAAAGAAACTTTTCATCAAAGACTTACCGCAACATTTCCATGGGAAGTCTGGTAAGGAGATGTAGACAGCGCTCCGTCTGAAAACACACAAAAGTCATGGTCGATGCCCACACGAACTGGCTCCAAGTTGTAATTTTTCTCGAAGAATGATAGGCAAGCTTTAGACGGCCTATCAATGCCCAGGTCATTTAAACCATGAAGGTGGGGGTCAATCTGTCAAACCATGTAAGCTGAGAGTTCCTTCCATAAGGCTTACTAATTCCTACATACACACCTTTATCATTGCATCCATTAGCAGCCTACCATATCCATGCCGCTGGAAGTCTTCTTCAATATAAAAGTCGAGAAGACACTGGCAAGTCAAGTGCTCAACAGTGTCGTTATCATCGCTCTATGCCAAATCTGGGTTCAGCATGACCAAATGTCCTGAACCTCAAGCAATTGATAACACTTACGAGATGGAATATTCGCTTCTTGCCGACTTTACCCAACCCGATTGGTTTGAACTGACAACCTTCGAGAGCTATGTATACTCGATGATGTTGGGCTGTCCGCAAAAGTTTTTCAGACGTCGTTATAGGCCGAGGCAGATTTTGAGCCTGAAAGCACTGTGAAGTCAGATAACATGTATAGGCTCTCTTTGTTTATCATGAATGTATACCTTTGCAGATTTGGCGCCAAGATCGTCAACGACCTTCAGCCAATAGTCTCTATGAGGTGATGACGATTAATTATGTTACGAATCTTGTAACCATGTTTTCAAAATATAGTATCTAACTACCTATCGCTTGGCGTGAAATGGGGGAGGTCGCTACCGTGAAAAGATACTACTTTGAACGAGTTCGAAATGGAAAAAACATCAAGCATGAAGGAAAGCGGGAAAATGTGGGTGGAGGCAAAATGCAGCCCATCATAAACCACTCATTTTGAAGTACCGCTGTGGTACGAATAAAATCTTCCGGCCAACCAAGCAACGATCTGACAAAGAAATTCAGGATACTCAAACAGCGTTATGGCTCTATACTTGAAATGGCTTCAAAACATCAAGCCTGTCTGTCCTTCATTGGTCTTACATTCGTATGACCAAGCAATGCACGGGGGACGTTTGTTTGGCTCATTAACAGTGTCAATCACTGTGAAAGAACATGGACTATGCTGTTGTATGAACGCACTTCGCAGTGAATTAGGATACGTTGCTGCTTTGCTTTGCACTGGCTGTCATGAATAAAACACAGCTCACCGATGCACGATAGTTTGACATAGTGTTAGACCTGATAGATGACAAGCATGATTTCTTCGCTGACCTCCTATATAATCTGTCAGTAAATAATCCCTTACAGCTTTACATAATTTACGCAGGGATTTGCTCAACGTGCAGATTTGTTGTGTCTAGCCACCACTTCTCACAAATGAATGTAATGTAGAATGTGACACCTTTTGTCTTTACCTGATGTTTCTCATTGTGGAGTGATACGTTGGCTTGACATGGTAGACAGACCCATTTGCTTGTTCTTTGGAACCTCTGTCTGAAGAAGACATCGACGAGATAGCCAGCTTAAAATACTCAAGCGGATTCGCAGCCTCGTTATTCAAGGCAGCAGCTGGTATGAGCAAAGCTTAATGCAAGCCGAAGGCTGAGCAGGCTATGTAGCACCCATTTCAGGCAACATCCCAAATGGGAAGTACTGCCACCAGTCGAGGCTTTAAACATGTTCAGTATAAATATAAACACTTTCATCAGGGCAGCGCCCAAACTTTTCCTCTGCCATTGTCAAAAACTCTACTCTACACCATGTCTGAAATAGCAAAACCCAAGGTTGCCCTCGTCGTACCTACAGAACCAGAGGAAGATAAACCAAAAGACTTTGAAAGTATGCAACCAAAATCAGACTCACATATGGCCATCAAGGTTTCGCCACCAATAGTCGATTACTTCAGTGCGGACTCACGGTCTCTATCTGGAGAGGAAGACCGTTTGATATCGCGAGATAACTTTGACTTAGAAGGTAAAAAGCCCAAGGCGACAGGTCTTCGGTCTAAGAAGGTCATCATCGCCATCATCGTTGTGGCCGTGTTGTTGATCATTGGCGCCATTGTCCGTAAGTCTTTGATTTTCTCATTACTCATTTAGTCACCATCATCAACCTATGCTAATTCATCACAGTGGCGGTGTACGTGGAAACCATGGTGAATTAAAAAGCTGGCAAGCAAGTCAATCATGGACGAACCAGGCGATAAATTACCCAACCATCTCAGCATATCTGTATAAATCATTAATACCTATTTCTGCACACCTTTTTCAATAAAACCAAATCATTTTTTTTTTATAAAAGGAATGTGTTCCAATTGAGAACTCTGTGTGTGGTAGGATGAAAAGAACGTGTTGGTACAAGTAATCTCCAGTGAAGGGAGCATAAAAATGTGAAGACATGCTGGCAATGAAAAGCTGATGGCAAAAAAAATAAGAAAATTGGCTTTTGGATTAACTAAACACAAATAAAAGTTGATAGACATGGATAGTCTCAATTTAGCCGTCTATTCGGTATTCATAGCTTCAGCTTCATCCAAATTGTGGATTTCGCCTTCAGTGTAGTAGCAGAGAAGCTTCACTCGGAATTCAGAGAGTTGATGGTAGAACAATTTCTGTGAAATAGGGTTAGATAATGAGTGAGATAAAGAAAGACATCAACAACTAATCCCTACCAGCAAATGAGCTTGATTGGTGGTCAAGGTCTGTCCCAATCGGCATATTTCATATGGAGCACCAAGGGTGACAATACCGTTTTGAAGAGTGGTAGGCATGCCAAGGTTTCGGATGTGTTGCTCCATGTTGTGAGGCATCTTGTCGACACCACGCATGACGGGTCCCTCAGGTATCGTGACAGTTTCGGTAGCAACAACACCAGATCGAGCATAATCAGCTTGTCGGTAGTCGTTGAAGTATTCCTTGACTTCTTCAACGGGACGGTCGGTGAAGAGAACGCCAACATCTCCATTAAGAAGCTGATGTGAAATTTTTCGAAAAGAAAATATTTAGTCAATCGTTGCCTCTTAGATTTGGCTCTTGATTATATCCTCAAACATACCTTTGAGACTTGTCTAAGGTTTTCCTTGTATTCATCTTCAACTGTGGTACCCAATGCCTTTGCCATAACCTTGTTCTTTCCAAGGAAGAATCTCGAGTCCTTGAACTCGGATCTAATTTCTTTCAAGAAAGTGTTTCTCATGTTATCAACTGAGAACACCCACAAGAAAGCGTATTTGTCGACACACTCTCTGACCTAGAACGACCATGATTAGTGTTTTTTCGGTACGCTATCAAAAATGAATTGGTCGTTTTGTTACCTCTTCAAAAAGTGTATCCTTTCCTCCACGGCCCTTCTTCTCGGTCTTAGTGAGTGACACTAATCAAAGAGTGTGGATTAGAACAAGTCTCAATGTCAAGGCAGTTGAAGACAGTCTTCTGTAGAGACTGATTACGAAGAACTTACCAACTTTTGATCTCTTTGACTTTGGCATGGTGGTTGAAGGGGAATGAGCTGCCTTTCTCGGAACAAAAAAAAATTCAGGAAGGTCAAAAACTTAGCAGTCCTGTTCGAAGAAGCAGGCAAACCTGGCTTAGCCCACGTGACTTCGGTCTCGAAATGAGTGACGTGTCACCGCATCGGTACCTCAAGTGCGGAGACCTAGTCTTAAAGCCCCAGCGCGCGTTCGAATATATCCACCATCCTCTGCCTCAGATGGTAAGTGACATTGCCATGTTGCAAGATGACAGAAGTAGTGAAACTTCAAAAGGAGTTCCATTGACGTACGTTGTGCTTACACTTTTGCTCGATTTCTCGTTTCATTTATAGGTTGTCCTAGCAGCTGCAGTAGTCACCAAAGGCGGCAAAGGTAGTTACCAGCTTTCATCCCTTAGATGCTTCGGTCATGTTCCAACACCTCCAATGCTGATGATGTCTTTTCCTTATTGCCTTTTCCAGCCGTCATTTCTCGCCAGTTTCGGGAGATGCAGCGTTCTCGAATCGAAGGGCTGCTTGCCTCATTCCCAAAACTGACAATAGCCGGGCAGCAACATACCACCGTTGAAACTGAGCATGTCCGCTACGTATATCAACCTCTTGATGAATTGTTCATGGTTTTGATTACAAATCGCCAGGTATATATTGAACCATGCAGCAGATCAAATGTTTCTGTTTGCCTCGATTTAACGCATTACTCTGATAGTCCAACATCCTGCAAGATATTGAATCACTTCATCTGTTTGCTCGTGTCGTCGCCGACACTTGCAGATCCTGCGACGAGAGAGAGATCCTGAGAAATGCTTTCGAACTCCTTAGCGCATTTGATGAAATCATTTCCGAAGGATACAGAGAGAATGTCAACCTTAGTCAAGTCAAGAGCATTATTGAAATGGAAAGTCACGAAGAGAAGATTCAAGAAATCATTGCAAGAGTAAGTTTCTGTCAAATAATGCAATTTTTCTTCCAAGTACATCCGGGCGTGCGCTAATCGATGGTGGAAATAGAACAAAGAACAAGAAGCCAAGGAAGAGCTCAAGCGAAAGGCAAAGCAATTGGAAATGCAAAGACGGGAAGCTGCCAAGCGAGGACAAATGTACATGCAAGGCAATTACAGCGGCGGTTTTTCTGGCAACAGAGCTTCACCTTCGTTGGAGCCAACTGTGCAGGCCGCTACAGAACAAAGATCAACCTATAACAGGTAAGACAATCCGCACATATACCAACCGCTAATGTTCGTATACTCACCTCACATTTGTATAGCTCACCTGCACCTGCAGCTTCAAGAGCTAAGGGCATGAAACTCGGTCACAAAGGAAAGTCTGCCGATATATTCGAAGCTATCAAATCTGAAGTGGAAGAACCTTTGCTTAGATCACCTGCTGTTACCCTAGCACCCATTTCTACGCATCCACAAGAAAGGTAAGGATATGGCAATAGACTAATGTGATCTTGACTGCTGAGGCTGACATACTTTATACAATACAGTGTCCACGTCACAGCTGAGGAGAGAATGCGCCTTGTTGCTAACCGAGACGGTGGTCTCGAGCAGTTGGAAGTCAAGGGTGTTTTGGTTTTGAAGATTAGCAATCCTGACGATGGCAAAGTCCGTATCTTGGTGAATGCTGAAGAGGACAGCTCAATTCAATTCAAGACCCATCCCAAGGTCGATAAAACTCTATTCAAAAATGAAAATGTTGTTCAGATGGGTGACCCTAGTCGATCCTTCCCCATCAACCAACCCCTTGAGGTTGTGAGATGGCGATACATAACACAAGATGAGACCAGCATTCCTCTATCCAGTAAGTTGCGAGGTTCACTCATGGGATATGTATCATATCCACTAAAACTGTGTCCATAGTAAATTGCTGGCCATCTCCTGCTGGCGACGGTACCTGCGATGTCAATGTGGAATATGAGTTAATGGCTGACCATTTGGAGCTCAAGGACGTTATTGTCAGCATTCCTTTGCCGTAAGTACATAAGGCGGTTATGAATACATTTTGACGTAGCCATATCATAACACTGGCGGTTTTCCATAGATCTTCGTCACAACCTAATGTCAACCAAGTAGACGGCGAATACAGCTATGATCCACAGCGTCGTACTCTCGACTGGCAGATTGCCGTCATCAACTCCTCTAACAAAGAGGGTGTCCTCGAATTCAACGTTGCTGGCGATGATGTTGATGCATTCTTCCCAACCCAAGTATCATTTTACAGCGAGAAACTACTTTGCAATGTTGATGTAAGTTTTTTATTTTTATTTTCTCACATTGGATTTTTGATGTTGGCTGATTGGTACTGACAACTCTCTTTAGGTTTTGGATGTACAATCCGTAGAGACTGGCGAACCTACACAGTTTTCAAAAGAAATATTATTGTTGGCAGAAGATTACAGCGTTGTATAGAAGTGCCGTGAATAATACTATAGTTCTAACATCTGCCCACAAGTATACAATTAAAAAATTTAAAATCATTGATAAAGCGGTACTCTTGGTATTCAACATGGAAGGACACACTGAGAAAGAGGTAGCTGCAACGCTATGAAAGCAAGCAGAGCAAGATGAAAAAGACTGACCATAAGGAATACAATTATCATGATGATGCTGGCTTCGAGCATTCTTTAGATTCTTCCCCAGCGCCTGTCCACCTTCATTTATTGTAACGTGTACAATACAGGGATCTGCAAAGGTTTACATCAACACATTGTAAAGTGTGGTCTTGCTGTAAGTGACCAAAATACACATTGCAGTCCAGATCAGTCATGCTGTTCAGCTGTGTTGATATTTTGCAAAGCATGATAGAAGTGGAGGCACTACCATTTTCTCAGCAGAGTGCGCATTAATACTCCACGTTCAAACAATATGCAACATGTACAGAAACCATTGCTTTCCACAACTGTCGCGCTCGTTCGGCATCTGAACTTCACCCGTCTAAGACAACTTGCGCTCAAACAACAATGAACCATTGCAGTATCCTATCTCCATCACAACATCTGGCATATTGCCATCAATCAAAAATATACATCTAGCGGGAATAACCCAAGTTGAGCACCATTTTACGTCAGATTTGAATTCATCTTCAAAACACAGGTTGATCTAATCTCACAGCAAGTCGTGATTATTGTATTCCTCCCTGCGATACTTGGCTCAATACACATACTGCCAGTCCATTCATCACAGCTTAAACTTGTAGTCATCGAGTATTACCTCCATGGCAATGGCATTTACAAATATGAATATAAAGATGTTTATATATTTTTGGAAATATTCACAGGGCGGGGGGCGAGCACGTCGGCTCTTTCTATGCTGAATGTGTGTACATTTATTGCTTGCCGCTTTGCTCCTTTGCAAGCTCCAGGTACTTGCGCTGACGCTCCTCGAGCACTCGGCGCTTATTGAAATACTCCACCTAGAATAACAACAACGGGTCAGCCATCATAGTGGTATGGAGGAAAAGAAATGCATAACGAAAAAGTTCAAAAGGCATACCCAACTGGCCATACAAGTATCTTCGTATTGTTTTTTCTTGTCTAAGCAAGCCTTTCCCTTTTCCCGAACAGTGTCTTTGGTGTTCATCGCTTCAGGATCAAGAATGCCACAGCTTTCCAGACAAGCAAAGTACTCGTCTCGAACTTTCCAGCATTGTTGTCGCTCGCGGCGTGATGGTGGTTTGTTTGGTGTTTCTGTCGCTTGTTTTGACATGGCTGAAGATGGACGGCTAGTTGACTTCATTTTTTTCATAGCCTGCCCAATGTTGAAAACTTGCCGGCACGTGACTCATCAAAGAAAAATGAAAGGCGCGCCGATCGCATATCGACATAGAAACTAGTCAGCCGAGGAAGAAGCAATTATTATTTTCTAGCTGGACAGGAAGGCAGATTGGGGTTTTCTAGTGCAGACTAGAAAGCAGTGTTATGTATGATGTGACGCTTAAAATAAACACCATGTATTCCCTCCAGGACCATGTTTTAATAAATAACTTTGCGTTTTTCTTTCATTTCTTGATACGGTAAACTGTCTCTTTAAGTCTCTCTACATTGTGCGAAAGAGAACATATTTTGGGATATAATGCATATAATTAGGTGAGAGGAACTATGGCTTTCGATCGTATCTAGTAATGGGGAGGAGTGTTGGAATTGTGCGTTGGCAAGGTTGCGTCAGGAGTATGAGGCTCTGATGCATTATCAATTTCATGTAGCCCAATGTCGTGTTCGTCATCTCCAGTGGCGGGAAGAAGGCTCTGCTTTTCCTGCTTCTTTTCGCCACGCTCGACCCATGCCTTGAGTATAAAAAGCTCAATATTACCCAGAATCAACTGTTCAACATGGTAAAGCAGTAGCGGTGTAGTCAAGACACCGACAATACCAGCAGGGGCGTCTTGATAGAGAACACTGACTAATGGGACACCCATAGCGACAGTCTTAGTAGCACCGCAATACTTGAGGCAAATAGTGAGCGATACATCTCAAAATGGATGATCTAGGAAATAACATAAAACCTACCATGATAGCCACCGTATCAGCCCTAGAGTATCGAAGCTTTTTGACCCATTCAGGAGTCTTTATGCTTCGTGGTAATGGGAGTCTTGCAGCCGCCATGCAAAACAATGAAAATGAAATGTAAAATCCAGCATTGATAACAGCGATGGCAACAATATCCGTGGCTCCTACGGCGCTGAATGAATTGGAGGCTATAGCATCTGAGAACACAGACCATACTAAAGCCAAAAGTGCAAGACTGTTGATATCGCCTAGTCGGCACTTTTCTTTTATGGCAGCTACTTGTCTTGGGAATAGCCATTGAATGATTTGGCCAACGACCAAAGGCACTAAAATGGTCAATCCAAGATTCTTCAGGACGTCAATATAGTCGAGACTTCCGTGGGCATTAGTTGATGGTGCAATTCTGGTATCCTTCTCAAAAACTTGGGTCGAGTGATTAATTCATGATGACTTCTGTGAGCTCCTATATTCCTGACATTCGGTAACTTACCCGACATTAACGCCGGAGATACGAAAATACCTATTTTTGGAGAAAGTAAGCGTTAGATTACAGTGAGTCGCTGGCTAAAAAATTTATCACTGCCATTAACCTACCGAGAACATTCCCCAAAGCAGCGTTCATCAGAGCTGAGAAGAAAAAAAATAAAATTGCGCCATCGTGTGGCTGCATTAGCTACCTAGATCAGATAGTACAATCATCTGGAGTCCATTTTACCTGAAGCTTCATTGCCCTTGGCGTTTCTGGTCATGACTACGTTAGATGAAACGGTAGTAGGCGTACATCCGGCAATCACCAAACCTAAAAGTAGCATGTGATTGATCGGGAGATTGACTGTAGCAAATAGAAGAGCAATGCCGTAGACAGTGAAGGGAATGATAATGAGACTGATAATTTGGATCATCAGATGTAATCTAACCCGCACGACTGTTTTTGCAAGGGTTCGAGTGCGTAAAGATAGACCAGATATTAAGAAAATAACGATGACCGCTCCTGGGAAATTGCACTCAAATGTCACTACTAGTCGTTCCGTGTTGAATCTAATTGACATAAACTTTTACCCCATTTGATGCTCCATTCCGAATGGATGACTCCGTCTTTCTTGGCTACTCCAGGGAACCTCCAAGCTAGGACGATGACTACTGCAAGTCCCATCAGGAACCTACCAAACAGAAACGAATTAGTGAACCTCGCTGCTGGACCATACGTGTATGACTACTACCTACCAATATGTTTGGATAAACTTTATAATGAATCTTCTAACTTTTATCGCTCTTGAGGGTTGTTCTTGGGCTGCTTCTTCTGGTTGGATTGGAGCTTGTCCGTTCCTTTCCGGCCCTACTTCAATATTAGTACTTGAAACAGAATGAATATCGGCTTCAGTATCAGGCTTGTTCCCTCCGTCATGATCTACTGAAGGAGCTGAATACAATATGCTGGCTGCTCTTTTCTCATTCGGTGACGAATTGACCTCCATTCCAGAGCAGGTAAACTGAGCTGGCGTTGGACAAAGGGATAACTTTTTTTTTAAGGACGCTGCGAATGACATTCAAATTTAACGACTCATTGGGTCACGTGGACGCTGCCCCACCTGCAAGCAGAACTTTGGCAGTGCAGCTAAATGGTGCATGGAACGTAATATTACATGTAACATTTCTCAGTTGAGACGAAAATACAGAATTAATGCCACCTTGATTGTGATTTTCATTGCTGATTTTGTTAGTAATGCTCCTAACTAAATAAATGATCCATTGAGTACCTGAAGCAGGGGGGGTCCAGGCTCGCCTTCTTTTTATCCATCCGATATTTGCAGTCCAATCGCTCTTACCACCTTGTTTCCGAATATATGCTTGAGAATAAGCATGAAAATTGAGCAAAAGCTTAAATTATTATAGCGTCCCTTTGAACTGTTCATTCACCGCAGAAAAAATGATATTACGTGATGAACTGTGCAAAATGTTCAGTGGCAAAGATTTTATGTTTTACAGCACTGTAGAATAGGTGTTGACATTATGAGAGAAAAAAAGACGATAAGTGGAACGAGTGCTTTTTGATAGCCCATGGTTTGCCGATTTCTGACCAAGACAAATGACCAGAACGCTGAAGCATGCCGTGGCCACATTAAAATAACTCTCATTGACGTCCGCTACTGTTTCAGAGATACGTTTCACATCTCTGATCCCATTTTACATACCACAGCTTTCTACCCGTAATCGATGATAGCTTCAAAAGATATACACAGCTCCGTTTTCCACTTGGGGATCGGAATGACGAATTCATCAGAAGACAGCTCAGGTACCGAAATCTTTCCCTTTCCATGCTAAGGCTCGTCACATGCAATAGCTTGTTTGCGCACAACAATCATCATGCAAAAAAAAATGTATACACAATGTGTCTTACTCAACAAAAGTCATTCATAAATCATAAAAAATCGTCCAAGGATACCATCTCATCTTCAGTATCTTCCAGCAGAACATTATCGAATAATAGGTAGTGACGCAACTATTTCCTGCATGTACCGAGGTCGCATCATTTTCCAGACCCTCCTTTGTCAATATTGTATTTAGGATGGTTTTTGTCAGACGTTTGGTCAAACGATATTCTAGATTCAAGTATCGTGATCCATATTCACTAGTATCATTAACGCTACAATAATACAACTGTTTACTCGCCTTTGCATTTTTCCATGGTCTCGTCCTGTTTATTGATCACGTCGGTGGCTGAGAGGGCATTGAACTCCTCCCATCGTCGGTGTTACACCCACGACGTAATTGTTTGTCTCTTGATAGCCAGGTCCCAACTGCTTCTTCATTCTCTTGTACATACCACATGCCTTACACTCCTATTGATGTCAACCGGAATCGCTTGAAAGCGAGTGCGGCTCCAAGTCATTTCACAGTCAAACCACAAAAGGATTTATGTCTGCGAATCTACACTTTGGACTTGACAGACGACGGTTCTCCTGACTATTCCAAACGCGTAAGTTCTTTATTCACCGTCAATGTAATGGGCTGGGAGATACTGGATTGAGTTGAGAGTGGGGGATATTCCGCAGTGGTAACGAGCCCTTCTAATGGATAACATCAAAAACAGTATGTCCGCTTGGCTCCACCTGAGAAAGATGCTTTCATTCTGCGGTTCAAACTGGTAGCTGGTATGCTCTCATCTAACAATGGCGTTCTGTATACAAACTATCCGGTCACATCAGAGTAAGTCAAAAATCTACCAGGGCGACATAAAGCATTGTGATCTCGTTGTCTGAACGGAGTTTAGACACGGACCATCACTTGATCGATAAACCTAACCAATTTTTTTCTGTACAGGCCCTTTGACCGCCAGAAGTTCCATCCTGTCAGGTAATGTGGAATTTTGACGTAGTATGTTTAAAGCAACAGATTAAGTATTAACTCTGGATGCATTGTAGATTTTCTTCCGATTTTTCTAAAGATGCCATTTGTGACGTTACCGTTACCACCTCGGGTGCATACGAATACTACGTTGAATATGATTCTTTTGAACATCCCGACTCCGACTCAAAACCAGTAAAGAAGAGATCGGAAAGATCTGGCTACTTTGTTGTCGAGCCTCGCCTTTGGGTACAACCTCACGCTAGAGTCGTTGATACCAGCAATGCTCAGAAGACTTCAGAAAAAGCTGAAAAGGTCCTATTGCCTTTGGATGGCCTGGTGATTGAATCAGCTGTTGGAAAGTGGTTAGGAAAGATCAGCAAGTGGGATGCACATCTGGAGAGTATGAAGGAAGCTGGTTACAATATGATCCATTTTGTACCTTTGCAAGTTCGCGGTGCTTCCAATTCACCTTACTCCATCCATGATCAAACCGCCTTTTCAGACGATCTGTTCGATGAAAGCCAAATCAAGTTGTCTCGTGAAGAAAAGTCGGAGCTTGTCAAGAAGCAGCTTTTGCGCATTCAAGACCAATATGATATGATGTGTTTGAGTGATGTTGTTTGGAATCACACAAGCTTTGACTCTATTTGGCTCCAAGATCATCCTGAATCAGGTACAGTATTTTGAGAATGAACATAATATGTTGGTTGTATCTTGCTCATTCACCTATTATTTTGTGCAGGATACAACCTCGACAACTCACCTCATTTGGTGGCTGCCTTTGACCTTGATACCGCTCTATTGGATCTTGTGAACGATTTTCCAAAATACTCTCTGCCCACTGTTCTTAAATCCAGTGAAGATTTGGATGCTGTTATGGAAGTCATTAAGAATAATGTCTTTCCAGCTTTGAAGTTGTGGGAGTACAAGGTTATTGACGTGACAGCCGAGAAGAAAAAGTTGGTTGAAGCTCTTTCGGGCCCCAAGAAACCTGACTCTGTATACAACGCATTTGAGAACACCAAGATCGCCGATTTGAGCCTTCGTGAACGAGCCGTTTTACTTGCTGAGCATGGTATTGGTTGTAGTCAATCAGGTCAACGTTATGGCACAACCGTTGAGCTTGCTGTTGCTGTTGCTTTCATCAAGAACTTGGGAGGCGTTTCTCCCGATGCTGAGGTATCAGAGAGCGAGGCTCACAACTTGGCTGAAGAGTATAGCAAGGTTCTAGACGAATACAATCTACCACTTTACAAGGAATACGATGAAGACGTACGTGTTGCTTTGGAGAACACCAGAAATCGTATTGAATATACACGCCTTGCTGACCATGGTCCAAAATGGGGAGAAGTGACCAAGAGGTAAATATTAAAATTTGCTCATCTACAAGGCCATTTTTTTGTCACCTGCTTATTTTTTTTCTACAACCTTCCGCTATAGCAAACCGCTTGTAGATGCTTACTTCACAAGATTGCCAGAAAATGAAAAGACCAAAGGCCACTCCAAGGGCAGCATGGCCCTAGCGAACAATGGATGGATTTGGAACGCTGATCCTATGCAAGACTTTGCTGGACCGCAATCATCTGCTTATCTGCGCCGCGAAGTCATCTGCTGGGGAGACTGTGTCAAGTTGCGTTATGGTTCAGGTCCAGAAGATAGCCCTTATCTCTGGAAACACATGAAAGAATATACCGAACATACTGCCAAGTTGTTCCAAGGTATTCGAATCGACAACTGTCATTCCACCCCAATTCATGTAGCAGAATACTTGTTGGACGCAGCCAGACGTATCCAACCCGATTTGTACGTTGTTGCTGAGCTATTCACTGGATCGGAGGATACCGATATCACGTTTGTGTCCAAGCTTGGTATCAACTCTCTCATTCGCGAGGCTATGCAAGCATGGGACCCTGCGGAACTCTCACGTTTAGTACATCGCCACGGTGGAAAGCCTATTGGAAGTATGGATCAAGCTCTTACTACCGAACAAACCACTTATACTAGAGATGGCAAAACCGAAGAACCCGCCCTTCTGGTCCCTATTCTTCACGGCAGCATTCCCCATGCATTGTTCATGGATTGCACTCACGACAACGAGACACCCAACGAAAAACGTCAAGCGAAGGATACCCTTCCCAATGCAGCTTTGGTCGCCTTTTCTGGTAGTGCCATCGGTAGTGTCAAGGGATACGATGAAGTCTACCCACGACTTTTGGACATTGTCAACGAAACTCGTCTGTACGATCAGCCCAAAAAGGACGCCAATATCGGTATCACAAAGGTCAAGCCTATTCTTCAGAAACTGCACACGGAAATGGTCTTGGATGGATACATAGAATGCCATGTTCATCATGAAGGCGATTACATCATTGTTCATCGACAACATCCCGAGCTTCATACTGGTTATCTCCTTATTGCTCACACTGCATTTGCTGGACGCGATAGCAAGCGTGGAAGCGTAGCTCCTGTCAAGCTCAGAGGTACTGATGTTGATTTGTTGTTCTCAGCCACTTTGACCATCGATTCACAAGATGATCGTAGCGATGAAACAACACTGCGTGGTTTGAGCAGTAAGATTGAGTCTTTGAGCGCTCCTAATATCCGTGGCTTAATGGACAACAAGGGTCGCTACACTGAAATCGTAGTCCCCAGCGTCTTCCCGTCTGGATCTGTTATGGTTCTCAAGACGTGGATCCAAGATAATCCAGCCGAGTCCTATGATCTCATCTCAAGCTGCAGCGATAGCGTTTTTAGCAATCTCTCACTATTGGATATGAACATTGTTCTTCATCGATGTGAGGGCGAGGAGAGAGATGCGACTGGTGAAGGTGTCTACAATATTCCTGGCCATGGCAGCTTACCCTATGCTGGTCTCGAAGGATTTGTCTCTGTTCTCAAGCCTATCATCAGAGAGAACAACTTGGGTCATCCATTCTGTGCACATCTTCGCGACGGTACCTGGGCAATGGATTACATTGTTGATCGCTTGAACAGATATCTTAGCGATTACCCTAACCTCAAGTCACTGAGAGAATGGTTCTCTACACGATTTAGTGTTGTCAAAGGATTGCCTGACTTTTTGGTTCCCAAGTACTTTGCTCTCATTATCCGCGCAGCCTATCTTAAGGCTCGTGCCCATGCGCTCTCTCTCATGTCTCCTCTCGTACGTGATGGTGATCGCTTCACTCAATCATTGGCATTGTGCTCTGTCCAAATGTACGGTATTGTACCTTCATCTGGTCTGCACCCAACCGAGGTGACTCCCTCCATGGCCGCCGGTCTACCCCACTTTACACATTCATACATGCGCACGTGGGGTCGTGATGTTTTCATCTCGTTGCGTGGATTGTTTTTGACAACTGGTAACTACGATGCCGCCAAACGTCATATCCTTTCTTTTGCCAGCTCACTCAAGCATGGATTGATACCCAACTTGCTTGACGCCGTACGTCATCCCCGTTACAACTCTCGTGATTCTGTATGGTGGTTTATGCAAGCTATTCAAGATTACTACTACATGGCACCCGATGGTCCATCAATCTTGAATGAGAAGGTGCTAAGACGATTCCCCAAGGACGATACCTTTGTGACGCCAGAGGAAGGCTTTACCTACAGCAGCACCGTGCTTGAGATCATGCACGAAGTGTTTGAACGACATGCCGCCGGACTTCACTTCAGAGAACACAATGCCGGTCCACAGTTGGACAGTCAAATGACCGACGAAGGCTTCAACATTGACATTGAAGTTGATTGGGATACTGGTGTTATCGTAGGCGGTAACCGTCTCAACTGCGGTACTTGGCAAGACAAGATGGGAGAGAGTTCTAAGGCTGGCAACAAAGGACTGCCTGCAACTCCTCGTGATGGTGCGCCAATTGAGATCACTGGTTTATCCAAGAGTGCCCTTCGTTGGATTCTAGAGCTTCAGGAGCGTGGAGAATTCAAATGGAAGGGTGTTAAGGATCAAGATGGTAAAGAACGATCTTACAAGGAATGGAACGATCTCCTTCAGAAGAACTTTGAGCGTGTATACTATGTTCCAGCTGGTAAGTATTAAGGTTATAATAGAGCACCTATGGGGTTGTCGAACTGCTATTTACCAAATTTATACACATCTTTAGATAAGAGCGAAGACTCTGAGTACGAAGTCATTAGTGAAATCATCAACCGTCGTGGAATCTATAAAGACGTGTTCCGATCCAAGGAACCCTACACCGACTACCAATTCCGGTCCAACTTCCCTGTGGCCATGGTGGTGGCTCCTGAGCTGTTCACTCCATCCAAAGCCATGGGAGCATTGAATCTCGGACGAAAGCATTTGTTAGGACCTCTGGGTATGCGAACATTGGATCCAAGTGATAATGAATATCACCCGGATTACCACAACAGCGACGACTCCACCAACAAGGCTGTAGCCAAGGGTTGGAACTACCATCAGGGCCCTGAATGGGTTTGGCAAACGGGTTATTTCTTGCGGGCCTATTTGAGCTTTTATCTTCAAACTGATAAAAAGCAAGAAACCCTGAGAGAAGGTGTTCTCACTATCCAGCGTATCTTGTTGGCACATAAGAACGAGATCCAGTCCAACCCCTGGGCTGGTCTCCCAGAACTCACCAATAGAAATGGCAGCCCTTGTTGGGATGCATGCCCTACTCAAGCATGGTCAGCGGCGACGTTATTGGACGTTGTGAACTATAGCACTGATCTTGTAAAGGAATCCTAGTTTAAGCACTGTTTTTTTTTTGTTATTTGTATCTTCCGTTCGACGTCTGTAATAAATGCATTATCTGTCATAGCCATCAATTTGACAGCAGTCCGAGCCAGCCAGCTTGAGATTTTTCTTTTTCTTTCCCGCTCATTGCGTGCAATCCTCCCGACTCTCATGAGCCATGCTGAGGTCATTCCGCTGGCAACTCACTCTCTAGGCTTGGAGCTTCGATCGCATCCACAAAGAGGTCGCGGTGTGTTTACGACCAAGCCTCTTTCTCACAAAACACTGGTCGACGTATCCCCGGTGCTGCTTATGGACCATGACGAATACTCTGCGCACGGACAGCATACCATCTTAGATCATTACACATATCGATGGGAAGGAGGGTATGCACTGGCCTTGGGGCTAGGATCGATGTTCAATCATGCAAAAAATCCCAACGTGGGGTTCATACGTGACATAGCCAATGCGGTCATCCGCTATTTCACGTTACGAGCCATTGAAACTGGTGAGGAGCTGTGTATCAGTTATGGTGATCACCTGTGGTTCGAGGATACAGACGCTCCATCAGAGCATGAGCAAGGCAGCAGTAGTGAAGATGAATGGTTTGGTAAAGTTATGTTAGAATAAAAGGACTCATGATACACAAATGATTTCAGGCTCTTCCAATGAACGACTTTGAGTGGAAAGAGAAAGAAGCTCCTGTGACGTCACCTACGTTTTTGTCTCTGGGTTGGCGAGAAACCCACCAAAAATCACCGCATGACCAACAGGACGGCAAGAGGGTTTCCTTTTTACTTTTTGCCAATTGGTGCTGAAATCTTTTTCATCTCTTTCTTCGCAAAATCAGTGTCTTTGTGTCGGTCGCATACACCCTTTTCTTCTTACCTCTCGCTACTAATATCTATCAATCATGTCAGCCATGGACTTACGAGTCGGGAACAAATACCGAATAGGTCGTAAAATTGGTTCAGGATCATTTGGTGACATTTACTTGGGTGAGTTATTCACCTGCTCAATGCGCTTTGTTTACCTTTGCATTCTACGCCTCGAGGGCCGCTACGACATCTGTCAAGTCGTCACGGTACCATGCTGACTGCGCTAAACCCTTATACCATTTCCGCGCTTTCCATTTCGACCTTACTGACCGCTCCCTTTTTTTTCCTTCTCTCTTTAAAAAAATGACCAGGTTCCAACATCGTCAGTGGTGAAGAGGTTGCTATCAAGCTCGAATCAGTAAAAGCTAAACATCCACAACTGGAATATGAAGCAAAAGTGTACAAGACTCTAGCTGGAGGAGTCGGTATTCCATTCGTACGCTGGTATGGCACAGAATGTGATTATAATGCCATGGTGATTGATTTACTCGGCCCGTAAGTGGGAACTCTCCTGAAAACAAGTATCTGGGACGGCTATTAATTCTATTCGAATCTAGTTCATTGGAGGATTTATTCAATTTTTGTCAGCGACGATTTTCTCTAAAGACCGTGCTGCTACTTGCAGATCAGTTGGTATGCTTCATCATCCGTCGCAAACACGTGCCAACCTAGCATTCGACTGAACCTCCTCCCCCTTCCTCATAGATATCCCGCATCGAATATGTCCATTCTAAAAATTTCATTCATCGCGATATCAAGCCTGACAACTTCTTGATGGGTATTGGAAAGCGCGGCAATCAAGTGAATGTTATCGACTTTGGTCTTGCCAAGAAGTATCGCGATCCCAAGACGCACCTTCATATCCCGTACAGAGAGAATAAGAATTTAACGGGAACAGCACGTTATGCAAGCATCAATACTCATTTGGGAGTTGGTAAGTGGGGCATGCATAGGATGGATTGATGAAAAATGTAATGTACGGCTTTTCTAAACCTCCTTAAAAATATTTTTCCGTTTCTTTTTACATTGGTCTGGAAATCTCCAAATAGAGCAATCGCGTAGAGACGATCTCGAGTCACTAGGATATGTTCTCATGTACTTTTGCCGTGGTTCTTTACCTTGGCAAGGACTCAAGGCAGCCACCAAGAAACAAAAATATGATCGTATTATGGAAAAGAAAATGACCACGTCCACTGAATTGCTTTGCCGAGGCTTCCCCAATGAATTCTCCATCTATCTCAACTATACACGATCACTCCGCTTTGATGATAAACCCGACTACAGCTACCTCCGCAAATTATTCAGAGACCTATTTGTACGTGAAGGCTATGTGTACGACTATGTCTTTGACTGGACTGTTTTCAAACTTGTAAGTATATAATGTATGTGAGTAGGTTTTTTGGTTCCAATTTTTAATCTTCCCTTCCCATCCATGAGAAGAAGGAAGAGTCCAAAGGAGGCCACACTACAGAAGATAACAATGCCAAGGACGACAGACTTCGAATGGGTAATGATGTGACCCAAAACAAGTCGATGCGTCTACCACCTCAACATAGTCAGAACCCTGGTATGCCAAGTTCGTCTCGAGCCAACGTTGTGGGCAATGGCGCTATAGGATCTAGCAACATTCCAAGTAAGTGTTGCCCTGATGTGGGCTGACATGGTGTGGATTGGGGCGGCCGCCCCATAACATTGCTTGACCATTGAAATACTGACCTTTTAGCACTTTAGCGTCCGAGCGAGTGCTTCGTAGTCAAGCCAAAACTAACCAGCAACCCTACTACGGATAGACTCCTCAAATCTCTCAGACACTCTATTTCCTTTCTCAAATTGCTTCCAAAGGGTATTCATACCTTTTATTTTTTCCCATGTTTGAGCAGCTAGCGAGATATACCTTCACCTTTTTCTCTTTCGTGTAATAATTTTTTTTTCTCTCTCTCTCTCTTCCTGTGCTTAACCATTACCCTGACACACATCCACAACACACACGCAACTGTCATCCCGCTGGCTTTGACTGAATGATCTTGGGGGGACGCGCTGTTTTTCGAGCGAACTTCCCGTCTCTCTTTATCTTTTTCCTTCGTACACCCTCTTCTCTTTTTCTTTATCCTTATAGCTTTTCTCACTTTATAAGCTTTCTATACAACTGATTTCTACATGTAACAGCGCGGTTTGTTTTTTATAAATATACTCTTGCGATTTTTTTTTTCGAGACGCTATGCAAGGTATGATTTTTGGCGGCAAAGTACTTTGACTTGGTATTTACTGGCAAGAGTAAGTTTACTTGAACAATGAGGATTTTGACAGAAAAGAAGTGGTGATGATTATGAGGGGCTAAGAAAGGTCGAGATTAAAAGGTATCAAGAGAGAAAGGGTGGTATGTACGAAAACAAGGTTGGGAAAAAAAGGCTGCTGACAAAGAAGAACATGTACATTTCGGGTTTAAAAACTCTAGTGGAGAACAAAGTCCAGGACAACCGAAGCTCGCGTCATGGCAAGTTGGATCCCGGTCTTGCCTGTCGCGAGAACCGTGATGCCGTCCACTTCGCTGCGCAAATGGTATGGCGCCAACTGCTTGAAGTGAAAATATGCCGGTTCGTCAGGCGTGGCGGGCAGCTCGATGGCCACCTTGACGTAGCCGTCGGTCTCGCTGGCCGTGAGCGTGATGGAGCAGGCAGTGCTAGCGGTCAAGATATCAGGCACTTGAGCCTTTTCATAGAACACAGCTCCTGTCACGCGCTTATCGACGGATTGAACAGCTTGTACTGCCTCGGTATTGGAAAGCACCTGGAATGTCCTTAAATGTGGGATAAGTTCAGGCTTGGGTCGAATGCTATAGATATAGGATGCATTGACAGGCGAGTCTCCATGGTCGATATACAAAGTGACGTATTTGCGTTGGAAAGGCGTGGTATCCTGTATAACATGCCCATTGTTCACATCAATCCATGAACCGGTTCTATCATCTTTACTCAAAATGAGGTTTTCTGAGACATGGTAGACGTTGTAGGCAATGTCGGACGCCTCTTCCACATTGCTTTGTAGTTGAACGGTATGCAGTGTGTGGGGAGAAAACGTTTTGTTAAAGGTGCTTTCGTGTGGCATCTCAATCCCATCCAGATAAATTCGTCTTTGACTCAAAATTTGTCTCTGATCAATGGTAGTATGCGTCTCTCCAATGCCGCTGATACCCGCTCCCAGGCAGACGATCTCATTGTCCAGGAAAAACCACGATTTCGTTGCATTCACGGTCCTTCCCCATGAGAGATACTGCATACCAATCGAAGCATGTTGGCCTGAAGTCGATCCATACGTTCGGCCGTCTTGGCTCACATATCGACTGCCAGAACAAGGTTTACGCACTCTTAAATGGGCAGTGACGCCAGGAACATGGTACATATCAGCCGTCGCCCAGTAGCCGTCGTTGTATTGACCAAGATCATCGTTATAAAGCAATGTCATTCCTGATCCGGTGTACCTGTTTGCAAAAGGAATTTTAGTTATGAGAATCAAAACAGTTTAATCAAGGTTGGCTGTCTTTATTGACATCAAAGCTTCGTTGTGTCTCTCCACTTACCATCCTTTAAGATTGCCGTGGTTGAGGCACTCGTACGTGGAAACATGATCAGAGCTCATACTGAGAGCTAAAGCATAGGTGGATCGAAGCATGAAAGCACGGTCGGATTTTTTCATCCACACGGTTTCGCTCAAATCTTCTAGTGGAATGACGCTTTTGTCGTGAATGATATCGGCAGCTGCTCTGTACAAACTTCCAGGTGCTGCATCCAGATAATCATGCCATGGTCTAGCACTGACGATGTTGAATTTGACCCAGCTCTTCAGTTTGGCGACGAATTTTTCATCGTTGGCGATCTGAATTAAACGCAGCATACCGGTAATGACATCGTCTGCTGCATGATAGTCGGTACCGTCTTTGCGACTGATCTCTCTGCCTCGTAAATTGGCAAACAAGGCTCCTCTCCAAACAATGGGCATGAACGAATTGACAGCCCATTCATAGATATGGCTAATTCGCTTATCCTTCAATTCCCATGCCGATCCATGTAACAGGTAGATGATGTCCGCCAGGCCTTTGAAAAGATTCTTACCATAACCGCCATGGTATGGGATGGTATCTAGATGCGGAGTGAAAAAAATGCCACAATGGAATGTTCAGAACGTTGAGTCTGATATTACCTCCTCCATCTCTGAAACCTTACCATGTTGAATAAAACTGCCATCACGATAAAATCCATCCCCACTCTCCACATAGTCTAGTAAAATGGTTTCGGGATCTTGAAGGTTCTGGCTACCAAGGTCCAGTTCGGTCTGATTACTGTCCAGAATGCCACGCACGGCAATGATCTTGCAAGTCCACACGCGATTGGCGCCGGTTTTGATAGGTTCAGGAATAAAGTATCTGGAAGCCGCGGTGAGCGCAGTTCGAAGATCGGCGTCCATGACATTGTAAAACAAAGCGACCAGGTCGTTAATCTGATAAGGAATGCCAATCTGCCAATCCCACCAATTGCCCACTCGAATGATGTTGGGATTATAATGACGCTCCACGAGCCAGCGCAAGGCAGTCAGGACATCCACTAACAGCTCTTGGTTGTGATAGAGAGGGCCGGACGGAGTAGCCCAAGCTTGAGCCAAACTACCAATTCGATAGAATGTGGCTGTGAGGTTGGACGAAGTCAGCTCGCCAATATCTTCCCAGAGTGCCGTTCGGTATTCATGTTTATCCAGCGTGTAATAGTGGTGAAGCGCGTTGGCATGGATATGGTCGACACGGTCTTGCCAAGACCGCTTGCGAATAGGTGGGTGGGCGACACTGTATTCGTTGGCTTCAGAAATAAGCGTTAAGTAGCGACGCCGTAGATCTTCAAATGGCTCTTGTGGATTCACAATTTCTGGAAATTCAAAATCAACACTGGGATTGGACTCGGTCGTATCAAGGACTGTCGACTGTGACCAGTACAAGGCCACCAGTGCGAACAGCGCTAAACCGAAGATGCTACGGCGAAAGCGGCGGGTCATTTTTTGATTGTGAGAGAAAAAGGGATATATTCACATTTATTGACTTACGTCGAGGTCGACCGGTACGACTTCATAAAGAAAAGAAGCTTTTAAAAAGAATCTAAAAGAAATTCGGGAAAGTAAAGAAGAGAAAGCGTGGGGTGTAAATCTTTTTTTTTTTTTTAAAAAAACTTTTGGGTTAAGGAGAAAAAACTATGAGCG